ACGAGCATATCACTGACTTCGCTCGAATCGAACTCGACCATCACTCCTCCATCCCAACACTCTGAGGATGCAGTTGAAAAGGGGAAGCAACAATCATGCCAATATTTTAATCACCATCCTCATCATCCTCCTCATCATCATCATGATCATCATCATGATCATCATGTTCACCACTCTCCGTCCTGTTCCTTTTCCCGATCCCCTCCTCATCCGTCTTCCCTCGGCCAACGACCCCAAGAAGAAGATCAACAAAAGGTCCAGGACCAAAGTATAGAACCGGGACAAGACCCAGAACAACAAGATCAATCCCAACCCCAGCAGCAACAACCGCTCCACAAACAACACCAGCGTCCAACATTACCACCACCACCACCACCACCACCGCCATCATCATCATCAGCAGCAGCAGCAGCAGCACAAGCTCATCCCAACCCCGGAAACAATGGCAAAACCGCGCTAAACGAGTTCATCACCCGCTCCCGCTCTTCGACGCTCTACACGCCCTCGGACAACGAGCGGGACGAGCAAATCCGCATCGCCATTCTGACGCGGTGTCTGAACATGGAGGATCGGTTTCAGGTCCAAGCTGCTCGGTATTGGGGTCGTTTACAGTGAACTCCAAGAGGATTACTGAACGAGAGGGGAAAGAGGGGGTATGGGAGGGGGAGGGAATGAAAAGAGATAGAAAAGCGAAGGCAGACGAAGAGGGAGAAGGGAACGGAAAAGGGAACGGAAAAGGGAAAGGGAAAGGGAAGGGGAAGGGGAAGGGGAAAGGGATAGAAAGGGAAGTATGAGAGAGAAGGATGTGAACTGAAGGCGAATTCATGACTGCGTGTTTCAGGAGGGAGGTTAGGAGGGTGTGAATGTTATATTTATGGCGTACCTACCTCTAGGTATTTTGAAATTTTGTTCAACTTGCGGACGAAGTGATTTGGATAACAACTCGAGGGAAACATTTGGACTCTTGGCTTGAGGCCTACGAAGGAACAGAAAGAAGGGACAGTGAGTCTTTGGGTACCTGTCTAGCAGCCAAAGGAGTTGGAAGGGGAAGAATATACGGGGGAAATAACTGGATCAACTTTATGTAGGTTAGGTGTACTGGACGGGGTACGTAACAAGCAAAGACCGCAATCTTGGGCTTCTGTCGGCAGTTCAGGGGAAGATGAAAGGCAGCAATAATTAATAGAAGAAAAAAAGAAGAGGAGGAAATTAGCAAATTAGAGAGGTACTAAAGAGAGAGAGAAGCAATCTAGCGTGGACAGTCTCGCAATATGTTATATGTTGTTGCCACCATCGATTAAGAGTATAAAATGCATACATGTATTTGTATAGCTTGTCCCCTCTTGTATGATATCCTACTGTCATTCCCCGTAAATACGTTTGTGAACTACATGAGGCGCTCTCATTGGTACCCCGACCTAAGTTTGCTAGTGCGCTCGCGACTTCTGCATACCCTGCTGCTGCTGCAGCCCATTTACTCGAGCTTGTCGGCCCGTCGCTTCTAGGCGTTGCTTAGCGACGTGCTCGCGGTCCTTTGACCTTTCCCTCCTACAGAAGGACCTTAACCGGGACGCCGTCCGATTCCTTCCCTATTATCCTCTGCCGCATCTGCTCTCCCATCCGTATCCTCATCACGTGTTTGCTTACCATCCCTAATGTCCAAACGATGACCAGTACCAAGCCCATTCGAATTTTCCGCTCTCGTGGAAGAGCATTTTGACACTTCTTGGTCGGCTACCGCCTCCGCTGCTATCCCAGGCCTGCCCTCTTGGGGCGTATCTGTCCCAAGCAATGCAAAGATTTCATGGTGCGTCGTGGCTCGCCAGTCACATCGTTCGCGGTTGTCGGCACACCCTTGACAACCGCTGCCCATATATTTGACACAGGGTATCTGTAGCCTCCGGCAGCGGTCACAAGGGGGGCTTGTCGATTCTGCACGCTCCAGTTTCTCTACAGCTCGTGTGCCGGATCGGCTGGTAGCGGTATGGCGTTCCAAAGCACCGGATCCCCAGGACAATCGATGCGCTGGATCTTGCCGTACCGAGTTCTCCATATGGATCGAGCCATTAAGTTGCTGAAGGGGAGCCAATGTTCCAGACGATGTCGGCATTGGTGGTGACCGGACAATAACAGCCTGCCGTAAATGCAGCTGCGAATGATTAGAGGATACAAAAGCGGGACTTGAGCCAGATTTTCCTATATTAGAAGTCTCGTCGTGCTGGGCAGCTCGAAATAAAAACTGCCGCAGTAAGTAAGCTCGGAGATCAGGATCGGGCTTCAGCTCGCTGAGGCGTTTCGGATAATGGTTCAGTTCTGAAGAGTGCTGAAACGTATAGCGAGCCGCAATGGCAGCCTTGCGGCCGCTCAGGTGATAGTTCAGTTGCCGTGCTTTGGCAGCTATCTCGTCAGCCTTCTGAATGATCCTGTGAACTCGGTCCTCAACTATATCTAGCGTGACCAACTCGATTCCGTCATCCTCTTCCAACGGTTTGGGCGGAACTAGGTTAAAACGGTCCAAAGCACCGGACCTGATAAGCCGCCAGTCATCCTCGGTGATTTCAACGTCGACGTTTTTCATGGAGAAGCGACAGACCCGGCCACGACTGGTTATTGTGGTGAGATTGAACTCGCCAGGGTTAGCAGCCGCAAAATCGAGGATGTCCAGCCAGCTAGGCTTGTATGGCTGATCCATTCTGGAAGAAGTCTTGGCATAGACAGTAATTTCACCTTCAAAAAGACTCTCCATAGCTCGTAGTAAACGAGGTGCGGTGAGCTTGGCCCCTAAGTTTGCAGCCAGGCTTTCATGTCGACTGAGAACTCCTTGGATAATTTTAGCTTTGGAGCCTGTACCAAAGAGTACTCTTCATACCTTCATAGTCGTTTATAAGGGATATGACCTTGTTGAAAGCGCAGTTATCCCCACGGAGAAGTTCGAGGCTTGATGTCTTGATGCCGGAAGCGGAAAGATAGTTGATAGGTCTAGTGTTACCTAGTGATAATCAGCAAGACAACGGGGACTTGATTGAGAGTGCAAGAGCCCAAGTCATGGCGCAACTCCGTCAAGTATTGGCTCAATGGAAATTTGTCCTCTTCACGTTATAACATACCTGACTGTGGCGGCCGTGGTTGGGGTATGCGGTCAGGGCGGGTAAGGCCGGGGATGCCATTGTCGTCTAGGTCTCTCTTGCGCTTAGAGGGGCCGGGCCCAGGGGAACCATCCCCCGATTTCCTGTTGTGTACGCCTGCCGGCATCTTGTGGCGTCACAACAGAACCAAGCAAAGGAGAAACTGCTCCGAGTGGACACCGTGGGTTTGAGTCACTCCCTGATATTATATATCTTGGCCGGGTTCTGTCTCTATTCGAGAACTATTCGTATCGACTTTACAGATGTTAGCCTGGCCGTGGCAGGGTAGACTCGAGGAGACTGTCCCGCATCAACAGGGCGAGCCTGCGGTGAACTGCTGTAGTATAGTGGTGCCGGTTCAAGCCGGTGATGGAAGTCCAATATAGGTAGGCGCATACAGAACCATGCGCGATGCGACCGGTATGAGGAACCCAAACTTGCCGTAACCGTTTCGCAGTGGGATAGCTGGCGGTCTGATAGTCGAGAGCAAATTGTGAGGCCAATGAGAATATGCTTCACTTGCTCGAAGTTGGATAACAGCCGGGGCAACGAGTCTGGGAGACTTCTAGCCAGTGGATAGAGGGGTCGAGTCGTTAAGTAGTGTAGGCATCCGACAATGGAATATGTCGGTAGTAACACCGATTTTCGAGCGGCCGGAAACTGAGGCCCGTTTTGTTCCTTGGGCAAGCTTGGAGTTTGGTAGGACCTACTTGTGAGCTCCCAATCGCATCTCGTCACATGGAACCCAACTCGATCGGATACTCTTGGCCCGGTGAGCGTGCGTCTTGGTTCAATGGCTCTCGGACGTTGCCGAGAGAAATCGAGTTCTTGTCAAGCACCTGAATTTCAAAGACTGCGCTTCTTGATTCTTGGCATACATGCCTGACAGTCTTGGACACAGGTTCCTTCGCCGCTGCATTGAGAGTCAAGATCGTAGGACCCAATGCCGGCTGCTGCAATGCACCACGTTTTCGCTACTAGTTTGGCAGTTGTTCCCGTTGCTCCGAACCAAAGACAGAACTTGAACGATGGCCAGGCGAAGTATTTCCTCCTCAGCCGTCCGACCATGTTAAGAGGTCGTAGCAGGTGACCAACGTGTTGGGATATTGACAAGCTCCTCACACGAGATGAAAACCCTACGGCACTGCAGAGTTGACGGACATGGTGGGAAGTCGAAGAGAACGAAATAAAGATACCAGGGCGACCTATCATGGAACAAAAGTGTAGTGTAGTGGATGAGCTGGCGGGCCGTGTCTGTGAGCCGTCTAACACATCAAATCTGGTACTCATGACACGCATTGTTTTACACTGCTGGACGTCGCAAAGAAGAGTCCGAGGAACGAAGGCAGAACTAAGAAAGTTCTAGGTTTCGATCAAGGCGGTTGTGGTTGGACTGAAAGAGAAGGAAAGGGAAGTTGAGAACCTAAAAAAGAGAAAGCTTGGGCCACTCAATCTATGTAGTGTAGTGTAGCGATTCACGGCTCCCGTCGTCAGCCAGTCTGGGGAATGCTACCTGGACCTCAAGGATCCACACTACCCGCACTTACAGCCGGATGGCAGCCCCACAGCGGGGTGCTTGGCAAAGCACAGCTGTGGAAGAAACTCAGCTAGGCGTCACTCCCGCCAGCGGATGCAGACGCCAAAAACGCGACTGACCCAGACAGGACGACTGACCAACCCCACGACATCCATCGCAACCCATAGCGCCAGCCAGCCTGACGACAACAATCGCAGCGCCGAACGACATTACCAACACCACAAATCAACACTCGACAATCGCCAATCGGTTCGGTTTCGACGACTTCCTCTCTTCTTCCATACCCACCAGCGCAATACACGGCGCATACCCAAGTAACTTTACGAAGAAACACAGCAATGGCCGATAGAGGGAATAGGGGAGGCCGTGGTGGCGGCGGCTACCGGGGCGGTCGCGGAGGTAACCGTGGAGGAGCAGGTGGTTCCGGTTCCGGCGCCGGTGGAGGCCAGGGAGGCGGTGGTGCTCAGGGCGGTGACCGCGGCGAGCGCCCTAAGAAGGAAAACATTCTCGACCTCAAGAAGTATATGGACAAGCGCATTACTGTCAAGTTCAACGGTGGACGTGAAGGTACGTCATGACATGGCTTTTTCCCGAGTCTCCTCAACGAGCTCCCTCAAAGCTCCCTACAAAGCTGACACAAACCCTTCCCTTTTCTCCGACACAACAGTTACCGGTACACTCAAGGGATATGATGCGCTTATGAACTTGGTTTTGGATGATGTGCAGGAAGCTGTGAGAGGTAAGTTGTTGCCTCCCTTGCCTTTCTCTGCCCGTTGCACCTCGTTCTCTTTGACCCCAGTTGGTCCTAACCCATGCACCTATAACAGACGAAGAAGGCAACGAAACCACCCGTCCTCTAGGACTTGTTGTTGCGCGCGGTACGCTCCTCGTTGTGATCAGCCCCGTCGACGGAAGCGAGGTAATTGCGAACCCCTTCGCTCAGCAGGAGGAGGAAGCTTGAGCAGAAGGGAATGCTCGTCTGGACAAAGTAAAACTGCATCATCTTTGAAACATCATACCAACTTGGGAATCTGAACGCCATCCCGTCATACTCGCAAACCGAGCGATACCGCAAATGGACGAGACGACAATTTTGACGAAGGAAAAACGGGGCAGGACAGTAAGAAGGAACGCCAGGACAGAAACCTGGTAGGTTGAGGGAAGTCTAACAATGTGTCATGATATCCGCCCCACTCAAGGATAGGACGGTGCAACAAGGGAAACATCGCTGAGTTGGGTGAGCAAACGCCCAGTATCGACATGAAGGAACACAAGTCGGCCCCAGCTACCAACGATACCCACCAGAGGGACTGTAAGAACAGGGGTTGGCTACATCGAGAAGAAAAACACATGCAGCTGGCTGCCCTGAGTTATGGTAAACGTCCAGCCAATGCCGTTATTGGCGAGTGAGGGAATCTAATAATTGGAAACCAAGCTAGAGAGCAACACCAAGAACGTCCCTTGGCTCCATGAACTCTCTAGCAGCGGCACATTTTCTCATAAAGCATCTCCTAGTGGAATGAGAACGCTTGGGAAGATAATGAATAGTTCGGCTCACCGCATACATATGCCAGTTGTTCTCCGCCCACATCCTGCTCTTGGACGGAATTGGGCACTTGTTCTGAGTCTGTTTTCTAGTTCGCTATCTAATATGATCTGCTCATCGCTGTTAACCACTTTCCACCACTTAGTCCACATTTCTTCTTCTCAATCCCTCCTCTTCGCTCTCCTGGTAGGTCAAGCTCGCTTTGGTCGGGCTGCTACGTCCATTATTGTCGTTCAGCCTTCATTTGATCTGCGATCCATATCCTCGCCGTGGCAAAGGCCGTCGCCGAACATGTGGAGCCATTGGCTGAAAGCGCAAGTCGAAAGACTCTATATTCTAGATGGCAGCCCCCGTCGCGCTCGGTTTACTTTCCTTTCCAAGCTCGCCATACGCACGGTCCAGCATCTGTCGTATACTCCTGTAGCTGACGACGAAAACCGTGGCATTGTCGCGGCTGGTGAGCAAGATCTGTTCTTCGGAGCTGGCGTCAAGCTTACTCAAGCAATTGAGGTAGTGATTCGTGTCGAGCCGAGCCTTTCCATCAGCATCCACTTGGTGGAAGACATAATCCCTGAATAGTTTTAGGAGGAGGCGCTCTCCAGTTTCCGACCAGTTGTGCACCCCACAAGAATCGCCCCGCTCGTTAACAACGGACAGTTTGAACATGAGACGGGCAATCCTGCCATTCTCCAATTCCCTCATAAGATGAAACTCTTTCTCATCGGACTCCTGCATGACAAAATTGGCAAAATTGGCGAGGTGTGTTGTCATTCCGCCAAGTAGGGTCTCAACCGTCTTGGTTTCCCCTGGAGCAGAAGGCTTAATGAGCCATTCCAATACTCCCCTCAACTGTGTCGAATAGCGAGGCACAATGGTAGCCAGAGCAGCGTCAATGTTGTTAAAATTGAGCGTCGGGGTGTTCGTAGCCAGAGCCAGAATAATTCTGCCAAACTTGACAAAATCCTCTTGTTGTAGCTCCTCAATAGTTTTGCGATTGGGGCTGTCATGATGTAATACATCGAGGATTGAGCACGCCGCAAGCCGAATGCGGTTGTTTTCCCAGATGATCTTGCTCAACTCCAGACAGCGGGCGGCCAGCTTGGCATTGTGGATGGCCAACAGCGCGTTTGCTATTTGGCACACATAGCTCCATATAACGTTTTCGGGAATCTTGTTCGTATTCCGTAATCTGTTGTGGCTGTTGTTTGGTGGAAAATGATGGTCGTAGAGTGTTTCGGAAAGAGGGTGAAAGTCATACACGAAGATCAGAGAACTGTCGCCAAAAAATTCGGTGGTAAATGCTTCGTGTACGGTGACAATGTTTGCGTTGATGATCTTTTTCCATTCCTTGGTGACGTTGAGGATGGCCTTTTCGTTGGTCAACCGGTAACCTGCCAGAGCCGAGTTAGTGAACTTTTATTCTCAAAGCCAGAAACCGGGCATGTCATTACCTTCGATACGTCTCAAGGCGAAGTGTCTCCCATTCTTGTTGTTCTGTGCTTTGTACATCCAACTAGGATAGCCAAAGCAAGTGGAGTTCCTCGTAGCCTTTGTATCGAGAGGGAAGAGCGAGTGCCAGCGATCAAGATTAGGAAGCCCGGAATCTGCTGCGGTTAGCGACCGATCTCCATTGAAGAAGCTATGGACTCACTTGGTAGTAATTGCTGCATATGGAACAGTTTCTTCTGCAAGTTTTCTCGCCTATCCTTTGGGATGAAGAAGTCGTACGTGGTTCGCTGATAAGGTTGAAGGCTTGGGCGATACAGCTCCGATGGTGGTTGGTAGAGATGGTAGTTAGGTGGATGGACCAGCCCATTGCCAAAACCCGCGGGCTGATATAATCCTGCCCCAGCACCGGCCAGATTGTTTGGATCGTTTGCGTAGGGGTTGTATTGGCCTGCCGGCGGCATAGTTTGACCCAGTGAACTTATCGAAAAAGGGTCGCTGTAAAGACCACCGTCCTGAGTGACGTGTTGTGCCCCATTCTGCGATATCTGCCGACGACTGTGAGCAAAGGCCATCTGTCAGCCTTCCACAAATGACTTACCGTGTTGCCAACATCGTAGTTTTGCGGGGTAAATTCTCTAATAGCCGCTGGGTTGAATATGGTCGAATCATTCGCTTGCTGCAGAGTCGGCGTGGATGCTATGGTTGAGTTAAACATTGCCTGAACATCCATATAGGCCTCAGAACCGCCCTGGGACACTTACTGCCAACTCCCCTTGGGGTGAATGGGGCAGCACTCGCAGCTTGGGAGGAAAAGGTGGACTTCTTTCCAGCTGATTGCTGCTGGTTAGCTGGCGTAAAGGATGGGGATTCGACATTGAAGACTCTTCGATTAGAGTTGCTATCACCAAAGTCAGAAACAGACAAAACACACCAACACAACGGGAAAAAAAAAAACCCAGACAAGCATATTCTCGCCATGACGTTGCAATCCCGTTCCAAAGCCCAGGAGCATAACTCCCTGCTGACACAGCACGCGGATGTAAACAGAGTTAGGATAGAACTTACAGGTCGGTCTGTGAGCCGGATGCCTTGTTCTGGTCATGGTTGAAGGTACATCCAGAGTCCTCCCATCGGCAATGTCCGTAGATCACAACATTGCGGCAGAGTGTTTCCTTGGTGTCTTCGGCAGCAAACCAGTTAGCGGGACATGCCGGACGGGCTGCGATAGAACGAAGATCGAGATCCGGGCTACGTTGAGGACATACCGCGGTTCTTTGCACGCGGCGACCCGACTTGCCTTCGGAGATCGCCCGAATTATATCGCGTTGCGGCCATGGTGTAGACGGGTGAAGTATTGTATTGGACTAGCAAATGGGATGAACGAGCCCGAGGCCGATTTTACAACGCCTGCAGCAGAACAGCTTAGCAAAAGCATATCTAGCGAGCACGGAGAGGTGGATATACTTCTTCACCCTCACGGATCTCTCCCATATTTCGGACAAGCCGACACCCATAGGGAACGGCGAAGGCGCCGGCGCAGAGTTGCGTGGCAGCAAGCGGTAGCAGCGGGAAGCTCGAGATTTCAGGTTATACGTCGACGATACGCTGACGAGGTTGGCGATGGACAGGAGGGACGTATATGATCGGATCGGATGGCACGCGATGGACCAGTTGGAGATCCAATGCGCCACTCGCGGGGGGACAAAGGGGATTGCTGGTTGGCAGATGTCGTATGCAATTCTGGGGCTGCTTTGAGGGTGAGGGAGGTCCGGTTGGCTGCGCTGACTTGACGAATCGAGTCCAAGGGGGGTCAGATTCGGATGGGTTTGCGAGCACAATTCGCTACAGCACGTTGCGGAGCAAAAACGGCGATGCGTGACCGTGACGACGGGAACCTTAGCGGTAGCTACTGCCCACGAGTGCCCACTCACTTTCTCCAGTGTCAGCGACGGACGGGAAAGAAAGCTGAGGAACTGCGACGCGGCGGCGGGCTGGGCTGCGGACAGGGCACAGCTGCGTGCCGGGCGGGAGTCCAGGGCAGACACCACACAGGAAGGGAACTCGCACCCGGTCGCATCGACGAGTGTGCCATCGCTCCCACCCCACCACTCCCACCATCTTGGCGACCCTGTTTCCACTTCCACCAAGTGGAAGTTGTAGCCAGGTGGTTGCCCGCCCTCAGTTCCACCCGGCTCCCCCATTCCCGACGGGACTGGACCTGACCTCTGGGAGAAGGTTCCACCGCGGACAGCTGCCGATATGCGACTATCAGATTTGTGCATCGCTGCCTAGGGACCTGCGTTAGGCACATAACCGAGGCCGCTGACCTCATCTAAGTGACGTGGTATCTTCACGCTTCAGCTTCAACGCGCAGACATTGACATATGTATGTACTTGTAGGTCGCTACAGGTACTGTACACCATCAAGGTTCACCATTCGACCTCTTCCTCCTTGGTCTACATTCCGCTTCTTCTTCCCTTCTCTTTCCTTCTTTCTCTCTCTTCTCTATTCCTCCATCGTGATTCACTCAATTTCCAGTCGCGAACACTACCAGAGCTATATGTGTCAAGTCGCTTTTTCGACAACCAAGCATCGCGAGCAGACCGAGGCCAGCTTGCTTGAAATCTGCGCCGTTTGATGCGCGGTCGAGGAACCAACCCTTCTTCAAGCGACCCATCTCGTCCACGATTCAGCAAGTGACGGTTTGATATTCTACTCATACTCCAGCTATCCACGCGACCGCCGAACTGCATACAATGTCAGGCGACAGTGCGGTGGACATCGGCCAGCTGTCCCCGGAACAACAGCAGGCCTTGCAGCAATATACAGATGTTACAGGGCAGGAGATCACGGATGCTATTCCGTTGCTTGAACGGTCGCAGTGGAATGTTCAGGTAATTGTCGGCTAGAGGCCCCCCACCCCCCCCCCCCCCCCCCCCCGGCTTTTCGATGCCTGCATGCACGTGCTGAGACTGACGTCTGACGCAGATAGCAATAGCCAAGTTCTTCGACGGCGAAGGGCCCGACCTGGTTGCCGAAGCCCAAGCAGCACAGAACGAAGTTCCCAGGGTTGCCGGTAGGCATGAGACATTACACGAAACCGTCTGGTCGGATATCGCGCACCAGCATGGGCTACACCGCGCGAATCGAACACCGCCCGCCCCGCGTGTGGTGCCCCCGAGGCCCGTTACATACCAAGCCCCATCACTGATTTCATTCCTCTTGTCGCCTTTCCGGATGGTTTTACGAGTCTTTGCCAGTTTGTTTCGCCCTATAATCTACATACTGTCCTTTATTCCGCAGTCTCTGCGGCCCCATGCTTTAACAGCATCATTCCGAAAATCTCGGCGGAGCTTGCTTCCCAAAGAGACGGCTGGGCGATTTAAACGGGAATTTGAGGAGTATTATGGCACGCATGATTTGATCTTCTTTGACGGCGGACATGCCCAAGCTTTGGACACCGCAAAGAAAGATCTCAAATTCTTATTGACGATACTGATTTCACCAGAACACGATGACACCGACTCATTCATCAAAGATACGCTTCTCGACCCCGAGGTCGTGGCCTTCATCAACGATCCCGCCAACAACATTATAATCTGGGGGGGGAATGTACTGGACTCTGAAGCCTATCAAGTTTCCATGGAGTACATGTGCACCAAGTTTCCGTTTTCATGCTTGGTGTGCCTAACGCCGAAAGAGGGAAGCACGCGGATGGGAATCGTGAAGCGTATTGCAGGGCCTGTTTCTCCGTCCGTCTTCATTGCTGGGATCCGGGGAGCGATTGAAAAGTACGCGCCTGATCTTGACAGTGTTCGCGCCGAGCGCGCGGCACAGGATATGGCCCGTAACTTGCGATCTGAGCAGGATTCGGCTTACGAACGGTCGCTTGCTATTGACAGAGAACGAGCACGGCAACGGCGAGAGGCAGCAGCAGCAGCTGCCGAGGCGGAGAGGCGCGCACGAGAAGAGGCTGATGCAGCGGAGCGAAAGGAAAAGCTACGCCAGCAGTGGAGAAAATGGCGTGCTACGACTATTGCCGCTGAGCCTGATGTCTCGGTAAAGGATGCGGTCCGTCTGGCGCTTAATATGTCGCAGTCGTCCGGAAGGGGGAGAGTCACGCGGAAATTTGCCCCTGACGCGTCACTGGAGGATGTCTATGCATTTGTCGAATGCTATGACTTGCTTTACCCTGAGAACGAAGAGGAGAAGGGAGATGTGGACGAGAGCACAGATAAGCCTGAAAATTATGAGCACAAGTACGCGTTCCGGATTGCGTCCGTGATGCCAAGGGAGGTTTTTGAACCTACCGCGTCAGTTACTATCGCTCAAAAAATGGGCAGGGGTGGCAACTTGATCGTGGAGGATCTTGTTGATGAGGAAGAGGAGGAATGAGGGCCGCTTGGTTGGGACTCAGAGCTTGCGACATAGTTATTGGCGAGGCATTGTAAAACAGAGTGATTAATGGTAGCCTGACGCCTTATCGTTTTGTAGTGTAAAGAGCTTGGTCATTCGGTTACAGTGTGGAGGATTTTATATGTGAAATCCACTGCCTGACTTCCCGTGGCTGAAGGACAGTGTGCTCTTATATGATGTGGTCCGAGGCTGGATAGTATTTCATAGCCTGGATTATTATACCACAACGTATCGATGCGAGGCATGCGAGTGTGCTGAGCCTTGTTGTTTTCTGGTTGATCACGCCTCGTTACGCACTTTGAGGTAAGGTCCAAACCACAACCAGCCAAGATCAAAGGACCCTCCCTGTCTCCATCAGGTGGGCAGCCACTTGTACAAGTTGTACCAGTACCTCTTGGATGGGCGATTAAAGAGGCTGTTATAGTGTAGGTACTGAGTACTCGTCAGGTCTACGAAATCGACGGCTGACGAGTAGCTCGCCCATCATTCTGGATCGACTACAGATTGCGCATGTTACTGAAACGACTTTCTTCATTGATACAATTGCATATATAGCGAATACTCCCCGAATGGCTTTGGGGAAGATGAAGGCTACCAGAGCGTGGTTTAATAGGCACGGCAGGCAGCAGGGGCATCGATGCCTTTCAAACGCCGACATATCGGGCATCCACCTCTGCATGGATCCGAAAACACGTAGCGTAGGTAATGACAGGAGCGGGCTGTTATTGAATTCCTCCACGGTCTACTAACAGCCCAAGATGTCCCAAGCTACCTACCTATCACTGGACCCTGGACCCCTCCCACATGCATGTAGTGCCGCGCGTTGTTGTCTTTGTAAACTCCGTTACGATCTCGTTTCCTGGACCCTTGTTACCGCGTGGAGGCACTGCACTGTTCCTTACCAACCTACCTTCCCCTCAACTCCCGCTCTCTGTTAGTCGTCAATAATCCTCTGCCTTCTCTTACTCACCTGCCTCGCGGGGAACCCAGCAGTTGCATCATCTGCTTCGATAGTTCATCACGAAATTCATTCAGTTGCGCGCCCGTCGGAGCTCTCATACTCCCGTACACATATTTCTCGACGAATTGATGAATTTCGCGACCGAGCAGGCATCAACACAACTCTTCGCCTGCGCGCCCGCCACGTTACGTACCCAGACACCAGGCAGACATTACCGCGGTTTCAGGCAATCCTCAACGTCCACGCCCTGCCTCTACACTCGAGACCCCGCCCGAGCTTGGGCGCGATTATGACAAGCAAGATGAAGAACTTCAGCATGAATAAGGTGCTAAGCAGCATCAAGAAAAAGCCGACATTCTCCAATGGTAAGCGCTGGTCAGAAAGCTGGCTCCGCGACCAAGCTACCGTTTTTGGGATCGGTTTGCGATTATCGGTGCGGTAGCAAAAGCGACTTGACCTTTCCGCTTATCTTATGTTCTGAAGCTGATCTCCCTTTGCTTGTATAGCAGGAAGTGGAAGTGGGAATGGAAATGGCGACGACGCGACATCCGATCCGACTGGTGATGGTCCCGAGGCAACGGCAACCCGTTATGTGGTAGGCTGCTCACTCAACCCCCCCTTTTTGAAACACGCCTGTCTCCCCGAAAGCTCAAGCCGCTGACATGAGCCGTTTACCCTGATAGAAACAATTCTGCATGTCTGATAGCGGCAACTCGGTATGTTTGTTCTAGTCGCACCGTCAGTCGCAAATCCAACTGCATGTCCGGCTGGGAAGAAAGGATCAGGGGCCTTGAGAGCAACATATCCGATCTACCCCCGGTCCAGGCTCCTACGCGCACATATACAGCATAGACAGCCGCACATGTCAAGGGTCAACTTCTAATTTGAGGCAGGGTGACGAAGTCGCTTTCCTACCATCGATCGTCGAGGCGGCCGAGTCGTCGCCGGCCGCCGCCGCAGAATGCGCCCGCCTGATTCGAAAATACTTACATCGTGACTATTGGACTAAACCCTCATTGCAATACAACGCCATCATGCTCATACGAATCCTTGCCGATAATCCGGGTGCGACCTTCACGCGAAACATGGATAAGAAGTTTGCCGATACCACCAAAGAGCTGCTCAGGTCAGGGAAGGACGGCAATGTTCGACAGATGCTCATGGAGACATTGGATGCCTTCGAAAACACAAAGGGCTACGATGAGAACCTGCAATTCCTTATCGAGATGTGGAAAAGGGAGAAGGAAAAGGCATACCGGGTCTACGGCGTAAGTTATCCTCCATCCACGGACATCCGGTAGCAGGCTCAAAGTGATACCACGACTCGGCTACTAACTCAATCACGCCGTCTAAGCACCACATTTCACCACCCCCACCCCAGCAGTACAGTCCCTACCTATCACACCATCAGTCGCTCCCGAACCAGCAGGAATATTTCCATCGCGCCCAGCACACCTCCCGGCTTCCAGACCCCGTCGAACTCGCCAACCGCCTTGAAGAAGCCCGCACCTCCGCCAAACTTCTCGAGCAAGTAGTCGCCTGCACGCCACCCCATGAAATCCTTTCCAACGACCTGATCAAAGAGTTTGCGGACCGGTGCACGAGTGCCTCGCGCAGTATCCAGGAGTACATGTCCGCCACGGACCCCGCCCCCGACAACGACACGATGGAGAGCCTGATCGACACCAACGAGCAGCTGCAGCAGTCGCTCAACCATCACCAGCGCGCGGTACTGAACGCCAAGAAGCAGCTAGGCTTGGGCTCCCCCGGCTCCGAGAGCATGAGCAGGCCAGGCTCGGTGGCGCCGGTAGTGAACGAGCAAAGCCGGCCACCTCCGGCGGCGGCGGGCACGAGTAATTCTAGAAATGAAGGCGTCCAGGACTGGTTGGCAAGTAGTAGCGCGGTTGCAGGTGGAAGTGGGAGTGGAAGCGGTAGCGGAAGTGGTCGGGGCGCCGGCGTTGGCGCCAGCAGCAGCAGTAGGGGAAAAGGCAAGGCGGCAGCTACCTCGTCTGATGATGACTGGGGCTTGAGCGACTCCAAGTTCGAACCCATCTCTTCCAGGTCTATAGCTGGTGGATCTTCCTCCGCCGCCGCCGCGGGGCCTTCGAGGTCTCACGCAGGAACGCCGTATCGTGACGAAGAGGACCCTTTCAGGGATCCGATCCAGCCTGATTCTTCAGCGTCTTCGATGCGGCGAGTACAACCGTCAACGTTGAGCACGACGAATGAAAAAAATAATGATGAAAGATTATCGTTCGAGCCATATCACCCTGGATTTGGCGGTAGTGGTCACAACAATAGCACGAGCGACGGGAAAGCGAGCAACTCGATACCAGAGCCTGTCACGCCAGTTAGCGACGATGGCTTGTACGGTAGCGGGGATGTGCATCGCTCGACCGGGGTCCAAAGATGAGATTTAACGGTACTTGGGCCGGCGAATGAATAGATGACGATAGCTACCCTTCCCTTTACCCGTCGTCATTGTTAGGTTGGGATATTCGGGGGATAGTTACGACGATTTGGGAACAGGACGCGGCTCCGGGAGGAGAGCACCAGAACGATGAACGAGGTGATGAGCTGGGTTAAGTTCGCATTTTTCAAATCCGTTCAATCAACCAGTCTTCACGAGGAGTGGTATTTACTGCGCTCTTCGTCTCTCGCTAGATTTACACCCTCGCATTGTCAGCTCATATCCTTCATCATGTCTTGCTCCATTCTGCCGATCTGGTTTCAACTACTGCCAAGGATTGCCTGACTATTGGGACCCGAGTGCAAGTTTCAGATCATCGGCATCGATCCTCCCAGGTCTTGAACCCTGAAACTTGGGAAGAGTTGAGTTGTGTCAAGTGTTTGCTGGGTCCACGACAGCATGACGCTTGAAGCTGCTCCTCTGCTGCGGGGCAGCAGGAATCAGAATAGCAAGAGCGCTGGGATTTGCCGACGAGTTGTTAGCAACCCAATATTGTTGTTCTTACATGAGCGCATCGTGTTTGTCCGTTGAGCTGTCGATATAGTTGCCGAATGGCCGAGCGAGGACGGGACCCCCTTTCTCGGCACATTTGTGGTACGTAGGAAGGAAAAGTCGATGTTCGGATTTGGTCGGTATTTTTTCATGTGGTCACTTGTGGGCGAGGATATGGCAGAGACTACGTTTGTTTGCTTTCCTTGTCTCTTTCAAACTCCCATTTTCGTTTTTCTCCAGTTGTTTTCTCCAATCCCGTCCTCTACCCTCTGGCTTTTTCTCTTGTATCTTGCAGGCAGACGGAGGCAGCAACACGTCACATCAAGTGGTCTCGCTGAAACACTCATCCCTTTGCATCACACGTACCTGGTCTAATGAGTACATGAGTCGGTCGATCAAGATATCCGGTGATGCCACAGCACCCCTAGTTTGCTTGTTAGCGCTCCGACTTCTGAAGTTTTACCTTTATACCCTGTCCTAGCAAGGAGACGTTTGCCTCTTACAGGTACGAATGTATATTCAAGTCAAATTCAGCTGCGTCTAAGGAGCGGCATGCGAGTTTCCATCCAAGGATTGGGCATGTGCAATGCGATCGTCCGCTGTCCTATCCTCATCCTCACGGAGTGTCTTTTTTTCCAAGCGCAGCCCAGTTCGGCACATCTCCCCTGTCGACATGTTTCGAAGCCCCGTAACTTTGTTTCCCGTGAATGGCTTGATGCTTTCACGAGCGCCACTGCATTTGTTCTTGGTGACTTGACGCCTTCCTCAAGTCTTGTCCTTCCATCTGATATATCGTCTAATCACCGTAGTAATATCGCTTGGGAGGCCCGCAAAAGCTGAGCCATTTGACGGAACGGTAGAATCCCCGGGGACCAACAATTTGGGCGCAGACGAAGCAGGGAGATCCTAAGACACTTCACACCACTGCGAAACACAGAAGACGGCCTTATTCTTGTCCAGTAAGCCTGGTCAGGTACCGCGTCCACATGCTTCAATCACGAGCTCTCTGAACAAGCGCGGAGAGGACCACGAAAGTGATGTGAAACTGTGATGAAGTCCCCGAAGAGCTTTCATCGACCACGTATTCAGCCTGGTGTGGGGGGCTAGGTGAAGATACTGTACTGTACGTAGAGGTAAGTGTGCCGAGTGTGTCTACCTACCTGGGTTTTATCGAATCGATCTATCCTAGCTTCGATCACCATGCACCAGAGAGTTCTTCGAAGATCGGACGAACCACAAACGCCTCCGCCATAGCAATAGCGTCGTACTAGGTCAAATTGAGCGATAACCGAAGGATCCTGGCTTTGCAGTAGTCGAAGGGGCCATCTCGATAAGAGTTCCGTTGCAGGTTGCATGTCTCATGTATCAAACACTTTGGTTCTTCACCGCATATACTTTACATCGCCCCGCGAGAATTCGATGTGTTGCGATACCTGTCAACAAGGAAGATTTGAGCAACGTCATAGGTCATGCCTGTCAAACAGCGAGACAGCAGGTTACCCCTTGGGGTGATCTTTGGGGAGTACTTCGTCCCCCCCCCCCCCCTGGGCTCTCAGCCGCCCAAACCCATCCGCTAGGCGACACGTATGGAAAGTGACGATGCCCGCAACGCTACGATGCCGGGCGCCGAGGAAGGAGGCTTGTCTTGTTATGGCTGGGTTCGTAAGTCTGAAAGATCGCATCCGAGACATGATGGAATGCTTTGACATGCAGATTGCGAGATTTTCCGACTAGCTTCTTTCGACAGATGTGCTCTTGGATATTCGGGGTCGCTCGCCTATCACCAATGTACTTGTCGCATGGTCCGTATATGGAAAACCGCGGTACAACCATGGGAAGAGGATCGGGAATGGTCAAGAGCTAGACCAGCTTCACTCTCAAGTCGTAGAGGGGCGGCCGAAGCCGGGGAACAGAGGGTGTAAAATGGGGTCTCGTCCAATATAGGCCATCCAAAATACGCCGTATTGTCAGAAACTGACGGACCAGTGGGTATTGCGGAGATACGTGAAGGTTGAGCTAACATCCGGTCAGGGTAGAACCGACAGTTTGGGTCTGGGCTTCGATGTATCGCGCCCGCAGGTAACAGGTCAGCAACGTGAAGTGTATGTGAGGAGTGGAACATACATGGTAGTGTACACTCCTGTAGGTCCTCCTCTCCTCTTTGGCTCAGTGGAGGAAGAAAGGATAGCGAGCATCAGCCGTGCCTGGCGTAGGGTGGGTCGTGGTCCCGGGGTTGTCGAATGACCAGACTCATGGATCTTTGTCAAGTCAGGCGTTGAAGTTGTACAAAATGTGATGATTTGATGGAAAGAAAGCAGAGGGGCGAAGAAAGCCGATGTGACGGCCGACCAGAGACATGCTGTCTCTTCCGAGGTGCAGTGACGTGTTGTCAGTCTAGAGGACTAGGTTCCAATTGTCGGAAGTCACCTCATCCTGTCAAACTTGAACACACTGGGTTTCAAGTCTGTCACCGTAGAGGTACTTGCTTCCCCCGGTCTCCCGTCCTTCCCAATCGCATCTAGCCGTTGTCCTCGTCCCTAATAGGCAAGCACAAACCCTAGACCCGGACCGGCCTCTTCCTTTTCTGTCAGTATCACTCAGTGTACGGTAACCACAGTTCGGGACTCGCCGATCACAACGTTTTGGTGGTCCATCTCTACATTTCATGTTACCCCAAACCAGGGGCAGCTCCGATGTCGACCACTCGCTTGACACTCTTGTCTCTCATAGCCATTCCTTTTCCACAAACATTGTGATATACACCTAGCTTCTTCACCACCACGGCAGCACTAGACCTATATTTCCGTGTTTGAGTTACCCAAATCTGCCTAATCTGGACTTGGTACCCAATTTTCTGATGAATCCCATCTCCATACGTGGCTTGGGCTAACTACAGGGTTCACAGAAAAGCGTTTGCAGTGTAGATTGACGTGTGCTGGGTGTCTGCTTTCTTCATTGTTCAACTTGCTTTCTTCTTCTCTTGTCGGAAACTGGCAGGATAGCCCAACGGTTGAGATGTATAATGTCGGGCCATCCCCATCATACATTCGGTCTCTAGTGAGGGAAGGATGGAGTCAGCCAGAGCCTCCCTTGTAAACCCCTTTGTATCTCTCTCTAGGAAGACGACCTTTGCTTTCTAATAGCGATTCACGTCCGAGGATCAGCTGTCTTTTTCATCGCTTCTGTTGATACACTTTTCTAGATGGAGGAACCGTGCAGTACTCTCGCCTTACCTGGCCTCCCTTGTTACAATACCTCTCTGAGGCTCGATAATCTCTGCACTGATGTATTGTTACTTGTCTTTGAAAAAGTAAGTTTACTCTCAAGCCTATGATGTTTTGGCATGGGGCTTATCTAATCCTGTCGTTACAGCTTCATCCCGCCGGCCTATCAACACTTGCGTGCGTCTGTCGAAGGTTCAACGATATTGTGACGCCAATGATTTATCATGCAGTCCCATTGGACCTACTCCTTGACGAGCAACATCCGGAAGAGATATTGTCCCGTCGCCAGGAAAAGGCCTTCACATATACTCGACAACTTTTCATCGGAGGTGACATCAAGCAGGACGACATCAAGCGTTTCCTGGCCAACACAAAGGAGCTTCAGTCAGTGAAGTACACCTATTCGCCTGGTCGTAGCGTGGAACCTATATGCCCCTGGAAACAAGTCTACGACATGGAAGCTCACCTGAGGGAGGGCAATGCAAGGCTCTACATTGACAACTTCACACTGACGAATCCAATCGATGAAGCTTGGAAAATTGGAGGTTTTCCACCGAAAACTGACTTCGGCAAGTCTTTGGTCTCTCTCAAGATGGGCTCTACACAGGTGCTCCATTCTGAATCGGCTTTGGACATTTTGAAGAAGCTTCTTCTGAGAACCCCCATACTGGAAACATTCCACTACATGGGTAGTCGAGCTCCGCGAGTTCCAGGACGACAGTTTATCTTCGAAGAGAATCAGCGCTTGCCACCATTTAAGGACCTCATGTTGAAAAATTATGACTGGAAGCATGACGCAGGGGATGTCAAACTGCATTGGGACTTTTCTCAAATTTGGTCTCTCGCACTTCTCATGATACCTGTCTACAAGTTCCTCGAATCGGTTCCCTTTTCCGATCTTGCTCAACTACAACACCTTCATGTCGAGGATTACAGCGAGGCCATCGAACATGAGAATTCGAGGCGTGCAACCGAGAAGCTATACACCCTCATCAAGGAAGACATTAAGGCACTGCAGACCTTGAACCTCACTTGCTTCATTGAACTCTTTCATATCGACGCACTTCTGGTTCATGCCCAGTCTTTAACCAGCTTGGTCTTTCGGAATCACTATATCTCCAACAATTTACGCCAACATCGCCCTGTCTTGAATGCCGAACAACTTACTATTCTTTCAAAGTCTCAGAGTTTGCTAGAATCACTTGAGATAGACATTGACCATAGGGCCTTTCCGGAGACATGTCTCTTGGCCCTTTGCCAGTTTCCCCGTCTGCACAGTCTCGTCCTACACACACAGACAGTTATCCAGCCCGATTCTAGTCACCGTCCTGGCCAGGACCCGGATCTCATGAGGGCCTATGACTGTTTCACGATACTTGTTAGGCAACGACGACCGGGACCGACCAAATGGCAACGCGTTGTGATCAATGTGGGTGGTTGGCGAGAAAGGGTTGTAAATCCTCGGGCTGGCAGAAAACCTAGGATAGGTCATAGCATGACCTACACCTACTACGGAGCATGTGTTTCTCAGCGATATTTTGTCTTGGAAGAGTCAGCATCCGGCCAGGAGGACCTGATTTACGAAGAATTGCCACCAAAGGATGAGGGTTTGACTCACTTCCATGGTAACCTTAGGACCGGGAAAAGTCTTGTGCCCCAAGCTAAAGTTGAAGAGGACTAGCGATGAGATACATACATAATCCTCATTCCTTCCGAAAGAAAACAAGCCACGAGGTTCCCAATGCCTTTCCCTTTCCCCGAGATCTCATTTCTTGCTTCCCTCCAAAACCGAGCAAGAGTTGTGCGAGTGCATAGAATTATTCTAGGATTCTGAACACACAATGATGCTTTCTTATGTCACTGATAGTTTTCTTTCTTCACATACAGCTCTGGAATCAAGACAGCGAGGCAACCAGGTTATGTACATGTAGCTCGGGTTGTCTGTCGTACGGCGTGGATCGACTCTCTTTTTTTCTCTTCTTTGTGGCTGTGCTGAACCAAGTTCCATTCTACTTGGAATGTTGTCTAAGACTCCTTTACCACTGTAGGTCCTCGACGTTTGTCGCATAACAAAGCTGGAGTGCGTGAGACAGGTGTTCAAGGGACCACAAATCTACGAAGACTTCAGACTCTCATGTTCAAATATAATTGCGATATCCAGTAGGACGAACATAGTCCGGCTTTCTGTGTATATTTTGTTAGTGCCTTTAGGTCAAAGATTGCCATCGTTGGACGTTGGTATGCGACTGCGTGATGTGACACATTGCTACAAACAAGGTGTTTGCACCAGGGCACAAGATTGTGGAATCCGTGTGAACGGTACGTGCTGTCTTCCTCTTTACAGGGTCCTCCGCAATACCAGTCGGGAATCTTTCAAGTCTCTTGGACATATTCTATGTGGTAATTTAGAACCCTGCCGTTGTAGTTAACTGTTTAACAGCACGCTGATAAGTGTGAGCTGTAAAGGGCGCCAGACCGTAGCTATAGAGGGGGGAACGGAATCTTTGCGAAGACGACAAGGGCCCGTTTTCATGGCCAGCAGTCCACCAGGCCAGCGCACCCGTAAATGTTCCCTAGTTCCCTAGTTTCCCTACCCGTAAGAGATTCCCCCAATCCCCCAGTCCCGAGTTCCACTGAGTCCACAAAGACCCCTACCCAGCACGTACGATCTTCACATGCCGATGTGACCAAGCGCGCAGGGGGTCCTTAAGATATTAGTCCTGCGCCGGCGCGTGACGTGCCCTTGCCCTACGGACTTCCGGTCTAGACAAGGGGAGGTGTGGGAATAGCTCCACCGACCACCGTCCACCGAACGGGCCATCGAGTAGAGAAGTGGATGTGCGCGACAACATGACCGGCGAATCGAAATCAAACGTTTTCTTTTTGAGTTGATTCACATTTTGGGGTGGTTGTAGGGGTTGTCTTGGGCATCCAAGGGACAGGTATCTGGTGATGTTCGGTCTTTTGGGAAGTCAAGTGTCGGTAGATATAGTCTATGGTCTTGTTAGCGGGCCTACGTTTTCCAAGAGAAATATTTGAAGATGTATGATGCAATAGTCAAGTTAAACTAAGAGTTCTTGCTCGTGGATGGGAAGCCCAAACTGTCTGGAGGCGCCTTGAGTGCCTGGGTACATAGTCACTGGTTACTTGTGTTCGTGGATTGGGGTTGTAAGAGCCTCACTTCGAAGTTCCTGAAGTAGCAGGATTTACCATAAGTGGCGGCGGTGACAACGAGAGAGATGCGTTATTGCGAGCCATCAGAGCATCTTTGAACCGGCTCCAACATAGTCTTGCTTGCTCTGTCAATTTTCAGCTCTCTTTGTCGTTGGGCAGGATGATTTGAAAGTACCGGGTGCGGGCGTCTCTCGATCATTCCAAAAGTACTTTGTCAGTTCGAGTAAATTGCAGATGAATTTCAAGTGAAATAGCGGCGTTCTCATTCGTATGCTGGCGTGTCTCTTGAGGTGGAAGAAGTCAAATGTAGTTTTGTCGTTGACAATCAAATATTATCCGTCTCGGTATTATCAGGAACCTGTTCAAGTATACAGTCTTAATCATCAATGACACTGTACTTTCAGTAATTTCCCTTACGTCCCGCGTACCGTGACGTTTCCTGTGGTGATTTTGTGAGTATCAGATGTGGAGACTGGAAAGTTCTTTGCCATGCAACGGGTACATCCGCCCTTCCGCCCCGAGAAAGGGGAGCCCAGCGTTACGTACTCTATGTTTTATCCTGGATTCACGCTAACTGAACGCTTAGTGTAACCACCCCCGCGCCTACTCCTGATAGGCTGACAAAGGCTGTGAAGAATTTTGAATGGTTAAAAAGACAAGCTAAGCGGCCCCGCCCAAGTTCTTTGCTTGCTCTCTTACGGAGCCGATCGAGCGCAATCCGGATTGCAATGGCATGGAACGTCCCCTCTTTCTGGGACGATCGCACACCCCAAGTCCACTGCAGTCACTTCGATCTGGCCCACCGATTACGGAGATTGTTAACTTTCCGTACACATTACACTCATGTATTTTACAGTTTGCAACGATTCCATTACATGTTCGTAACCTTTTCAACAATTACAGTACCTCACTGGCTACAAGTTGCTTCTAACCAAACAAGCGACAAAGATGGGTGATACTAATCACAGTTCTTTCCTACCTATCTTACGACTCCGAATGTTTGTAGGTTCTCAGGAAAAAGAGAGTGGATTCTTTTCCACAGCTGATCCATAGCAGGTAACGGTCGCCGACGCATCCGGCACACTCTCGCAGCCACTGGGTTCCAATGTACTGCACAGTACACTCCCTTCCATTGCTTCCCTTGGCGCCCAAGTACCAACCTCAAGGCACAATGGGCAAATGATCGAATTCTATGAGCGCATAAAGAGAACAAGGCTTCTTTGTTCCACTTCTTTAAACCCTTTTCTTTGCATCGAACCATCCCATGTTGATCGACCCGCGACTGGGTTACGTCTTTGTTTTCTTAACTTTGAGCTTTCCCCTCAGTTCCAGCTGGAGGCCCTATCCTGCTGCCAAGTAACGAGGATGCCGTATGGAGAAAAGGGGGTCCATCGAATCGTCAATTGAACGCTCGATATTTTACGGACAGGATCTGGATCGATGACCACTGATAAACGTTGACGGTTTTTCACTTTTTCTTCTTCCTCCTCTTTTTTTTTAAAAAAATTTTTTTTAATTTTTTTTTTAAATTCTTTTTTCTATTTTTCCTTTTGTTCGTTGGAGGGTTCAAAGGTATTGGGACCTCTAGACTAGGATCGGACAGTCAATTGACAATACGAAATATTCGGATGTTTGTATTATCAGACATTTCTTATATTTAACAGTCACTTGACTGGACTTGGATTAATTAGAGCGGCCTTGAACGTCTAGGGGCCTCAATCTTTCAATTGAGAGCTTGCTAGACCACCTCCTTCCCGTACGGTGATGGAAGTGGATAGATAGAAAAGAACATTGACCGAGCAGCGCTTTCGATAAGGTGGACACACAATGAGTTTTACATCGGATGCTCCCGTCTTTGTACATACGTCGCGAACAGACGGGAATGGAGGGAAAGAAGCGGAAGGGAACTCTCGGCCGTTGTTGTACACCCACCTACGGGAGGGACCACGGGACCGAGCCGCGCCAGGCAGACGGGATTCAGTCCGCGCATGTCCCTAGGAACTTGGTCTGTAGCTGAAGATGGCACTGCAATCAGACAAACATCTTGTCGTCTATTTGCGGAAACGGGTAGGTCGGACTGACTGTGGTGATCCTGAGAACGTCCAACTGCGTGATGTCAAGCTGCCAAGCTGCTAATAAGGTAGCGAACATCAACGACGATATACAGACCAAAACACTTCCCTACAACTTTCAACCTTGACCCAGCACATACACGATGTTGTCACTTATCATCCTCCTCACGTATTACTAAATAGTTACCCCGTTTCGTCACACCAAATCGACCTGTTGATCTGACCGCCACTTACTCGCGGAGTTGCAGAAGTGGCCCAAGGGGGTCAGAGGCAGGTATCCGTCATTTCTTCCACAGACGGTATAGACCCGTGCTAGTGTGCAGGATCTATATGTAAGGGTTAACCGCTTACCGTATTAGATCTAGGGGTCCCGGATTACGTATACGATAGAAACTGTTGCGTATGTGTCGTTACCCGGTCCTGGGCAGGTGGACGGCTACATATCCTGAGGAAAGTTTGTCTATCCATCCAGGTCTCATACAGAGAGGGAAGAAAAGGAGGCTGGAGATCCGAGCAGGGGACACCAAGGGGGAAAAGGGGGTAGGGAGAAGAAGAGGGGGGGAAAGACTGGGATGCATAAACAATTGCAATGAATAGACAACTCAGAGAATTGTGAGAACTTGCATTACATTACCTTGATGGTGGAATTTGCCTAGACTGGTAGGAAGCATACCTGAAGTGCGGTGGAAGTGAAGCACAGCAATTTGATTGACAAGACGAGAACGACGGATGCACAACATGATGTCCTCCACAGAGTGCACCACATACTTGTCGTGTCATGTATCGTACGCAAGAGCAGAATCTCAAATAAGGTATTCCCTCCTCTCTTTAAAGAGGAAGGAAGCAGAGGAGTGGAAAGAGTGTTATCACCATATTTCCGGTTCTCATGTGGCTAGTGGCACTAGGTAGTTAGAGGAGACCCTTTCTTGGTTATAGTGGTTGGCACTCATCGCATCTAACAGCTTGCCTGTTCGATTGTCTAAGACAGACAGTACCGAAACGGACACATACGGTTGCTCGCATGCGTTGATAGTAATACGAGGAACAATTGCGGCCCATTGGTCGCCACATGTATAGTTTGGTCAGAGTTACTGGTGAGCTGGTGTACTGGATGTTGGCTCGCAAGAAAGCTTTTTGCGTGATACCTAAACCTATGCTACATTTCGACGACTTGAAAGTGGTGCTGATGATGGCCCGGAAATGTATAACGCAAGCCAATTTTCACATGGGCTCGCCACTATTTAAAGGCCTTTAAAACATGACCGACTCACGAGGCAAGAGTAGACGACGCACCTTCAACGCTAGAGTTCAGAGCTACAGATCATGGCTCAAAAGAGCTGATGCGATTGCAGTACATAAATAACTGATAAAATGGCCTCCCACCGAAAAGCATGCCGCTGACCACAAATGGTGTACCCGTTGCGCGCCATTATAAAAGAGAAGCGAGTAACATGCAACATACCAGACAAATGACTAGAGCCACCCAACACCCATTTTAGCCTTGAGGCAGCCGGATCTTTTCAAGTACAAATCCACCCGCCCTCTGCTTATGGCTCTTCGTTCCCGAGTCGTGCGTGAAGATAAAGCAAACCAGAGCCATACAAAAAAAAAGCAACCTGCGGCAGACCTTGAACACAAAATAACACAATGAGATTAGATCATCAACTTTCCCCTCTCGCTCCCGCTCAGCGGGGCGATAATCATGCGAAAACATGGACACCCAGCGTCTTTTCAAGCCACACCAAAAGACTGGCCCAAGCCCTCTAAGCATCGAGAAGGAGCCGCTCCTAGCTGCGCCTGTTGAGCCTGCCGAGCATATCGCGGTCAATCCTATTCGTGTCTCTGTGGGAGTCATTCTCTAAAAACCGATCCAAGCTCATCGGGTTCGGGGCGTTGGGAGGAAGAATTCCAGGACGTGCGCTTGGCTGTGACGGAATAGTCGGCGCGGGGTTACCGGGGCTATTCCTGTGAGGAGTGGGCGACCTATCTGGTTCATAGCCACCCTGAGGATATTGTTGCTGATAGATCGGCGGTGTTCCATTGCTGTGGATGGAAGCTGGGGACCTGCGCCGGGGATCATCGTCGCGAGCGTTGTTTGGGGGAGGTAGCCGCATCGCATGTTCCTCATCTTGTGGGCGAGGTCTCCGGCGACTGGCATCTCTGTCATCGAACGGCGGGTAATGGAGACTAGGTGATTGAACTTGTGGTGGGGGAGGGTACTCTGATGCCGGGTGCGGATAGCCACGAGGCGGCGGCGGCTGCGGCTGTGGCTGCGCAGAAGAAGGCAGAGGCTGACCATATGCTCCAAACAGTGGTGTTCCAGGAGGAACACCGCCTGCCACCGCTGCTACGGGAACAAATGCCGTCGATGGATTGCTGCTGACAGGTTGAAAGATGCAGTCGATACGCAGTTTGTCGCAGTTGGAACACTTGCCATTCGTCGTATTCTGATACCCACTGCATCGGATCTGTTGAGCCGAAGAGTTAGCAAAAGGCTCGTGGAAAGAGGGGCAGTTGAAATGTACTTGCCTTCCTTTTCCGGCAATACTTGCACGCGATCGAGGTCCGTTGACGCGGAGCAGCTTGTTGCGGCTGCGGAGGCGGGGGGGCCGCAGGAGCACCGGGTCCGTATGGGTAGTTGGGCGCCGGAGGATAACGATACTGATATACGTCTGCACCATACCCGCCGCCGCGTCCCTGGTGTGGTGGACCCTGCTGGTAGTATGGATCCGACGGCATGCCTCTGTCTGGGTACTGTCCCCTCTCATCATAAGGCCTTCTGTCGTCATACGGTCTTTGATCTTGTGCGGCTTGAACTGGCGGCAGTTGGTACTGCGAAGTCGGGGGAGCAAATCCACCCGCGGGCGGATTCGAATTCGGCGGGGCGTATCCGGGGGGATGAGTCGCAGACAACGGGGGATAGCTACCGGGAGGCGGTGGATTCGGCGAGCCGTATCCATTATTCGTTTGAGCCCGTGCATCTGTCCAGGCGCCTCTGGGGTCGCCTCTGGGATCCCCTCTTGGATCTTGGGGGTACCTCTGTCCGGCCCCGAATCTTTGATCTGGGTAGCGCTGATCGTGGGGATAGCCGTTGGCCGGAGCTGGGGCCGGGGCCGATGGGTGCATCGCCATGTTGGTGGTCGTTAATGGCGGCAAGGGATACTGTGACCGCCTCTCTTCGTCGTCACCCGGAGGCGAAGGATAGTTAGACTGCTCAGGTCCGTCTCTCGAGGGGTAACCTCTACCCGCCATCATGAGCTAGGTCAGTGCTGGCTTTTCGGACCAATGTCCGCTTTTCAAGAGCTTTCGTGTCGAAACAACTCTTGATAGAGGCTACTAACGACTGTGTTAGTAGCTGCGAGGGATGGGGTCGTGCTAGGCACGTTGAAGAGCGTGTTGTGCGACGTAGTTGGTGGTGAAGGTAGAAGCAAGTTGGGTGTTGGACCTGCAACCCCGTCACCCAAGTGGCATGTGGTGATAAGTAGCAAATGAAGCTGTCAAGCCGTCAAAGACAGCATATCGGCCATCGCGCTTATGTGGCGCAGGAAGTTGAAATGCTTTCGTTTGGCAGAGAGAAAAAAAAATACCTTGGGTGAACTGACTTTGCGTGACCAGGCGCGATGACCTGGGAGGTACGACTCCTAATAGAAGGATCGTTCTGTCTTCAATCGAGTTTTTTTTTTTTTCAGTCCGACTCTTCGTTGTTTTTCCTCTCGCCCCAGCGCAGGCGTAAAACACAGATGCAGGCAGGGACAAGCCGTGGCCGTGACCGATGACGATGCGCCGAGGTCCCAACTCAGTATCACAGTCGAATTAAAGGCTTGTCAGAATGGCTATTCTGCACTCGCCGATGGTTCGTTGCGACACAGATGGTGGCGAAAGAGAAGAGAAAAATACGACGCAAGGAAAACGGCAGCGAAGCGCGGCCGACGACCAGTGTCTCTGTTGTTAGGTTTCTGCTAAGTGGAAGTTGCGCGCGGGTTGGAGAGGGAAATTTTGAGAGGTTGGATTGCGGAGGGATGATGGAAGAAGCGAGCTGATTACTTATTATTTCAAAAGGACTCGCCCGGCTTTTGACGGATTGGCAAGGTTTGCCCGCTGCGTTGGGTCACAGGCTCAAACCACGACCAGTGCCACGGCAGCTTCCATTCCAACCCGACCGACGGTGGACTGGGTGCTTAGTGCCCGCTAGTGAGCTTTAGCGTGCAGGCTGCCTGCGTTGCATGCGATGGGGTAGGTAAGCCGGACCGTTTAGGTGGACGTTACCGTATGGTAGCCAGGGAAGGTAACACTGCAGCGCATATACGGCAGCAGATACGGTGTGCGCAGTCATACCTGTATGTAAGTTTCCGTATCCATGCAGTATCTCCAAGGTTCTGTTACGATGCGAGGGAGCGGGGCGGTACGTACCGCTCTCCCTAGCATGCACTGACCTTGGAACTGGCTGGGGGGTACTTCCTTGGAACAGCTACCTCAAGACTTTGCAGTCAATCTTGGCCCGCAATTTGCATTTCATCCAAGTTGTACTGTGTAGAAGATACCATAACGACGATGTACGATTCTCGTAACAAACTCCACATTCAGTTATCACACATGACACCTGTCCTTTCTTCAGATCCTACTTGGGTAGTATTGGGATATCATCGAAACAAAGAGATCAGTTTCAAAATCAAGCGAGCAAAAAAGGTACAAGCTGGGATGATGTCCTGCGGAAGGCGAGCAGCAAGATACGGGCGCCCTTTGAAAGATCAGTCCGAGAGTCGTCTAAAGAGTGGAAGACTGAGACGAAACGGAAGGTTCTGGACATCTGGCATAACACCGGATTATGGGAAAGGGTTGAAGACTCGCTTTGCAAGCCGTCAAATATGTGTGAAGGCGGGGCGGGTGCTGCGCGCCGGGACTGCCCGTTTCGAATGGGGACGCCCAGGCGGTCCGATGCCCGTCGCGGGTCATTCCGAGTCACATCGGACAACGACACGGGGACCGGGCGGTATCGTGTTGTCCTAGGAGCATCGTGCTAATCCGAGATACCCACCGGTACACAGCAAAATGGTCAAGGTCGTGAATGCCATTCACGAAGCGGCTTTGGTCGTAGGCGTCCAAAGAATGAGGAAGGCTAGCGTATTGCGTCTGCCTATGTTGACAAAATGTTATATATAGACTCTGAAAAAAAAAAAAAAAAACCATTAATCTGAAAAATTAAATAAAAAATGGCAAGATTTAATATAGTACGTTAGATCTCCGAAACTTGTACTCAAGGTTCCATATTACTTATATATACAATTACAGAATTGGATTATATCTCTGACACCTTTCTGATACTCTTGATGGTACCTCGTGATTGCACTGTACTATGGACAAGATTGGCCACCACCAACCAGACTTGACTCATGGGTAGGTTTTAGAAAGCCGCCCGCCATACCCGCCCATCATTAGCAAGCCGAAAGCAAAAACAATTGCATAACAAAGATTATGCTTAATAGGTCCTCCCTCCACTCACTCCCATCCTTGTTTTCAGCTCACTTGAACGGCAGCAGCCCGGTGTAGTTATTATAGGCATGACTGATCGCAAGGCAAAGATTTGCGGTTAGCAGGTGGTTGCAGATGGGGCCGCAGCTTCCTCGCTTACCTAGTCGCTTTTGCCAAAAAATCGAGTTATCCTCTTTCCACACTCACTAAAGCCGATACCCAGCACGCAATTACCTCTAGGCCGCGAAGCAAGGAGTTACTTGAAATACCCATTGACGGCAGTGGGCGAGACATAACATGACGACAGATTTGGACCCGCGCTTCCAAGGATTCTTGAATGATATACTGCATCTGAGAAGGGCGGCAGTACAGCTCGTATATCTAGGTACCTCTACCTTCCATGTGGGTAAATGTATCTGCCAAGGTCTAGCAAGGAGCAGCACCGTACTGTTTTCCATGTTCCAAGAATTGGATCATTTATGTACAACGGTATTTCAGACCTCAGAACTCGGCCCGTTAAATCGCCGTCGATCAACCGGTATTCCGGCCCATATTTAGCACCAACAGAAAGCTGATATACCTTTCCAAGGTCAATCTTACCTGTACAGCCCTTCATGCGGCGTGGTGATCATGATCGTTTGATATCAGCTGATTGAGTTTTGACTAAGCCAAGCACAATGTGTCCCTACATCACTCCCCTCATGCCTTTCCAGGATCAGGGTTCCATGTGTTCCAAACTAACCTTTGTGTTGTGGCAGGGGAGCAGAATTCAAGTCCATGCAAACGATCAATAGCATACCCAAACTTTTAGTGGCCATTTGCCTTAGCGCGATATCCTCCATTTCTTTTTTTCGAGAAAATTTTTTTTTTTTTGTTTTTTTTAAAAAAAAAGAGGTTTGCGAACTTGAGGCAGGGAAGATTAGGCGTTAGTTGACTGGTAGTCCGATTCGGAATATGCATCGGAACGTCAGACACTGGCACCAACAGTCTCGGGAATTTCACTGTCGTGGCCCGAAACATGGAGGCACTTTAGCAATCCTCTTGGCCATTCTCATCAGAAACACACGTCCACTCCCGGCCCAGTGTTGGAGAGAAACGGCGTACAGAGGCGCAAACGGACTATCAGACGCACAACTAGTTCACTGTCTTCATAAGGCCTGATGTACAAAGGAAGACCGGCCCTCCAAACATTGCCATGTACAGCGTCATGCGGTGTAGCCTCGAGACAAGTCTCCTTTTGCTTGTCCCATCTCTGCGAGAGACAACGCCAGATGGGAAGCGGCCGGGACATGAGAAGTACAATCCACATTCAACACCGTGGGGTATGCATCTTCTCGGGACAGTGGCTTCGGTGGGCTGGTTGCTCGCTCTCCTCCGTCTTTTAGGGATGTGGTTGGGCCGTCATAACAGGTAGTTCACACCAAGGTGTGCGACCCATTGCCCTTGGAGATGAAGATGTCGCGAGCAAAAAGGCCTGAAATATTACGCCCAGAGGGGCACTGTCTCAGCAGCATTGCGAACAGCTTTGAGCCATGCCAATGTCACAACCGCTATCATTTCCAAGCTTCCAACGATCGCAACCGCTCGAGCAGTCCCCGAAGACTCTATGTTTCCAGTCGGTCTCAATCTCGATGACTGAAGACCGGACGGCGCTGGACATCCTGAAGTTGGGTGGTAGACGGGCGCGGACTTGGATAGGCTAAATAGGGGTAAATACTCCTTTAGATATGGCTCCGTGATCCTCAGAGCAATCTGACCGGGTTGTCCTTGCCAGTGCTTACGCCTCCTGTACAGAGGTGTCATGGAGCCTGACGCTGAATGCGTGGCGGCCCAGAGATGGAACCCAGGCATGGAAATGTGGCCGACAAGCAAGTGGATGATCTCACATTGTGCATTGCAGCCGACATAATCTTGAGCATGCCTTGTCCAAAGGCAGCAACTTGATGTCCTCCAATTCGCGAACTCCCGTTTCCCGTGACTATAGTGCACCGGGTTCACCCGTCCGTCTGTCATGCCGTCCTGTCAACTGAAGGGAGGCGCCTCTGCACGGCACGGTCGCAATCCTGTTTGATCGAGCATAAGTAACCAACTCAGAAACGGTGGTTGCGTCCCTTGCTACACAGTTACCAAGCTCGAACCCCTTCATTGGGCGTCACTAACAGCACAAACACCCTGTTCACCGCGAGTGTTGCTTACTCTTGTCTTTTCATCGGGCAAGTCCACTCTGCCAGTCCGCTTCGAGTGTCTCTCCGGAAATTGTAGTGAAGGGTCTAATGAATAAGATGCTAATATGACAGCTGATAGCGAAATTAATAAGGCATTAAATCCCGTGGATCATGGCATCCTCTTCTTTTCGCTTCCACTTGGTAGTCCTACCTCTAGAGGTAGACGTACTGCACCAGCACTCGATTTCTGAACCATAGCTCCTTCCTAGCATATCACTATCCCAGGTGCAGCTTTGCCACACACCCCGAGTACCTGCCATTATTCCTCACACTGATGTATTTTGTGGTGACGGTTGCGCCGAGCAACATTTCCATCTTCTATCACTGTCTCCACAAGATACAATCCAAGGTAAAAGAATACCTACGGTATCGTTCAACGGGTGATTCAACTGGTACCTTGATAGGTCCAACGAAACCAACAAGATTTGCTGGGTTCGAATTAACACCAACGCAACGGCAAAGCCTTCCAGCTGCTCAAAGTCAGGGCAGCTGGCATTTTACAGCAGCACAGCAGTACAACAGCACAATGGTAAACTTGCCTCACTCGCACTTCTGCATGTCGAAAAGCGCTGCCGAGGTTTTGAAGATAGCGACGTTCTTCAGAATCCCAACACAATTGGATGCCTCTTGCTCCGGCCTTTCACACTGGTTTTCAGCGCACTGGAACGCCTCAGCGGCAACGGCCTAGCCAAACGATGGTAATTACGAGCCAACGAAACATTATCCTCCACGCTCCTACTCTAACGTAGGCTACAAGATACCTTCGCTCAACATATATATCGTGGCGATGAGAACCCGTGATTTGGCGAAATATCCTGATTGTCTTTCTCAGATCTTCCCTCAGCAACATTCCCCCGTCGCATATCCGAAGAGTCATGCCCCAGGATGCTGACGTCCACTAGCCCCAGATTCAGAACATAGTGTAAGCATCCTTGTCAGAGCGTCCCAACAAGCCGCTTCGGATCTCCACAATCACAAAAGGGGGACCACAAAAATGCAAGTTCCAGACTATTTTCGATACGGGGCCGTGTGTGCGTCGACTTTATGCCACCTGGTCTCTCGAGACAAGGTGTGAGAGATCTTGGACCACCCCCCCCCCCCCCCCCCCCCCCCCTTTTTTTTTTTTCCCTTTTTTTATCTTGGGTGTTCCTCTCCCCTCGAGAATACCGACGGGATGTCAACATCAGAGGCTGCCTCCCTGAAACTATCCAAACCATATGTAGTCTCGTCGCCGTCTCCAGATTCCCCGCCATAATGGAATCGCGGCCCAGGACGGTTGACGCCGCTCGATGCCTCCGAGGCAATGCACTCATTAGGTAGTCTACATGCTGCAACGCTTCCAGGGCCCCAAGGATAGAGGGAGCCACCCAGGAATGGCGCAAGATTGCACTACCAGATTTTGACAACTTGGTTCCCGCCGCCATCGGTTCGGGCAGACCCTCCCCAAGAAAGTGGACACGCAGTGCTTACACTCCCTGCTAATGTCATGCCTCCCTTCCCGTTCCCGTTGTTGGCCCGTCTGCTGGATCCATGGGGACGGGTTCCAGGCCGGTCGTTGTAGGCAGTACTGGTACATAGCTCCTGACTCGTTTGGCTGACCTCGGTTCCCATATCTTCATCGACGATAAAACCTGCGAATTACTCGCAGTGAATTCAAATGGCAAGGTGGAATGCTGTGCAGCCGCCAACAACCGGGCCTGTGGAAAAAGGGGGGGCTGCTTTCATCATTATTGCGAACAGAGGTAGGAACAATGCTCATATCTAAGGTATGCGCTAAGACGAAACGTCTACGATTGGCAACCGTTGGGCCTTTTTCTTCTATTCCCCGGCCTCCTTCTAGACTCATCCCGCTGTTGTCATCTTCTTCTGCACCTTGATACAGTTTTGATAGCTCTTACACTACAGGAAGTCGGAGGTCCGTGTGCGGAGAGGTAGCAATGTTGGGTTGGGTTGGTGGCCCATGCGGATTTTTAACTTTCAAGTGCATCATTAGGTAGCATAGTAGTTGCAGAGCGTCCACTAGGTGGCGGCGCTGGCGGGAAATTCAGGGTTGGTCACAGCTTGTCAAACTCGTAGGCAATTTGCATCTCGACCCCCCTCACCCGCTCACCGTTCTGTATAGCCACAACTCTTGGTTTCTCCGTCATCAATTACGTCTACAGCGCGGTGTGCTCGCAGGATCAAACTGAACCCTGGCGGCGCCTAGAAAACGGAACTCTTAGGCATTGGTGTAACGACACCCCGGCGGCTGAGCGCATGCACCGGGCTTGTTTGCTTACGATCCCATACCGCGACAAGTCCAAAGTGAGACGGGACGGGAGGCAGATTACCCAGCAGGACACTGCGTATTGGTGAGTTGAAAGCAACCAGCAATAGGCGCCGGGCCCATGGCAAGGGTATGTACTGTGTGCCCAAAATTTCACATGTACTGTATACTTGTAGAAAACAATTTCGGTTTGCGCATTTCAATTTGGCGTGTTGATCGCTTGTATGTACCAAGATATCTTGACTGTTCTCCTGGTGTACCTGCTCACAGTCCATGAGTCCTTTTTGACAATGGATTTATCGAAGAGTTACGTCGAACAGCTTATGGATGCCTTTACCGACCTCCCGGAACTGCCTTATCGATCACAGCATGTTGGTGTGTTCTAGGAGATATAAGTGTACGTTGATACCCTCAGCGAAGGATGATTTTTCTTTTTTGGATTTGTTTGTTTCTTCTACACACTTCCCGATACCATAATACATCACCCAAGCTGCCGCATGTGTGTGTGGATGGTAGTTATGGCTCCTCATTAACTAGGTACATTTACGTGAGGAAACAAGAATTGTCAAATGCCTTACACCGAGCGCCCGAGGAGAACGACTTGAACAAAGAGAAGCTACAGAATGTGCCAGGTACAAGGTAGCGCCTTACATACGTCAAGTATATTGCGCTGCAACCAAGTGTAGTCTCTTCGAACACTAGAAAGATGGAATACGAAGTAGGGAGATGCTCCGGTTGCAGATGACCACCGCCGTGTTTAACAACCACCCAACCTCCTCCACAATCGGATTTTGAATTTACCTACCACCCCATCTATTCCTCCGTTGGGTGACAAGCATTCTTTCCCCGTTGCTTTCACTGTGACAAACTACAGGAAACTTTTATCGCTTGGGTACGCCTGGTCTTACAGATCTCCATTGCGGTTATGACATTGTGTACATGCAAACAGCATGTGTACGTGGCCGGAATGGCAGTAATCCCTTCTGACAACAACAACAAAAGCAGGGTGGCGTCCGGAATAATTCATCTCTCCTGTTCCTCGTTGCTCCGTGCTGTTTTTCCCTAACCGATTTCTTGTTCCTGAATCTCAAGTGGCACATAGGTACTGTTGTGTCTTGTGTTGGGGCCGCACTCGTGATATTGTGTTATCTCTGAATGTCTTTTCTTTGTGTCTCGGGGGCGTTGGTGAGCACAGTGACGGAGCAGACCACACATGCTATAGTTCGGGAAGTTGATAAAAAAAAATGTATATCGAAACAGTGAGTTGACGACCGACGAAGGTGAGCACTTGCACAGATCTTACATTCGTGTCATTAGATTAGCAAGTTTCATTACAGTCACCAGCAAGACTTTACATGTAGCTACTGATTTCTGACCTCTTGATAGTTAGATGACGGCCACCAATGCAAAGAAAGAGACCAAACGTGGTTAGTGTCGCGGACACACGCGCAAACATCATCTTGGTCGATCCTGCTCGTAGTGGTTGAGGAGAGCCAACACCTGTAGGTAAGCGGCACAGGCTAAAACAAGGTCTGCCCAGTTTGGCTGTGGGCGCGAGACCGAGTTGCTCTCTTGTTCCCCATCACGGCGCTTGTCTGAATGTCTGGCGGCTGGAGAAGGCGGTCTGCATGTCTGCAACCGGCTCAAACTGACCCAGCTAGGTAGCAACCTATCGAAGCTCAAGTCCCTAGTAGGTTTGCGGAGGATCGCGACTCTCGAGAGTGAAATTCCTTCATGTGTTCACAAAAGGTTATACTTAGGTCACCGTTAAACAGTCACGTTGATGGACATCACATCTCTGGAGGGAGGGTTAGAGACAGAGGGTGATGATGCAGTTGGAAAGAAACCAGAGAGGCCTGGTTCCTAGTTACTAGCGCCCTTCTTGGCAGTCACGTGCAGAAACAGTCCTGTACTCCACCATTCTTTCCGCTCAATCTGGCGGGCCTGGCGGGAACACCGAAAAAGAATGTGTCATTGCTCCGTCGTTAGTGCACCCACTTCGTCACGACACCCTGTCTCCCTATGTGCCGCGAGCATCGGTTAGGAGAGGGTGTGGCGTCAATTTTCTTTGTTTCTTGTTTCCAATCTCTCCTTTTCTGGAGATGACCATGGCCCATCTGCTATCCCGGTATCTGGGGTCAGCCTGTCAGACCTCGTTCCTTCTACCCGGGGCTGGCTGGGCGAGTTCGAGGCGTTCAGGCGAAAGCGTTCCGCTATTTGCGTTGATCCACTTCATCTGACTGGAGCTTTCACGTCCAGGGCGAGCCCCAGGTCCCGTCACGGCCCGTCGGGCCACGCGTGGGTGCTCGTCAGGCTCCATCTCCGTCTTCCTCTCCGTATTGAGAGCATCTCCTCGCCTAAAGTTGGTCTGTGTCGTATGTCAAGTCGGAGTTCTGCCCGGTAAGTGCATGCGGCACTGTGTGCCAAAACAGATACTGATTGGTGAAAAGCTACCAGATATAGTACGTACACTACTCAGTCGACACAAAGGCCCGAGAACGAACACAGCGTACCAACATGCTGGGAATCATTTTCTGCGTGAGCAACAAGCCACCAACTTATGGCGTCTTCTGGTTGGCGTCCGGTTGACGTTCCAACGCCGTACCGACCACCGCCGGGAATTACAACGAAGCTCGGCCAGGACACGACAAGCCATGCCCCTAACACGTTACCTGACCGAGCCAACTTCGAGTCCGAGTTGGCGCTCAGGGCGCTGTGACCTCCTCGACCTTTTGTGCGGCCCACGCTGGCGCGGATGATCGAGCACCACAAGGTAGCAGAAACGTTGGAGGGCCCTGTTGGGCCACGTTGCATTGGGGGCCACAACTGTACCTTCCCGTTCCGCTTCATCCCGGGCGTGCTGCATGTCCGTCATTGCCTCTTCGCTGCAGTTTTTCGTCCTCGCACGGAGAGGAAAGAAAACTGTGTGTCTCGGCCGAAATGGACATGGAGACTTCTCCCAAGATTGATGATGTACTATGCAGTAAGTACAGGCGGAAAGGAAACCACAGTATCGTATTTACGGGTAACGTAAATCATGTCAAGTGAATGTACTTCGTAAAGCTGCCTTGGGTCGCTTGTAAGCCCGCGCCCGGGCAGCACTGTACCGCAGCACGCCGCGTGGCTCCTGTACGACCGTCACCACTACCATTCCTTTTCTCGCACGCCCGGAAACATACAGCAGATGGGCTATAAGGCCATTCTCTGCTCATGCTCACAAAACAGGTACCTTTGCGATCCAGAGAATATTACACCGGCCGTGATCAGTGGTCAGAAGTGGAAGACTGTCTCCACGCGCCCCATGCGGAGCGATACTGTACTGCGTACAGTACAATGGCCTTGACGACACTAGCGAGAAAGGCCCGATTTCGCTATTCCTCGCAGAAGCCCGAGAACCTCAGCTGCGACCGGGATGATGCCACCCTTCGTGGGGCTGTGTCGCACACTACTGCAACCCGTCAAAACGTCAACACCCTGCAAGAGATGTGATTGGAACACCCGGTAATAAGCGTTATCAAATTCCTGGTTCAGCGAGGAGCTTCTGGTGAAGACCACTGCAGGGAGAACGCGTTGGGACGTGCGGTAGGACGGACGGGTAAGAAAAACGGGCGGGTTCGCCCGCCGTTCAAGTGACGCGGGCAAGATGCGAGCCCATGCATGGGGGAGTGTGTATCGCCGAGTCTCGGGGATGGTAGTCCCTAAAAACGATTTTTCTAGTCCCCGCCTCTTTACACGGTGGTCGTCATGCATTCAAAACTGCGCTACGCCGTGCAGTACACACTTTTGACACTCAAACCCCATGCGACGGATACTAGAGCGCCAGATGTGACGGAAAGCCGTCAGCACAACTTAGTCACCTTTTATAAATGTCATGTCCAACAACCTTCGGCTTCACACAGGTTTCCTTGTCGCAGTTCGATATTTGAGCAATATGAGCCGTCACTCAGTTCAGGTCGACGAGTCACAAGCCAGTCGCTGTCCTTCCGGCCTCGTTTTTCCAGATTTGCAACCGATCAAGGTAGCAGAGAGCGAACGTCGGACTGTACAGTTGTACGGGGATTGGCGCTCGTTTGCCTGGCTGATGCTCAACTCGAGCTGAAAGGTGGAGAGAAGACGCCAGTTTTCTAGCCCACCTGACTCTTAGCAATGGATAGGAAAGAAAGACAGCATGAAACTGGCAAAATGGTACGGTACCACTTGATGCGCATGCCACGGCAGTACATCAGAGGCAACCAGGAAGCGCTCGGACTTGCGAGGCAAAACGACCAGGACCTATCGGAGGATGCAATGCACCTTCTATCCCCATCCTGAGCGGACCGGACGGGTTAGTGAACTGTGACCATGAACTAGTGTGAGGAGGACAGTTTCATCGATTGGTACCTAGGCTCCTAGGGCAAGAGACGGAAAGACTCGTAGGCAAACGGCGGTGAGCTTCCATCATCTCCGCCTGTCCATCACCCAGCATCCATGTAGTTTTTTGTTGTTTTTTTTTTGGTTCCGGCGCTTGCCATCAGTTATTCCGCAATCGAACCTCTGAATTGATATCCGATACCATAGCGGAAAGGGGGAAAATGGTTGACCACGGCTGTGCGAGGAACCGACTGAACAGGAGGATCCCAGGTGCAGTGAGCGCATGCAGTCTACCTAGTGCATGTTGCTGACTATTTCTTAGAGGTGGCCAGAGCAAAGATTTTCTACTGACAACCTCGGCAAGAGGGGGCATGAGAGGTGATGGGGCAGATCTCAAACAATGGGGATCCTGGACTCTCACTCGCATGAGCGAGTTTTCGACGCATGGGGAGCCCAGTCATCTCACTGCTCATGAAGCCCAAAGGGAAAAAAAATTCCCATCGCAAGCCGCCCACCCGCCCGCCTGTTTTCCACGACTATCGTCTGGCTGAAGCTGGGTACCCGCCTACCCGGAGGTCGCCTGTGGTTGCACTGAAGGGAGACATGGCTTGATGCGGTATTCTTGTCACAGCAGGAGTTTGGCACCTACCGATGCGCTATGGGGCATCTCGGGTGCCATCCTCAGACCTGTCACTCAACCAAGGCAAGCGAGCGGCAGGCCCGAAATGTGAAACCGAAATGTGAAATCTGACGGCTCCCGCTGAGGCGTCCGGAGTGGGCGCACGCGGGAAAATAGCATCCCTGGCTATTTCCTTCTCTCGTGGTATACCAAATTGGTCAGCATAAGACCAGTTCGCCAGCCTGGGAAGCACACAAGGTCGAAATGGGAAGGATGAGTCTGATGTTTAACGGACTAATCGATTAGGTACCCTCCATCAGATTTCTGGTGAAGCCCAACAGAAACTGTGAGAGTGTGGAAGGACAGCACTGCAGGCGTCCGCGCAAAACCGTGCTACCCAGAGTTCCACACCACTCACTGGCACAATATAGACCTCGGTGAGTGCGGAAAGGTGGCTGGCGTTGGGAAAAGGTTCGGCGGCTCGGCTCGAGACGACGAAGAGGAGGAAACACTGGAAACGAGCGTCTTGCGCTTTCCGCCTGACTCTGCGGCAGGGAGACCGCATGTTAGAAACGGATCCCGGCCTCCTGAATCTGGTCTTCTGCCTTAACCGCTCGCTCGCCCAAGGCAATCAACCGCGTGTATCCCTACAGCGCATTTGTATACGAGTGGCATAGCGACGCATTATCACATCAATGGATCTATTTCGGCAGGTGTACAGACGGCCAGCGCTCTGCAGCAGTTGGTATGTAGTAGCAGGTACACAAGCAGTGAGGCCTAAACGCAATGGAAGCAAGGTCACTGACTGTTCAGCTACCTATCACGACCTGACCAACCACTTGCGAGGCCTGCCCATCATAGTCTCCGTTAATGGCTAACATGCTGCAGTCATGGCCATGCTATTGGGTACGACAAGGAGAACGGAACTTTGCGGACATCCAAAAAGGGCCACTGATCGGTTCCCCGTCTACTGTTTGATTCTCTTCCTGCAGGTGCTACACAGCAGTGTGCAGGAAGAATAGGCGTGGGTGAATAGCTCAGGATGCAGTCTACTTAGACCGACTATAACTGGAGCAAGGTGTAGTGTACCACTGTTGAAGTTTACGGCACGCTTCTGCGGTTCTGTGCGTCCGGCGCCAGGGTTATATTCATACATTGCGTTGTGTGTGATGCTTTCTGTGCCATTATCAAGGCTTGCCAGAAGTGCAGAAACAGAAAACCGGATGACGGATTGGGACTCGGAACAGAACGCTCGGTTCAACCCGTGTACACATCTTGCTACCGTAGAAACTCGGTCAATTGGCAAAACCAAAATGTCCCAAAAAGAGGTTTTTGGGACATAGCACAGAAAGATCTGTAGCGCTCAAGTCCGAGCCTGTGCTTTGGAACGCAGGCAGGATAGTGTTAGCTAGTATTGTATGACCTTCACTAACTGAGCGGACATATGTACAGGAGTATGCTGCTTCCTGTGCTTACTGTCGGGCGCTCAAAGAGGGATTTGGTTTTGCCAATTGACCGAGTTTCTACGGTAATACGGGGAAAGAACGCACGTCCCTTATAGCGATTAATTTTGTGACTCAGATACGTAGTGTTCGCTAACAACAGCTTTTCAACTTCACTTCGTCCGACACGTCCATCGGGTTGCCGTTACTGTATAAGAGGCGCCCTATACCGGGAGCCTGGCCCGAGCCAGGATTACCGAGATCAACTGGAGAACAGCGTAAGTCCTATCGCGAGGAGCATCAGGGGCTGCTGGGCCGGATTCCAGGTGTACCCAATCAAGACAAAAACAAGACCCAAGGAGTCGGTCCTAGGCTTCTACGGACCGACGCGAGGGTCCATGCGATGCAGCTAGTGGGGACCGAACAATCCTCTTCCATTCAGTTGTCCCCATCGATCACTCAATTCCTTCTTGGCAGGTGGCCTTTCTTGGCTTCGTTCGCTTCGCTCCGCTCCGTTTCTTCAATGGAGCCCAGCTGACTTGCGACCCGCTTCGTAATACCACGCTTCGTAACGGAAACGAAGCGGCATCGTGGTATATGTAAGTACGCACATTAACAGGTATCGTACGACGGTTATTTATTTCACAGTTTTTCTACTCGGACGCCTTCGCTTTCCGCACGGTACCCGAGAACCCATCCGGCGGGCAGTACCGCACTTCCCAGATTGCTGGAATCGCCGTGTTCTGACAGGCAAGACCACCTGATATGTCATGGTTGCTGTATGCGAGATGTCGGCGTTCACAACTCATCACGTCGGTTCACAGCACCCTTCTTGGCTTCTTGAAACCGGAAGTTGACCAAGCCTACATCCTCTTGTTCAATGTGCTAACATGGTGGCACAAAATACATTCTACTCATGGTACATCGCGGCGGGCTGCCGAAGTTGGCAAAGCAGTTGACAATCGCTCACACACATGTTGCCGTCAAGCTAACCTGTACATGTCACCACCAACTCTCCTACCTCACCAACGAACTTGACCAAGCTACATAGCAAAGCAATTCAAGTGCGCAGCGCGGTGAGGGCAGGATCATGAAATAAATGTTGCCCTTTTGGGGTGAAGCACTGATGTTCCTTGTCTACTGCGTAGGTCCTGGTCCATTACGTGCTGCTGGTATTTCCATTTCACAAATAGGGGTAGTATCTGGACGCATAGTGTACTGCAACTTGCATGGACCTAACTGACTACTAGTCTAGGCGTGCTAGCGAGTCCCATTTGTTGATTTTAGTGTACTGGTTTCATTGCTGCTCCCGGCGCCGGGAAGAAACGTCCTTTCTTTTTTTTTTGTTTCTTTCTTTCTCCTTCGGCTTCTCTTCCATCTGACCTCTTATTGGGTGGATCACAAGTTTTAATAGGTTACCAAGAAACCAACACCCTCCCTTCCCTAGCTCGATTCGTAGCTTGCTCCGTTTTTACGAACTGCCCCGGCTTTACTATACTCCACACAAGTACGGCCTATTCTAGTATCCTGCATAGATCGGATCATAGGTACCGTATTCCCTAAAAGTCATATGTGCTGAGAGGATGCCATTCCTTCACTGGTAAAGAGAAATACCGTCAAACACTTTTGTTATGCGGAGGTCCTTCCCCCCTGGATTGCCAGTCATTTCTGCGCTTGAAGTGCTCAAGAAGTGTAAACTACGGAGTACCTATGGAGCATGTCTTTGCCAAAGCTCACCGGCTCGATCTGGCGTTGCCTCCATCAGCTACTACTTGTAAGCAACCGACGTGAGCGCTACAGTGGCGCCTATGCACAGCCATCAGTTGGGATCTGGATATTATGTCTGATCAACTCCCTCTCGACCCTCTTTTCATGATGAATCATTGCTAATTAGCTTGCCAGTCCCGCCATGTTCCGCAACGATCGGTGTATATACAAATTTGGATCACTTTGCAGTGCCCAGGAATTAAAATACTACTCAACCCTCAATAAAAGAGTCTTGTCAAATTGTGACGGTTCGAAGTCATCGGACACGTGCGCCTGAAGTTGCACTTTGATCTTGCCGACCCTACATTACATCTCGTTTGCAAAGTTGAAACCTCGAGCTTCTCTGCGGCCCTCTCGCTTTCTCCCTCGCTTGTGATACGACTGGCTGGGAGCCCTTTGGATCCTGGAGGATCGAACGCACCCCAACGGCCGGTCACGTCGTCAGCGGGCACCGCAGGCCAGCCAGCATTTTGGACAAAACCGGGTGCGGCGGGCGGGCGGGCGGACGGACGGACGGACGGGAGTCAATGCTACTGTGCTACCGTGTTGAAACCACGCTAGTCAAGCTAGTGTTCACGGTTGTCAACAGGCTTGAAGCGGTCGAAGATGGCCAGAGGTTGTGTCTTGCGGCCGTCCAAAATAATGGTGGTGCGCACCTGGTTCATTACTGGAAAGATGAGCTGACAGACCTGGGCTGACTCCCCACCCGACTATGTTAGCTTACATTTATATCAGATAGTGTACCGTCATTTTTTTCCTTTTCCCTTTCCATTCTCCCCGGAAAGTTCATCCCTTTTAGTTCCCCGAATCTCCACAGCTTGCCGCTTCCACTTCTCCCAGATAGTGGAGTGAAACGGGATCGTGAAGCCAGATGACGGCTTCTCTCCTCAACAGCAAGATGAAGCCTACACGACCGTAGAATAGGCGCGAGTGCAGTCTCCGGTTGAGCTGGTCAATCCGAAACTGTTCTGGCTCCCCCTCCTCCTATGACACCCTAGGTATGTACTGCAGTGATTGTGTTTTATTGTTTTTTTTTTTTTTTTCAAAAAAAAAAGGGCTCTGTAATATCTGATCATTCGGGTCGGGCGGGGGTGGGGGATCCCATTGCTGTAGGTAAGACTTAACCCAAAGATCAAGTGACGGATTCGGTTCACAGCTCCGGTACACGTTTGCTTCAGCTTGGGATGATTGTCGATCCTGGTCCCTTTGTTCCAAAGTCAATCACGTCGCTGGTGGACACGGAAAACGGTACAAGGTTGTGGATGTGATGGAGAGACTATGTCCGTACCGTTTCGCTTTGAGGAATGGCAACCGTAGAATGCTTGTTAGCGCTAGGTCAGAGATCTGACCCTAGATTACTGCCTAGGAAGGCACGTCGGAATTTAATCTCGGAAAAGACCTTGGTCAGCCCGACAAAGTGGTCTTTTTTTTTTTTTTTTTTTTTTTTTTTTTTCGGACAGCGCTTCAACTTCAACCAGCCTCTCAAAGTCCCGATGGTGGCTGCAGCCTTACAAGTAACCAAAGTTCATCACGTTCTGCTTCCAAGATCTTGCCCGGATAATGGTTGAAGAGCATTGGTACTCTAGCGGTTATTGCCTGCCTACATTACAAATTGCTTACCATTCTTCCTCCTCGCGTGAATTGCCAACCCGTGTTGTACGCATTGACACTCCCCGGGTGCCCCTTTCTCGCGGCCAATAAGATCCGAAGCGGCTACTCTAACCGTAGAAGTTTCTACGGATAAGGTGACTCACCACATATTACGGGACATCGCGTAAGAGAACGTTGGTGGTTGGTTTTGGGTGGGCCAGGACCGATCAAGGCTGAGCCTGTTGAACTCTGTCATCGTCAACCCGTCAGCAAGCCCTTGACAGGAGACCTTCGGTCCGGTTGGGTTGGTGTGATGGGCAATCTGCCATATGGGCGAGAGCCATGAAGGTTTGGAGCTATTTGCCATTGGCCTCTGTCATTTGGCATTATGGCACGGCACGCCGCACCCTCACGGCACGGCATGAGAAGGAGTTGAGAACATCAAAATGTCATAGGTGGACGATGCCATGCATTCAACCACTGTCGGGCGCCCATATGTAGTTTGACGGGGAAATTGGTAGAAAGTGTAAGAAAGCCGACGAGTGTTTGTTGGCCGCTAATGGGATTATGATCTAAACGCTCGAGTGTTACAAATATAGTATGGAAGATGATCACGTTCACCAAATAGTAGTGTAGTATGTGCTCCGGACGGGGTCGGCTCGTTTTGGAAGCCGAAGCCGCAAAGGTCCGGCAGACATGCCACTCCGTGTAGCGTACGAAGCAGTATGTAATGCGGTACCAGTAAAAACGAGAAACGTTAGTTACCTCTAAAGGTCTTTTCATCACTGTCATCTACCCGTAATGTAGCGTAAGCTTACGTTCGGTACGTGACCCGTACGGCGGCGGGTCGGCGGCAAAATCCACCCGAGTCCTACGGGCCGGGGCACGCTTTTCGTGATTGTCGGACAGCTTTATTAGACATCATAACCCGGCCTACAACGCTAGGAGGCTACTGTAGCTGCTATACTGTCAACCACATCGGCGTCAATCAGACTATCGACGAGGCTACTTTGCCTACCATGGCTTCAGAACAGAATAAGGAATACTTCAAGTAAGACAGCCGAGGTCCCTGTTTGCTGGGTCAACAGACGCTAACGCCATCTCCCTTACAACAGCAACGAAGCTGCAGCATACGATGCTAAGCACGCAAAAACCTTGGACAGGATTGTCGAGGAAATCCGGGCCAGACTTGATTTCATTGGAGTCGAGTGGGTAGATGACGACGCCGATGCTGGAAGTGTGAGGCTTCTGGATTACGCCTGTGGTACTGGAGTTGGTGAGTGCATCCTTGGTGGCAAAGTGCTAGTTTCTTGCAGTGTCGGGGTAAGGAGATCTTAGCAAGATTTGAGGGGCTTAGAGGCCTGGAAAGTTCACTGCACATGTGTGGATTGAATTTCTTGAAAGCCTCTGAGCAGGTAGTTAGGTCTGGAATCTTGCTCCAGTGGCTTGCTGTTGGCTGTCTATACCCGGCTTGCCGCTTTTGTCTTCTCGTTCTCTGTGCAGCATCGCTAACCAGACGCATTGTTGTAGTGTCTAGAGTAAGTCAACCTACTTTGGTCCGCTCAACACGGTTGAAGAGCGCAGAGATTTGCTTCATGGGACCGAGTTCCCGATAGGCAGTCCCGCTCTCCTTCCCGTGCAAAGTTTCGGCATGCAGTCATCACATCTACGCCCCATCAGGATGATCGCAGATTGAGTTCTAACAACTTCTCTAGGCTCTAGCTCCTTACACCACACAATGCGTCGGTATTGATCTCTCGGAGAACATGGTCGCTCAGTACAATGCCAGAGCTGAGAACCAGGTAAATGACCCTTTTCCCTCTCCCTCTGATGATATATGTGCGGAACGGAGAACTAAATCAAGTACCGATAGGGCCTTGCTCGCGACGAAATGTATGCCTACCAAGGCAACCTTCTAGATCCCAACGATCCTGATCCCCGAGAGTTTTCCGGCTTCGATTTTCACCACTTCGATATCGCCGTTGTCGGGCTAGGCTTCCACCATTTTGACGACCCCGCTCTTGCGGCACAGAGGCTGGTCGAGCGGCTCCGGCCTGGCGGTGTTCTATTGATCTTGGACTTCTTGCCTCATAGCAAGGTTGCTGATGTACGTCTATTTTTCTTCGACTTCCCTGAGGTTATCGTCGAAGCTGGGGCTACAGACGCATTCAAAATGGATTGTGCTAAGTACGATGACATACTGAACCATGTGAACCACATTACAGGACAGTCATGCTGCTTCGCATACTATCACGCACCATGGCTTCTCCGAGGAACAGGTCAAGAAGATTTTCCAAGATGCTGGCGCCGGAAAGGACTTTGCGTTGGAGACAATCGGAATTGCCTTCAACAAGGCCACGGAAAACAGGCCTGAGGAGGTCCGTAGACAGGTCTTCCTTGCGCGTGGTACCAAGGAATAAGAGCAGGGAGGGCTCTATTTGGTAACGCCATTTATGATAAGATAGGTATGGTTCATGTCAAAGCTTCAATGAAGTCATTCGCATGATGCCACTAGTTTATCAGTGGAACTTTGATGATATGGAAAACTTCTTCAACAGTGTGTAGCGACATGCAAGCAGGTATATAGTAACGTTAGGAGGATTGTTGGTAGACTCAGCTACCACGCCGAGGCTGTCATCGAAAGCAGCCAAAATAGCCACAATATACGATACGGAGAAAGGAAACGAAAAAGGAACAGAGTAACAAGAAATTCACAGATGCAAATGCTAACTCATCTATGATAGAAGACGAATCTCAGTTTGGATCAACCTCCCAAAAGGAGGAAAAAAGAAGGTCTCTCCCGCCGGGAATTGAACCCGGGTCTCGAGCGAATCGAGGCTGATTTTCAAACTTGACAAGCTCACATACTGACCACTATACTACGGAAGACTTGTGGATGTGGACATCCACCGTAGCTGATTGTTGGTGGCGGACTTTCAACAGAGCCTTATATATCCAGATCACGATGGGTCCGCTCACCTCCACCGAGAACGTCTGGCATCCATCCCTCGTTACCATTCCCGAAGTTTAAGAATAATTTACATATTCTCCAGCTTATCTAGCTTCGCATCATCTAAATCTGCTGTCAGTACAGAAAACAGTCTGTTTCGTGATGAAATAAGAGAAAAGGATGTTACGGCAACGCAGCGTTCAACCACACGTTCATTTCTAGCAAAATAGACTTACCCTCAAGATCAACATGGAAAGCACTGCCCAAAATAATAGCAGGCTCATTGATATTGTGATGCTCATAGCTTTGGCATCGATCCTGTCAGCTTCCTGCAATTGTGACAAGGCATGGATGAATACAACGCCGATTGCACTCACCTTAAGGTACCGACACCGCCAGCTTCCAGCAAAAACGAAGGTCCCTCGTGCAGAGACAGCCCAGTCCATCGCTGTGCAAACGCACGAAGGATGTGTCCATGGGCAACAATCAACACATCGGCGCGTTCCGCATCAGGATCTCCCTTGGGCTTATTGAGCGCGGGAGCGTGAAACCTCTCCCGAATATCTTTGATGAGACGATCGCAGCGCTCGTTGACATCTGCGGGACTCCTGCAGACGAGATTTTCCTGTGATCAGCAACCGGACACTAAAGAACAAAGAACGAGACACAAGCTGAAGCATGGGAACAGTGTTGACTGGACAACTCACTCTCCTCCAGGGCACCCATCCCTCCAAATGTCCCAATTGGGTTCAAGGCCTTGTTGCTTTCTCTTCTCCCTGATTTGCGGACTAGTGATACCTTCGTATTCACCATAATCCCACTCGCGGATGTCCTCGGTGACTTCAACCTCGGCATCGCATGGAACTGGCTTGGATTCGCACTCGCCATGACGTTTCCATGGAAGCGGACCTTTAGTACCGAGATTTAGAAGCTCAAAGGTACGCTGGGCTCTTTTTCGGGGAGATACGTATCTGTATGCATAGTAGGTAGTGTTACTTAGTGTGCTGGTCATTGTTGGCCTCAAAAACGTGGTATTTGAACACCACCACAGGCCAAAGTCAGCTGACAGTACCGACCGCAGACTGGCTGGTTATATCATCGTTCATTAACGTATCTTGGCGATGTATACACTGGGTGTTGTCTTTCCTATCCCTTTTTCCTCTTTTTTTTAAGGGAACCAAACCGATTGGGCAATTTGCAAGTTCACTCACATATGGGCCAGCTTCTTGGGAACAATCAGGCGGTCATCACCTATAAGCGCTTTCCCCGTCGCCTTGACGCGCTTCTCGCCATTCGCTGTCAACGGGATGTCAGTCGAGCCAGTGTGACGGCCATCAATAGACCATGCGGTCTCGCCATGTCTGATAATGAATACCCGGGGTGTTGACATCCTTGCTACTTCCGAGTGCTGAGTTATCGAAGGTGGAACTTGAATTTGACCTGGGTTGCTTGGCCTTGATGGGAATAACGTGAGGAGTGGCGGAAGGGTGAAGTAAACAATTGATATAGGTAGTGAAACGTTGCTCAACAATGAAACTGCCGGAACAGCCGGGGTAAAGGGAGGTTTCACTTTAACAGACGAGGCAGAGTACCCTGAGGTAGCTACTAATTTTCGACCGCAGGACACTTCCAAGAAGCAACCTCTCTCTCGGATATCGTGACATCATCCGCTCTTATGTTCCCCAGCCGGAAATGGAACGCCATGATTACGCCATAATTTCTACCAATGACATTGCACCCTCGGTATCATTGCCGATCTGATGATTTCTCAATTAAGCCTAATTCGACGAATGGGAATCATCCCGAGCAGCACTGCGCCAGTGCGCACCAGGACTTTTCAGCCTGTGGATTGATTGATAAGGCCATTATCAGTTCTTAGAAATCAAAATTGGAACGAGTACAAGGAGGTGAAGTTGACAGGGCAAAGGGGAGAAAAGAAGTTGTGATCCACTCGGCAGAAGAATTGCAAGTTACGTAAACGGAACTGAAAGTAACGGGAACTTTTCACAAGGCACGGACGCAGTCCAGTCCCCCCGTCCCACCGGCCGCCCTTGTCGGACAGAAACCTCAAGGACGCTAAAACATGACGGGAAGTAAAAGCGCGGCCCGCTCCATGAACGCCACGCCCGTGGAAGCGGGACGAACGCTCGGTACGTAAATTTTCCCAGTGTAAGGTATTCGTTACAATACGTAGCGTGCATGTATAATATATGACAATACACGGGTCTTCGCTACGCCCACCGTTGCGTACGGAACACGTAAAACTGTTTTCGGCTATGTCTCGGTCAAGCTTGGGGTTGCACGGATACTTTGAAAGAGCTTGAATTTTACAATACAGTCCAATGCTGGGTTGTGTATTAGTTCTGTGTCCCGAGTAAGACACATGATAACCCATCATGAACGTCGCAATAGTACTTCAAGTGTATAGAATTTATTCGGTAACACATTATTAATGTGAAGCTCGACATATTATACTAACTCTCACCCCCTATCATCGCAATCGCGTCAACTTCTCATTGGAACGCATGGACAAGTTGACCAGAGGTCTCGAGTTAGCTGGCTGTAGCAAACAAACCAGCATTGGACTGCGTGCTCGTAACGTACATTCGATTCCCGTCAAAAAGGCAAGTAGGTAACTTCTGTCCACTCCTCAACCACTCGTATATCGTAGTGTACTCCCACTCCTTCAACCATCCTGTAGATACTAATAGATCAGTGTCGCGACGAGCAACACCGCTTTAATTATCAGTCCAGCCGCCATCTTCTCTTCCTCCTCTTTCCCGCTCCCACTCCCTCTCGCGCTCCTGTTGTCTCCTCGTTCTCTCCTCCCTGTCAATCCTCACGCACTCCAGCCTCAACTCATCCGCCTGAAACTGATAATGCAGTCCTAGGCGCCGCAGCGTCTCCATAGGAGAATCTCCGAGACATGCGAGAATGGAAAAAGGGCCCGCATCATCACTAACGGCAGCCCTGCCAAACGCTCTTGTATCTTTTTCCTTGCCAGTGTCCTGTCGCTTTTCACCTTGCCACAATGCCATCGCCGACCTGTTCCTTGAAAGGCTCATATGTTCAAGCCGCAATTCATCCGCTTGATTTTGGTAATGTTGCGCTAGGCAACGCATGATTTCTACTGGAGTGTTGGGGGGAAGACAGGCGAGGATAGAATTGGGAGGACCGGGGCTAGGACTACCGGTAGAGTAAGAGCGGTCGTTGGCGATTCGCGTCCTCCCCCTCTCCCTCTCCATGTACCTATCTCTGGCGGTATCCACCATGTCCCTTACTCTGGACTCGGTTCTGTCCCTTTCACCGTATGCTGTATGTTCGTATCTGTCTTTGGTTTTGGTACCCTGTAGGCCCGTGGTGTCATCGCTTTGCTGCTGTCCTTCGGGGCGGGTGTCTCTCGGCCTGCATTCGCATCGTTCGCGGGAAGTTTGTACGTTAACCACTGATCCTACGGCAGCAGGGAGTTGTGCTTCGTGAACATCTGATGGTAGTTCTTGCCTTGTTGTTGCTGCTGCTGCTGCTGCTGCTGCTGCTGTTGTTCTTGTCATTGTTGTTGCGGGTGGAGGGCTAAGGGGTGTGTCAGGTTGTTGATTTCGGCCAACTGTGGCAGTTTCTGTCACTTTAGTATCCTGCTCTCTTTGTGGCAGTTTTCTATTGCGCCGTGGCGGCCGTGGTGGCTGTGGCGGTCGTGGTCTTAGTTCTCGTCCGCCCTTCTGATGTTCCGGCTCCGGCTCTGGATGATGTTCAAGCCCTATCCCGATTCCAGGTTCAGAGAGCAAGTCCGGCACTGATTCGGTATCCGGTACCGAAGCATCTTTGTCTGCGTGATGTGGGGACTCATTGGTAGCTTCAGTATTCTCTTTCCCGGTTACCTGAAAAGAGCAGCGAGCGTTGCCGCTGCCACGGTAACAGCAGTTGCCACACCTGTTGCCATCACCGTAGACGCAAAACTCGAAGGGCCCTTTGCCAGCTTTGCATTCCTTACAGGGATTTTGAGTTTGTTGACCCGTAAGCTGAAGATAAGCTGCTCCGAGTTGGTGCTTTTCCGTAAGGTCTATTGTGTCAATGCGTTTCCGTAAAGCGATCTCGCGCACCGCCTGTATTAATGTCAGGTCACTTGGCTCCGGGATTGCTTATTACCTTCGTCCGCTGTCTTCTCTTACCTTGCGTTTTCTCAGTTCCTTAATCTTCGTATTGCTTGAACCAAGGCTTGCATGAATCTCTTCAAGGTCCTTGTCTGTGATAATACCCTGTGGTGGCTTCCAGTGCCTTGAAAACTTGGCGTTATCATCATGATTTTCGTTCGTGGCGGCCTGTGAGGGATCCTGTAGATTCCACTTGTCTTGGATAACCATTTTGTCACGCTTCCTTTTGGCGGGTCGGCTGGCTGACACAAATCCAGCGATTTCGTCTGCCAAAATTTCTATGCGCGGAACATTCGAGCCACTATTCCGAATAGTAGCGTCCAGGAAATTTTCATCGTCTGAAGCCATTACCATATGCCATTTGTATGGCCTGAAGCTTGTGGAGTGTTGTTGATGAGTATGCTTAGTGGCAAAATCGCTAAGCTGGAAAGGTTTTGGGACTTCTAGAGGAGGAGTGACGCGCACTGGAACCAAAGGCTCTATCACACGGTCTGGAAGACTATTATATAAGGAACATAAACTTGGGTTGGTAGTCGGGGCTTATGGTGAGGTGGTGTGTGGTTTTTCCATATCCTGGTCGCTTCACAAGAGAAGAATGTCAAACCACACTCTTTAGGCTTTGCTATAAAGGTCCTTAGAAACGAACGTACAGTCTGGAACATAGTACGACAAACATGATTAAATGAAGGAAGCTCGATTGAGTAGAATGTGGGAGAGAAACAGATTTGTAGCCCTGATCCGCAGGATCTAGAATTGACACGGCTTGATAGGAAGTGAGCAATGACTTCCACGAATCAGTTACAGCACTATCAAGTCAGTTCGAGTGACAAAACAGATAATCAGATCTCTTGGTTCTTTTTTGTAGATATCACAGCCGACAAAATGTCTTGGAGCGCTACCACCATGCCTACTATGGACCTATGGAGCCACGGGACAGTTTCCGACTTTCCAGAACCTTCCCAGAAATAAGACGGGCTTTTCTCATCGTCTACATGTTGTTCTACATCAGTCTTTCATAACGCCTTCCAGATGTCAAAACCATTGCCTCCCTTCAAGGCCGCCATGGGGTATACCTCATTCACGCCCGCTAATGCAAACCAGCCAGTAAGAGGGGAAAAAAGAAAGCAAATAATCAAAGAAAACGGGAAACTTCTTCGAACTCCTGGATGACGAGGATCGACCGGCGGATCGGAACACTCATTCATTCATATTGCGCTTGTCTGGCAGCCCGTACTTCCCACTCACGCTCACGCTCGCGCTCTTGTCGCATCTCCTTCTCAAGCCTCTTGGCTTCCATGCGGAGGTCGTCCGCAAGGTCCTGGTGGTACTGGGCAATGGAGCGTAACACCTCGGGGGAAACATTCCTGGGCAGGTACGCAAGCATCGGCTTGCTGGTATCGTGGTCGAGAATGTCATTCATGGTTCCTTTGAACGGCGTCGGGCTGGGGGCGTAGTCGTTGCCTCTCATGGCCACAGGTGCTTGGCTAAGAGTGTAGTTGTTGTTTTCGATGAGTCCGGAGCTAGACGTGTACTTCCCGTTTTCGAAGTGTCCCGGGTTAGGCGCATAGTCGTTGTTCGCCTTTTCTCCTTGAGTAGGAGCTGGGGAAGCGTACTTGCTAAAGGCTAGACTTTTTAGCCAGTGGTCTGCAGCCGAACCAAGCGCTGTGCCGGGGCCATGAATTGGCGGCTCTGCCTCAGTATGTCCAGCCGTCTCAGTTTCGATGGTCCTTCTTTGCTTCTTGACATTCTTCTTGGTGCAAGGTGGCGGGTATACATTGGGGTCCTGCCGCTTGCGACTCTGCATGAGCGGGAGGTCGTCACTGTCGGTGTCCATCGAAACACGATGTGTACATTTGACTCCCTGACGCCTATACAGGCAATTCGCACATGAACCATCGCCAACACTCGGGTGTTGAATACAACCGACAAACGGTCCTAGACTCTTCTTGCACACGTCACATTCCGCTGTAGCCTGTTTACCATTGAGCTGTACAAACACAGCTTCTAGGTTCCCGCCCACCGCGAGGTTTACCGACCCGATATCTTTGCGAAGATTGATGTTTCTGACAGGCTGAAGAAAGAGTGTTAGCATTCGAGCATGGAAGAGAAGCTCAGGTTGGGAGATAGCACTTGCAGGTTCTTTCCGCAAAATTTCCAGGTTCCTCCCGATCTTGCCGATCTTTTGTTCTTCAAACCTGTCCAGGGCTTCGTGGACATACCCAGTCGTGACGATCTTGGGAGCGGTAGCTGACATTGCTACTGCGTAGATATTGCACTGAGAAAGGTTTGCGCTGACCCCGGCCACTTAAGCTTCTAATAAGATAGCGTGCTAACGTCGGTTAGGTTATTGTAGGCGGTGATGCTGACAGGATTGCAGAGGCGCGCGACTGAACGCGATCCAATGCTGGGGTGATGGGTTTTGCTGCAAAAGATCAAGTTTAGGTTCACAGCATCGGAAGATGGGCCCAAAACCTGGATCATCGACCGTGACATGAAACACGCCCGATAAATTGAACAAGAACTGTAGTTTTCGTGATTATAGGTATGGGTGTGAGGCAGAGATTGGTGCAAGGTGGGCAAGCGGGGTCGTTGCCTGGGCTGGTGGTGGGAAGACGGAACAAGATGCTGAAAGATAACGCACTATCAGAGCTCGCCTATGAAAAGAGGTAGGTACAGGTAACCTAGGTACCTCTAGAGGTATTACTTGCCGTACAACCTTCGGTTCGCGCTGCACAACACAAGCCTATAGCCAGGGCAACCTATGACGGGCAGCTGGTCACAGCGGCAACTGCTGGCAAGGCCCGTTCTAAGTCTACAGTACGGGACCTGTCTGGAGTTCTGTACCTGACAAGGGTTACCCCAATTGCTATTGAGATGATAAGTGGAATCCTTTATGTGTATCATCACTTACACGATATCCGAAAGTTATCACTTCCATTAACTGAAGCAGAATCGTGACGTTCGTGGCGTGCAAAAGTAGTCTCAAAAGACGATATTCGATCTTTTAGTCAAGCTTGAAGTACCGGGTAGGCGGGGTAGGTTAAACCGAGGTCGGTTCTTGGGCCGAACAGACGAGCGAGACAAGCTAGAGCAAGCTATGCAACATTCCACCTATTTTCACCTTTCGACGACCTCAATTCAACCCACAAGATCGGAGGCAAGACAGCAGCTAGCATAACAACCCTCAATACGACACCTAGCCATTCTCTGAGCTTAATATCTTCTGAATCCTCGGGGATAACACCTCATCCACCATGGCCACCGGACCAGTAAAAAGAGTCGCCGCTTCAGCGCTCAACAAGACCGCAAAAATAGCAAAAGCGACCGCTTCGAAGCACTCACCACTGCAATCGGCGCCGGCATCGCCAACAGTAGCAGCGAAGCCAACAGGAGTCAAAGCTTCGAACCCTCTATCACAATCGCCTCCGCCAGCGATCACAACGACTCCAGCATCGTCATCATCATCATCATCATCCCCACTTTCCCCAACAACGGTATTGACAGCGGGGGGTTCATCAAGAGGAGCCCCATCACCACCGGGAGGATCAGGAGGAGGTGGAGCAGGAAGAGGACAACAACAAGGAAAAGGACAAGAAGAAGCGCCACATCAACAATCCCGCCCCTTCCCCAAATGGAAGGCCGCCGTCTGGACAGTAGCCTTTACGGCGGTGACTGTAACTGGAACCATTTACGGCGCAGGTCTTAAGACGCAGAAGGAATGGAATCAGGTATTTTTTTTTTTTTTATTCTTGACTTCTTCCCGTTCTAATCAATGACGACCAATAAACTAACCCTAGGGAAACAAAACACAAGGAAAAGCAAAAAATTCAAGAAGCCACCGCCGATGATAAAATTGAAATGCTTGTCAACCGCCGCGCCCAGCTGTTCAAAACCAAGATTGAGATTGAGCAGAAGCTGGCCGATGTGAGGGAGCGCATGAGACTGGAGAAGGAGAAGGAGGAGAAAGTGAAGAGCGGTGCGGTGGCGACGCCGAGGAGATAACATCCGCCGTTTTAGACAACTCCAATGACGACAAGCGAGAAGGAGAACGAAGGCAGAAGTACAGTGGGTGTGGTGTACATGGGAGGGGACGTGAAGCTTGTTGGGTTTACGTGGAAGTTGAGGGGATCACCCCTCTCGTCCTCGGCGTCCCGAAATCTGGTCGAGTGGGGCTTTATGTCGGCGTTGAAAGGGGGAATGGCAATGAAATTGCCGGCATGGGGGGCGAGTTGGACCGGCGACACGACTGAGAGGATATAGAGGGATATGAGTGTCCCTCTTGAACCCTTTTCATTCGCCACGGCATTCCGGGGGCCTGCTTGATCCACGAACGAGCCAGTATCGTGGGAAGGAAGGGCCGGTCGTAGTTACCATAGTCTTACCTATGTGTTGATGCCCGTATCATGTGGAGGAACCGGCGTGATAAGGCGACGGTCGGTGTCTGCATCACAAGGTAAGTCCCTGATTCAAAGCTGGTTGTCGTGGGGAGTTGGATATAGGTACGACGGCTGGAACGGAACGAAGAAGCTCAACGAGGGAAACACAGCACCGACCCGAGCCTAATGCGCAGCGATAGACATTTTCCCCTGCAACTCAAGCTTGGCTTTGCACAAGCACGTGGAATTCTGATCACCGTGTAGACGAGGGCAAGCACAAACCAGTCTTACATTTCTCGCGCGCGGACACCAATTATAATATAGACAAATGAAGACTGATTTGCATCACGCTCATGAAGCAATGGCGAAGCTTATACTACCTAGATATCATTACTGCAACTCCGTCTCGCTAGCATGAAAACCTAATCCGAAGTTTCCTAGCGCCGAATCAGCAAAGGCTGTGATGTGCCCTACTGGGTTCCGTCGGCACTGGGAAGGGGAATCGCGCGGTAGAGCAAGATCAGGGCTGAGTGTGACTCTCCACCGCCAGCCAGGGCAGTGATCTTTTCCGCTTCCACCTCAGAGACTTTGTCATCGTTGAACCACCACCACTTGCCATCCTCCTCACCGACCTTGCCAGTGACAGGATCCTTAATCCCTGTCTTCTTGACGTAGGCCGTATAATGACCGCTGTCAGCGCTGGCGCCCTGATGGGTAATCACACCGCGAAGTTCATACAGTCCGGACTGGTTGGCACCTTCGTCCTTGAGAAGATCTTGGTTGATCAAAGTGTAAAGCTCCTTCTTGGCAGCGAGTACTTCAGCTTGCTTCTCGGCCTCGAACTCGGCGTCTGTCTTGAAGGTCTCCTCTGTGATCATCTCCACGTCACCGCCAGTAGGCTTCTTCTCGTCCTTCTTCTTGTCCTTTGATGACGGAGGTTGGGATCCTTGAGCGTTTTCGCCGTCAATGGGGTTCATCTTTCTGCGCTTGCGTGCTCTTTCGATATCATGCTCCTCCTTGCGCACCTCGCGGACCTTGTCCCTGACGGGAATGAGAGCCTTCCTAAGCTCATCCGTGCAGAACTCGACCACATCAAGCTCGTGGGGGAATGTGACCTTGCGCATAATCTTGGCCTTCTTCTGAACCTCGCGTTTCCAGAAGAATCGCATGAAGTGCACGGTTAGATACTTGGGTAGCCGGGAGATCTGAGAACGCTTAGTGTACGTCGCTTCCCTGTCCAGAACCTCTGACTTCTTCTCGAGCTTTTCCACCAAACCATTGACAATTCCATCCCTGAGATGATTGGTCTGACCATCGATATGGCAGTTGAGCTTGAGGAGACGCTCCTTCGAGGTCTTTGGTTCCTCTCCGGCTTCCTTGGCGCCGGGCTCGTCACACTCGAGGACGCTGGTGAGTTCAAGGCCCATGTACTTGTCGATAAAGGATGCGTCTCTGGCGGCGTCACCCTCCGAAATCTTGAGTTTTTGCTTGAGTTGGGTTAGGATTTGCGACCAAGCTTCTTCCGCATCCTGCTGGGCATAACCGTGGCCGTCTCTTTCCCTCTCAGCAAACTGGGGGAAGGCGACACGAAGAGCATTCAAAAATGCGAGCGGAGGAATGCCCTCCTGTGTTTTCGACATCATATCGTAGAGGTTCCGGAGCTGCGACGTAGGGTCCAGCATTGATTGTTCACCCTTGTATGACTTGAGAGCGTCGTTAAGCTCAGGAATGGAGCGGAGAACTTGAAGCGTCGAGTTGAGGTAGCAGGTGTTGCCGAAGTTTTGAAGACCGGCCGGAGTCGCTCCCGCTTGTTGTGCTGCTTCGGCCTCCGTCATGTCCTCGACGAACTTGACCTTCTCGGTTGGTCGGACGATTGCGCCTCCACCCTCACCTGGCGTTCCCATCATCATGATCATCTGGCCGGGATTCAGGCCCACCTTGCTCATATCGGTATCATCTTTGAGTTGGCTGCCCTTAAGGAGCACTTTTTGCCGGTCGGGTTCAACGCCAGTCAGGCTGTAAAGCTGGTACTTGAAGACTTCGCCGGTCGCGGAGGTATCGACATCCACGTCGTATTTCTTTCCTTGGTGTTTCACCACCACTAGATAGAGTTAGTCATACAGCCCGAAGGAAAGTCGCTGTTTGTGCAGTGAAAGGTCGAAAGGGTAAGAAGCATACCGTTGATTGTCGACATGTTTGTGTTGTTGTCGTTGTTGTCCTAGATCTTAGATGGAGCGTGGTGCTTGTGGAAGCTGTAGTCAAAAAGAGCAGATGTGGACAAACGGTAAGACGGAAGAAGTTAAGGGCCTCCTCGTCAGCAACGTTGATTTTGATATATTGGAAGGCAGATCCGGAGGCAACTTCCACAAGCTTGGTGATTTGAAAGTTGTCGAAGGTGACAGAAGACGGGACAGCGCGGGGCTGGCGCAGGGGCGGGATTGCGTAGCTGGCCGTGCCTGGACGAGCTTACAGATACCTAGCTTATGCATCTAACGCAGGAAATGCAACAAGCCACCTATGGATGTCCCTTGGCATCGGGCCTGAGTGGACAACTGTGATGCGGCCCACTCAGATGGTCTGAATATACCCCACCTTACCCACACTATCCACCTGGCTTTCTCCGGACCACCTCACCTGGGCTACCCACCAAGCCCCGTCTCCAGGCTGGAGCTGGGCGATGCCAGACCTGCCCCTGCCCTGAAGTGGCCCGGAAGCAGCTACAGCCTACAGGTACCTACGTAGTGTACAGGTACCGCACGGGAGCACTTCTTAGCTCCATTTGGGCGGGCCATGTCAGGCGTCACCTTGCGGGAACCTCGAGACGGGACCATACCAGACTGGTGCACCACCCGACATCCAAACCAACGCCGGCGACAACGGCGACGAGCTTTACCACCACAACACAACTCTACGAAACGGACCACCTGTATATCATTGCTTTAACTGGTCGGACATCAACCATCACCGGAGGGAACTGGTCGCGCAGCTCGGAAAAGCACAATGGTGAGCATGTAGCGCCCGCGCGCATCGACGCTGACTTGACCGCTGCCCCGGCTATTCCTACGTTGTTAGTCTATCTGCTCACACACGCCCAACCCACAGTCGCAATCACTACGTCCCTACCTCCAGGCTGTCCGGAGCAGTTTGACGGCCGCCCTCTGTCTCTCCAACTTTGCGTCCCAGACCGCCGAACGGCACAATGTCCCCGAGGTCGAAGCCCGAACTTCCCCTGAAGTGCTGCTTACACCCCTGACGATTGCGCGTAACGAGAACGAGCGAGTCCTCATCGAGCCCAGTATCAACAGTATACGCATTAGCATCAAGATCAAGCAGGCCGACGAGATCGAGCACATCCTGGTACACAAGTTCACCCGGTTCTTGACACAGAGAGCCGAGTCCTTCTTCATTCTCAGAAGAAAGCCCATCAAGGTGCGCGATGCCCCGGGATCTACGAACGAACCACCATGATGCTCAGGACTACGTGGAACTGACAACTGTGCGTTCGTGCTTACAGGGCTACGACATCTCCTTCCTGATCACCAACTTCCATACAGAGGAGATGCTCAAGCATAAGCTGGTGGACTTCATCATCCAGTTTATGGAGGAGGTTGACAAGGAGATTTCTGAAATGAAGCTCTTTGTATGTCGATCATGTCTGCCACATTTATGAGCTCACAGAACTGACACTTTTCTTAGCTAAATGCGCGGGCGCGTTTCGTTGCCGAGTCCTTCTTGACACCAGTAAGCCCTTGAAAACCAGCCCTCACAATGGGTGGCTATGCTAACAACCCTCGCCCCAACAGTTCGACTAAGCGAGTATTCTGGAGATCACTGGTGTTGCGTTTGCTGTTTCCGGGATTTTCCCGACGTGAAATCATGTTGCACGCATGTGGATGGCGCTTTTGGGAGGCAAAGAGAAACACAATGAAATTACGAGTGCACCCAGATGCCATGGTACCAAATAATAATCCTCTACCGACACACCTCTACGGTCGGAATTGCCAACTTGTGCATAATCAGATTCGTCCACGCGGGCACAATTTTCAAAATTCATTCTCGCTACCACACATCTCTCGCGATTCCCTCTTCGGTCTACCCTTTGAAGTGCTGATTGGCTTTCTCGGTCAATTTGCCTTGGTATGTGCTGGGTGCATTCACCTCCAGTTTGGCATCGTGGACATCTCCCACATGTTCATGACAAATCGCCCCTTACATGCCATTTGCTCCTGCCTCTCTGCTTTGGGTGGAAGACAGTTGTTGATGACCCTGTGCTGGGAATGCGTGAAGGCAACTGGATTGCGAACATCGAAGTGTGGCAATATCTTTGCGGTTGGGACATCATAATATGTGTCTACACTCTCCAAACACTCGTTCATGGCACGCAAAGGAAATGGGCAATCAACCGGTTCAAGCTGTTACAAAGACAGTTAAGTTCACCGTCCCTCAAAGGCATCCGGAAGACGCACCGGTAGGGAGCGCGTGAGGAGTGTGCTGTGCAACTGATCATAAGCTACTAGTTTTCCTGACGGTTGGCAGCTGACAAAGGCCTCTTGTTGAATGGGGAGTTCTTGTTAATGAACAAGATTTGGCTCACCCAACCTTGTCCTGAGAGAACACATGCGGTAGTATGGTAATGTATGGCGCCCTTGAACAATAACAACTGAACAGAAGTCGACTGATGGACCAGATCGAAATAGGAAATCAACCTAGTCTCAGCTTATTGTCAGTTATCCACTTCAAACCGCATCGTGACTTGAATTGACAAGCAAAACAATAGGCAGACACATGTCACTCTTCCCCTTCACTTGACATAGCCAAGGCTCACCATATTCAATCTTTTGAAATCTTTCGGCGACCTCTATGCTAAAGTTCTGTTGATTCGTTTCTAACTTCCATCCAACACCCGCAGCAGGTCCTTCATCGACGACCAACGAGATTCACTGACCCTTGGAACTTTCTACTGCCTGTCATCACCGCGCCTTCTGGGGATCTGGATTCTGCCACCGGAGGTGAAGGTAAGACCGCCTTGGATTTCGTTAGATTTCCAGGTTTACAGACAAGGCTTGGTATCTAACCTCGACACATCCACACCTAGGGTCTTCGTCTGAACTCCTGGTGACGGGCGAAAGCAAACGCAGCTGGCAGGCAGTGGTAGATCCGCGCAAGGCTTTTGCGTTCAACCTTTTCTCGACTGCCCTGTTCCACTTCTGGAAAGCGATACATATTTATCAGCATAGACACTGGGCGCAATACTGGAAGTTGTAACTGTCTTACTCCGACCAAATAACTTGCGCTGGATATTGGACCCTACAAGTTCGTTTGCTCATATCGACCATATTATTTCGCCAGGCATTCCACCCTCTTGCATACCTCGATCGACCCCGCGCACCGAAACTGAGCACAGTTGAGCAGCCAACTTTCTATCATCGCAACCACCATCCGTCACCTGCCATAACAATTATTTAGGAGACTTGCTGTCGTTTCGTGTGCGCCTAGAGGTACCGCTACTGGTATGTGCATCAGTTAACCTCCATATCAAATGCGCTTCAAGTATTCCTTATATCCCATCCTCCTTCCTGACCGCTAACCAACCGTCCTGCCACATAGATCTTAGCGACACGGCCAAGTGAATTACATGATGGCGGACATCAAACGCATGATGCCCAAGCCGTCGAGCATGGCCCGAAATGCCGTTTCCAAAATGCTTGAAAAGGGCCGCCACAATATGGTGAACTCGTCGATCCAGTCTGTTGATTCCGAGGACCACGAGGGCCATGGTGGCGTGTCACTGTTGGATGACGACTCGCAAGAGGATTTCCCTGTCCAGCCTGTCCAGTCTCCGAATGCTGTTATGGCTCAAGATGTCGATGTTACCCCCAAGGCAAGCGTTGTGCAAAGGAAGAACGGGAATGCTTCCAGCACGAATTTTCCCAAAGGTTTGCGAAGAAAGGATAAGAAGGTATGGATCCAAAAGAAACATCTTGGTGTATGTCTGTCTGATCGGTTTCACTAACTTCCATCACAAGCGTACTGGTGCGTTCGATCAAAACGGCAGCAATGGAAACCACGGACGCGAGCAGAACGGGTCTACCCCAAGCCACACCCAAAGCTGTCAACAAGGAACTTCTACTACCGCTGGAGTTGCCCCTCTTGACCATCAAGCTTCGATGGCCTACATGGTTCAGTATCCTCAAGCAACGCAATCTTTTCAACAAGGTCAACCTAGCCCAGCCATGAGCAATGACATATCACCTAATCCAACGAACGAGGTAATGGCAGGAGGTCAACCTGTTTGGCCGTCATCAAACAACCATGGCATCGATAATCAGCAGGCAGGCATCATTTACCAGCACATGGGTATCTCTCAACTCCAGACTGGTCAGGGCTTCGTGCCTAACGGGTCTGGCGGCCACCTCGGTATCAGTTCACCCGCTGGTCAGACTGGATATGCGCCCATGGGCCTCCCTTATCCTCAACATCAGATGGCCCCAGTCACCGACCCCAATGGTCTGACACCCCTTTCCCACCGTTCATACATTCCAACTAATGGGTCCAATGGTCCTCTAGCATTTGCGCAATCGCCCAATGCCCAGCCAGTCGTGGGTGTCACTCGCTTGGCGCCTGGCCAGCTCTACTACGCCTACGGCCCAATGTTTGGAGGTCCAGGCTCCAATATGCAGCCTCAGGGCGGCCAGCAGACCGGCGATGCTTCCAGGACTGAACACAACCAGACTGTAAATGACCCGCAGACCGACCTGGGCCAGTCTCAAGCTACAAAGACCCCTTCGCACACGAAGGAGATTTTTAATCAAACCGAACCCCGAAATTTTGCACCCCGCGCAGGTTCACTTCCCTCTCAACCCCCGCCTCCGTTCATGATTGATACTGCTCATGCCCCGAACACCCACGGTACTCAAGCCGGTATCGTCACCGGCTCCGGGATTGATCCGTTCTCTCCGGCGGGCAACGATGAGCGTGCTATTGTCAGAGTTCCTAACCGCCATTCAGGGTATGAAACCCCGAACGAGAACTATGCGGTCATGCCACATATGCCCCTTTCTGGCCCTCCCCCTTCAGAAGTGCGAGCTGTACGCTCAGAGCAGCTGAACAGGCTCACCGTCCTTGGTCCGTATGGTCTCCCTACCGCAGAGGTAGCTTTGCATCCTGACAACTTTCCTTTCATTGAGAGCTGTTCGCAAGCTTCAGCTTCGGATGCCGGAGTTGTTAAGATTACCAATCTTCCTTATACGACCACTCATCAAGAGATCAAGGCACTCCTTGGTCGGAACGCCAAACTACTGACTGAAGAATCCGTGCACGTCATCATGGAGCGAATCAATGGCAAGACACAGGATGCATACATTGAGTTTTGCACTCAAGATGATGCTATCAGAGCTGTCCAACGCTTGAACCAAGCTGCTGAACGGACAAACCGTCCTTCTCGTATTGCTGATCGCCCCGTTGATGTGGAGTTGTCGGGCCAGGCCAGTATGATGAAGGACCTCTTTCCTTTGGCTTCCGGCGTGACCTGGAGAGGCGCAGAACCGATAATCGAATCTCCAGTTGAGGCAAAGCCCTGGAAGACCTTTAAAGGCTTTATTATGATCGAGGAGATGGCTATGCTGGTCAAGCTTGTTGAGATGCCACAGCGTGCTCAGTATACAAAAAGCTGCCCCCAGCGTCCTTACGAGTGCATGATCTCTACGATCAGGAAGCTGCCCTGGCAAAAGTCAGATTGCATCACGATTCACCAACGCTGGGCCGTATACAATGCCACGATTCGTCTCATCGAGCTGCTTCGCAACACCACCCAGCGCCGCGACCATGATAGCCACATCGCTCTCAATCAACTTCTTCTCAAGCGTCTGGTCAACACAGCCATGCTATGCCCTGGCTTCAGCGTCCTTCAAAAGGATAACATTGCCTTCACCGCTGGCATGGGTGAAATGAAGCAGCGAGAGTTCAACCAACCTAGGTTCCCCGATCTCTGGACCCATCAGCTGTCGGTTTGCCCGAAGCCAGGAGTCCCGTTGGATGTTCTCGAGTGGTATATTGCCATCATCCGCGAGGAGACCACTCGCTTTGTCAATCTCAAGCCTGTCAGTGAGAGATCTGAGATTCTGAGCAAGGCCACCAAGATGAACAGCAACGGCTACTTTGGCTTTCTTTGGCACGAGATCGGCTTCCCTGCTGGCGATGAGTACGATAACATGACTCTAAAGCAGGCGATGGAGATGGAATTGGCAGCTATCGAGAATTGCCTCAAACGGGCCCTTTGTTATGGCTATCAACACGCAGACAACGGCAGGGTCAAGAAGCTTATGGCTGCTTAGGCTTTAGTGGTCAGGCCAAGGAGACAATGACGAGGAGTATTTATTGGTACCATCCCTGATCATTGTTCCGCATCCTATTTTCAGCCACATTCAACATTGAAAGGATTGCAGCATCATCGACTTTACCACCTTTATCAGTAATGCCACCATCAATCAGATATTCATACCAGGACGAAGTTACGCGGAATATCGGTGGACATGAAGGGAAACCATCAATTGGGCTTCATACTTGCACATCTGCATTGGGATCACTGGCGTACCTGTCATTGGGTCTTTTGTTCCTCATCCGATTTCCGTCAATGAGCATTGAGATACCCAACATCGCTATGGCGATATGCGCATCATTTCGTTCTTATTCCCTTCTCTATCACCACTAATTCTGCTGCTCATTCGAGGGTACAGCTGCACATCACTGTGAGTTTACTGCACAGCGTTGTTAATGGTGAGGTCGCCAGGAAGAGTTGGTTTGTATTTTAGAACGTCAGATAGAAAATGGTATGTCAAGAATGTGTGTTCCTGTGGTCTGTGAGCCCGCAAACAATCATATCATGAGCGTGAAGTACATATATTGTACAATAAAAACTGGTCTGTTTGTCAGCTCGAGACTTCGTGTCAACTTTCCTATACGTCTTCATAGCTACCTCTAAGTAACGCGTGTTATTACCCTGGAAACGCCATTCCTGGTATTCAATATGTTACCTCTATGTCAATTACTGTTAATGCCTTTATATTTCGTATTCAGCCATTTTAACTCATCCTTGTAAGCTTTGGGACTATTCGGGATTGATTTCGTCTAGTATATACCACCAGAAGTACCTACCTAGTGTACCAAGCGAACAAACAAACCTGCATCGGACTGTAGAGGGTCTGGAAAGCAAACAAACCCCTTTTTACCCCTTGCTGTTTTCTGATTGCCTAATAAGGAAACTGGTGGGCCTGCCGATTGGGATGATGACGACACCCGCTGATCCCTGGCACTAGTCAGGTCAGGGCCGGATTTTAACCGCACAGGGATGATGTGGGACTACCTGCCTGTGAATGGCACCCGACTGGCAAAAAAAAAAAAAAGTCGGGCGAACGATTATCGCTGATAACGATTTTGCTACCTTTACGGCCAAAGTCGAGCCACTTCGGACAAACGTACACAACACCCCCCCAATCCGCACTCTGATCGCCAGACTTGTTCTGGGTGATTACTGAATCCATCGACAGAGAGGAGAGGACATCCGTCGTCAAGAAGAATTACTTCACAATGGAGTCACTGCCGGCCACCAGGAGGGTACCCGGTCCCTCCGACCAGCATTACAAAGGCGACCACATTCCGCTGGTCGTATCCCGCGAAACAGGCGATATAGTACCAGAGTCACACCAAGCCGATCCGTTAGTACGGCCAGACAAGATCGAGGCAACCCCCTTTGCAAAATCATGGGCGCACTTTGTCGCAGGAGGGTAAGCAACAACAATTCCTTCCACAGACGGGAAGCCACTTGCGCCCCCGTCAGCCAAGAAGAGCGCTGAGCTTAACACTTTTGCGCTCTCGCGCACATAACAGAATCGGTGGTATGACAGCCGCAGCCTTAACCGCCCCGTTAGACGTTCTCAAGACGCGACTCCAGTCCGACTTCTACCAAGCACAACTCCGAGCCTCGCGACAATCGCACGTAGGAGTGCCCCTCAACCCGATTCGCGCCGCCTGGTACCACTTTAGCGAGACCGGCCAGATTTTGTCGGCTGTCTACCGGCAAGAAGGCCCCCGCGCCCTGTTCAAGGGCCTCGGCCCCAATCTCGTCGGCGTCGTGCCCGCGCGCTCCATCAACTTCTTCACCTACGGCAACGGCAAGCGGCTGATCGCCAAGTACTTCAACAACGGACAGGAAGGCACATGGGTGCACCTCAGCGCGGGCGTGCTGGCGGGTATCGTGACCAGCACCGCGACGAACCCGATATGGATGGTCAAGACGCGGCTGCAGCTGGACAAGAACGTGGCGGCCGAGAGCGGAGGCGTGACGAGGCGGCAGTACCAGAACAGCTACGACTGCATCCGGCAGATCCTGCGCAACGAAGGGCTCCGAGGCCTGTACAAGGGCATGAGCGCGAGCTACTTGGGCGTGGCCGAGTCGACGCTGCAGTGGGTGCTATACGAGCGCATGAAGACGGCGCTGGCGTTGCGGGAGGAGAAGATTGTGCAGAGCGGGCGCCAAAAGACTTGGTGGGACCACGCGGTCAACTGGACGGGCAATGCGGGCGCTGCGGGCGGCGCGAAGCTTGTCGCCGCCATCCTCACATACCCCCATGAGGTCGCCCGCACCCGTCTACGACAGGCACCCATGGACGGCGGCAAGCCCAAATATACGGGCCTGATTCAGTGCTTTAAGCTCGTCTTCAAGGAGGAGGGTATGGCCGGTCTGTATGGTGGTATGACGCCGCATATGCTCCGGACGGTGCCCAGCGCCGCCATCATGTTCGGCATGTACGAAGCCATCCTCAGGCTTCTTGGTACCCCGTCATGAAAAAAAAAACCCAACGATGATGCGGGATCACAACAATTCAATCCCGGATTGAGACGGCCGGACGGACATTACCGAACCAAGACAAATAGGGAAACAGACCCCCCTTTACCCTCTGTCCCACCCTTTATACTTATCCCCAACATTTGGACAGAGAACGAACACGAGGTACATCCATCTCAACTCCTCAGACCTTGGCCAGCCACGTATGATTATTTTACCTTTCACGAGGGCGCTTCAAGGTGTAAGCGTCCGCAACGACGAACCATCTCCTCTATCCGCTTCCTGCTTGTGCCCAGCAATCACAACAACTACAACGCAAGGAACAGCCATGGGTGAATGAACCTTTCCAAGACACCCTTAACCTACTTGCTTGCTCAGCCATTGTTCAGAAGCAGCAGGTGCTTTGTGTGGGTTTCGTACACGGATGCCGGGTTAACCGCGGTTCCCAATATAAACCCCCCACTCCTTGTTTTTTTTTTCTTCATGATTTTTCTTTTCATTCCAACAAACAGCAAAGCAGTCCAGGCATCAGCAGGGGAGAGAGATCAGCAGCGGAGGAACAAATTTCCAGTGTACGATAGTGTTAGAGCGGAAAGTGAAATGGAGAGGAGCGCAATGATTAGAGCTGGCTTGGAGGTTTCGTGCCGGTCAATGGGTCGGGGATCAAGCAAGCAAGAAGTGGAAGGTGCAAGCAAGGAAGCTCAGCTATTAGGAGCCTGAGGTGGGCTACGTGATGGTACATACCAAGGGCTTCACTCGGTGCGGATATCTGTGGGAAAACAAAAGGAACAGCGGAAAACAACCAGGCATTATAGGAAATAGACATAAAGTGACTTGAATCCGGGATATTTCGACCATCATCGTTTCCATGTTCGGCCGTGTTTTGCGATTAGGCTGTGCGTTGTACTTCTAGTCAAGGCACTGAAATAGAACCGAGGATATTTATTCGCAACGGCTGGCATCATCAACGCCTTCCATGATGTCGCTGACCTAAAATACATGTACACTCTCAGACAGTAAATCGACAGACAAACTTTTGAACATCTCTCTCCATCGATGGCCCGCCCATTCTTCCTGTCCGCCCAGCTCATGTTACTCACAAACACAAACACGGAAAACGCCCTTCATTTCAACCTTGTTCACTTCCGGGCAAACTTCGGCAAACTGTCATCCATCGCCGTGATCACGACTCCTCGCCACCATCACCCACCGCCAGCTTATACAAAGCTTGCGTCTCGGCGTAACCCCGCGGAGGACGTTTGCGCAGTTTTCTCGGCGTTCGCATCGTCGATTGTGACTGGTGACCCCGTTGCGATTGTTGCGGCGATGATGATGACGATGATGTGGTATAGTTACTAGTATTGGTATTGTGGAGGACAACAACGCTATGGTTATTACTGGCTAACGAAGAAGAAAAGGCAGAAGATAAGGTTGATGTGGAGGTGGACGATATAGACGAAGGGGCGCTGCCCAAGCGCAGGCGCGGGGTTCCCACTCCCCAGCTTTCGCGGAAGAGGAGTCACCATGCGTTACGATCCCAGTTGGGGTCTGTTATTTTGGGATAGAAGGGAGAGGTTTCGGTGTTAGTCAGGTTCGCGATCGATCAGTCTGGAGAAGAAAGAAACGGGAAGGAAACAAAAACTCACCCTGCACAAAAGCAGCTAGGACTTTACTCCCCGTTTGCAACAGCGGGTGCCCCACGACGATCTTGAGGAACTTCTCTAAACCCGCCCTGCGGCCCTCGATCACGTCGTCGCTAAACCGGTTGGTGAACACCTTGCCGGGAAGCGGGGGAATGGTCACGCGGGCGCTCTCCCGCTCCAGGATGTCGCGGAAGTACTCAAAGTCCGAATAGCGGCGGCGTACTGTCGACTGCCGCAGCTTGAAGGCGGGGATGTTGGTGCGACATACAATCTCGTAGTCGGTGTACATGTGGCGGCCGATACCGTGGGTTCGGGGGTTGCGGACCTATTCGTGGGTGAACATGTCAGTGAGGTCAGGTCTCCGGGGCATTGGGAATAGTCGTCGAGAATGGACATCCGACTCCGACTAGGGTGACCAGGCCGGCTCTGTGACAGAGCGAGCCCACGGGCGACGGGGTGAAGACTAACCTCGATCTCCAAGAAGTTCTCGGGCGGACCGTAAATCTCATCAAACGACTGTTGTCGCGTGTCCGGTAGAGACTGCATGATGGGCCGGTGCAGACGGGCAGCCGCCGCCGCCGCCGCCTTTGCTTTATCTGACTGAGACCCCGTTGGGCTGACCGGGCTAGTGGGCGACGTTGGCGAGGTGGGAGAGGTAGCGCGCGCACCACCGGCCGCGGACCCCAAGTCGCTGGAGGACGCCGTTTTCGCGGTTTGGGAAGGACGTTGGTTTAGTGGTTATTACTGGACGCGAAGAGCTGGTTTCCCGGTTAAAATGACGGGAAGCAGCTCGAATCTCCTTGCTGTAGTTGGCGCTGGAGTTGTTGCTTTGTCAGAAGAGGGCTTGTGTGACAGCGTAGCTGATAGTCTTGATGGACGAGGAAACAAGATAGCCTGGGCGCAACGGATCTGGCCGTCGTGCGTCGATGAAAGTGGATGAACTTACATGATGCAACTTGGAGAGACGAAGGTGGGGGTTGTCGATTGAAGTTGGAGGAAAACGACGTTACGAGGGGAAGCTACAGCTGGAAATACGAGCTCACGAAGCCGTAACCACCGGGCCGGATAAATCGACTGTGTGCCCAGATAGATCCCCTGTGTGGGGGCCGCCCGACCAATGGCAAACCATGTCAGCGCCCGCCAAATTTGCTAGCGAACAACATCGTATGACATCTCTATACTTCAGTAGTAACGATTAAAGCAATTAAGCACATCGCCGTCGCCGTTATTATTTACTATCGAGCCAGTGAGTGTAGTATTAAGGGGGTCATACTTATCGAGATTACTAACCGTACACTATAGAAATACCTAAAGTTATCGATCTAACTGCCTCCTCCCCAGCAGGCTCCCCTATACTTGCGCGCGCGCCCAGTCCGACCCCCTCAATTGAATGGATCAAAACTAAACCGCGCGACAATAACCACAAATTTCTCGATATCAACAACCTTATTAAAGACGAGAAGCTATCTCCATCTCCAGCTCCGGCCCTAATTCTAACGATCCCTGTATTCCACCGCCGCCATCGCTCCCCCTCAAGCTCTTCGAGTTCGTCGTCATCGTCGAATTCTTCTTCGAACTAAAATAAAGAGATAGAGAATAAGGAGGAGGTTAGTAAGAAGGAGCCCGCCTTCGCCGAGCTTTCTTCTCGCTAGTAGACCAATATCAATACCGCCGTTAGAAAAATTAGTAATATCGCTAGACAACTCGGATTTAGTATTTCTAAGAACCGTACTAGTAATTACCGGATAGAGGGAGTAACTCGGTTCCCTTATCGGTACGATATCGAATATATTATAGCGAAGAAGCGCAGGGGCAAGAAATGCAATAACAACGCCCCGCTCCAAAGACCGTTGGCAGCGAATATAAAAAGAAACTATAAGTGGCAAATAAAGCTGGTATTTAGCACTAAAACTAGGGTATAGCAGTTTACCCTTATAAGGAGAGACCACAACCATCCCCTCGACCCCAACAATACCAATTATCTCGCCGTCAATCGTTGCTAATATTGTATAGAGGAGGTAACCGCTAGTATCCTTCGGTTGGCTAAACAACTAAAGACTTCCTTATTAAACATCGTATCTATTATCCGTAACGAATTCCCTGGTATTGCCATTACGCAACGCGACGTACTTAATGTACTAGCGGCCAATAGAATGAAGCAAGCGGGTGCCCTTATACCGACCTAATAATTTCTCGACCGGTTACAATCAATAGAGGGGATTCATCATGAAGTCTACCGTTACAACGGCGAGGAGTTTGGTCTGATTGAGAGAATCTTTTAAACTTATCTATAGTATATTAACCAATTGAGGAAGAATCCCGAAGTCATAAGCTTGGACTATACGTACAAAATTAATAAATTCGACATGCCTCTCCTTTAAATATATAGGATAATGGCTATACATACGATTTTCAATATCGGTTATTGCTTATTAAGTGGCGAGAAGGAGGCATGCTTTACATAGGCATTTTAGTAAATTGATGCTATACTCTTAAAGTATAGTATCCCCTAGCCTCTAATCATTATCACTGACTATAATAAAACGTATAAGAGAGCTTGCCGGACAATCTTCCCTATAACCCAATACTAGATTTATCTCTAGTATGTAATAAAGAACGTTACCTTCAACGTTAAAAAGAAGTAGGAGGGTAGTCTTGAGGGTATAGCGTTGGGTAACCGTGGCAGTGACGGGAGTCATTTCCGTAAGGATTACCATTATATAGATATCAACCCCGCTAATGAAGATTCTATTATTCGCTAAGTCGCCGCCCAATTATTAAATGGAAATAACCGGAATTACTACCTCGAATCAGGGACTAAAAATCCCTTCATTCAACCTATTAATAATCGTACCCCCTATAATTCAAACTATAAATAGATCAATAACACGGATAGGATTTTAGCCGTATAGAGGGCAATAATATACTCTAATATAGAGGAGGGATTCTACCAGTAATGGCGGGTATTATTGAGGGAGTTCCCCAAGCAAAAAAGTACAATTATTACATCTTTCTATTATTATCTATATAATTACTAATCCCTCTTTTTACAGCTATAACCAACTACCTTCTCTACGTTTACCTCCCATTGAAGTACGAATTTACCCATTTCGCCATCAGATCATACTACAATTTTAATATATAAATAACCTCCCGTACAAAAGGTGCCTACAGCGTCTTGAAAACACTATTCAAAAATCATTGTATTAATTTCAACTAATTATTAAGCACTATTACCAAAACCCTTAAGTAGTTGAAAGAGAACTTTATAATTAAATATACGTATTAAATCTCAAAAGACGTGGCGAAGTTCAGGCATACTGCTCTAGCGGACTTGAAGTTCATTACCAGCTTCGCTTACCTTGAATTACTCTAACGGCAAACTCAATTGGCCAATAATAATCTTAAGCGCTCACAATCTAATTTAGAGGGACTAAAAGCAAAGTGTTCTACCCACTTTACGAGGCAATATAGCTTACCCTGCTGGCACGGGATAATTAATATCGTACGGTTAAACGGTACTATACTTCAAAGTATAGTCGATAAACACTAGTTACTTAAACCAAACACGGTAAATAAATATCCCTCTCTTAAATATTATTTATCTAATACGCTTACTAACCGTGTCTTTTACCAGCCGTTATCTACAAAGTAGCTATTACTACGTAGGGAGAGAGACCCTCTCCTAATTATCACCAACCGCTGGAAGGCTCGCAACGGTGCCTAGCCCATGCCCGCCATACCCGCGCTCCCTCCTCTCCCCTCCTCCAGCGTTAGATGCGATCCATCTTATAATGCCCCCCCCAAGGCTTTATAGCCTCCTAAGAAGAAGAGGATAACCAAAGCAATACTAGCCAATTAGAGGGAGCAGGAGGCAAAAGCAGCGGTAGAGAGCGCGAGGCTAGAGATAGAGATATTAAAAACACAACTCCAAGAATTAAGAGAATCATAGTAAAGAGAGGCACAACTGGAGGCACGGCTGCGAGAGCTTACGAATCAATAATAATAAATTTAATCCCCGCCGCCGTTACTAATATACTAAGGGTATTAATAATAGTAATATTACTAGCCTACCCGCCAGCTAATAATACCCCCCCCTCCCTTACAGTAGCCGCTATATCTAAATCCTTACTAACCGCCACCATTTAGCCAATAGCAATCCCAACAGCTGTACTAGTTCTCCTAATCGAACTAGTAGTACCAATACCAGTAGATTATATATACTAGTATAAATATAAACTCTACAATTTCAGCATATTCATGTAAATCAGCATCTCAGAAAGCCTCGTTTGTGTAAATCTTTGTGCAATTTTGGTGTGGATGTTGCACACATGTCATTTTGGTGGAAATTTGGCGGGCGAGAACATGGGTGAATCATTAGCCAGACCGGTTCCACACAGGGGATCTATCTGGGCACACAGTCGATTTATCCGGCCCGGTAACCACACGCTATGAGGGGAGGGGGGCAGGCTAAATGGGGGACCCGAAGTGGAATGTATTCGACCCAAATCCCGGTTCTAGTGCGCTCGATGACGATCCATGCTGGAGGTAGGGATATATTACCGTAAAATTCGTTACACGTTACATTACCCGCCTACCAGAGAACGGTTGCCGATAGTTCGCACTTGTTGTTTCTGCATCTACTGTGTAGTAGAGCGACAGCATCGAGGAATGCCTGCTTCATGTTATCTGTTAGTATCACGAACAATATTGGGATCCAGAAAACACGGTTGATGTCGCTATATTATGTCCACAGCGATGGCTTAACCATTTTGGCCGATTGATTATCTATACGACCGCTCACTATACGTGTGTAGAGCATGCTTCGAAGCTCCAGATAAGCCTCGGCCAGTATCGCAGTCGCGAATTCTTCTCCCATACATCTCTCTGATTTACCGGTGTATTTATACTCACAGGTGCGAGAGGATAATGATGCTTCCTTTTTTTGTTTTTCTTCTCCCTCGTTGTGAGTCTCTGGAGCCGCCTGGCAAGCTGTATAAGTGCAACAAGGTTGGCATAAGCTCGGCAAGACGAAGAAGTAGAGATATTGGTCGACGAAACGATGAATTCCTCACCTGCGGTCCCGATCTCAAAAAAACTCACAATTGATACCCAAGACCCTGCATGTAAGGATTGATGTCTGGGTTTGGTCCGCTAGGAAACGCCCATCTTCTCATCCAGCAGGAATTCCTCGGCACGCCTTAGTTTGAAGTAAAATGCCCAATGGGGTTCAACCGTCAACCGCTCGACAAGACGATCTAGGGAACGTTCAATCGGTGAGGCACTTCACTTCTTGTCGGCAAACTTTTGGTGGATGGCCTTGATCTGCTCGTCGAGATTGAAGGTCTGCAACTGGTTGATGTGTGCCTGGCTCCTGCCCTCGGGATTTCCGTCGTAGCTATGCATGGCCACCTTTTTCCTTCGAGCTTGCTCTTCCTCGGATATGGGCTGACCAGTTACTGCATCGAAAACATCGGTACGTGCGCTAGCCAGTCGCTTGAGGTTGTTGGCAACATCCACAGTAGAGAGGTTAGTTGTAGCAAATCTCGCGTCCGCCTTGGCCTTCTGTTCCTTCCACCGTGGATCAAGGAGTTCAACTAACCAAGCTGTCAGTAAAACATTGTATGGGCACGAATTGGGACACGGCGGGGCTTGCTTACTTCTCATATGCTCATCCAGTTCGTTAAGTGGAATTTGCTGTTTGCAGTTAGGGCACAAAGCCATTTGTGAACCAAACTTGTTGGCCGCGCGCTGCGCTGCCCGAGGAACATAGTTATCCTTGATCTTCATCGGCGCCAGTCCACCGGTTGGCTGCACCCGTGTCCTAGCCTCCTGTTCCGCCCGAACTCTCTGCGCCGCTTCCTCCTCTTCTGGTCTTGGGTGGCTTCCAACGGGGAGAGGGGTGCCGTATGCCTGCGGGGCATTGGGAGTATTCGGGGATTGGTATTGCTGTTGCTGGGCTGGCTGAGAAGGTGCCGCTTGGACTCCGTACTGTTGCGGGGGGTAGGCGTTATAGCTGGTGTCTTCGAATGGGAAGGCCTCTTCGATCCGGAGATTGGAGCTAATCGATATTTTGTTTTTCTCTTCTAGCGAAGCATACTGGAGGTCGTTGAGCGTTGTGGGAGGCGGCAAGTTAGCCTGGTCGTCGGATTCCGAAAAGACAATGGTCTCGACGACGACAAAGTCATTCCAATCGATACGAGCGAACTCAATCTTCTTCTTTTCTTCCTCCTCTTCCTTCTTTGCCTTTTCAGCGTCCTGCCAAATCGCATACTCGGCCCTCTGTTTCGCACGCGCCAGCACGTGGTACTTATCGTCAATGTTCCGCTTAACTTCGGCAATACGTTCTTGTAGTGCCTGGTTGCCTGTTCCGTTGCTATCGCTTTCGCGCAAGAGGATGGAATACTGATCGACCATGCTCTGGAAGAAGTTGTGGAAGGTGTGGTTGGGTATCAGGAACTGGAACTGCGGGTTGCTGGCCTCACGCTGAGAGAGCTGTGTCATGAATGGGCGGCCATTCTTTGCGATGAACAGGGCTGTTACTCGCACAATTTCCAGGTCTTTTTGGCTCATACGAGGCATACGCGCTGAGAACTGGAAGTCAGGCGGCTTGGGAGGGCCCTTTGGCTCTTCCTTGGCTGGGGCTGGGGCAGCCTCGCCGACGCGACCAGCGGCAATGGCGGTGCCGCGTCCGGCCTTGATTTCTGATTTTCGCCATTCGTAGTACGCATTGTACGGATCGCTCGAGGTCATCAAGAAGCTGAATTTCGGATTCTTGCCATGGTTCTCGCGAATGCGCTGTTCGAGTCCTAGTCCACCACGCATAACATATCCGGCCGTTTTCTCGATCGCCTCGCGAATCTCGCCTGGTGGCGGGATGATAACTCCAGGCGGCGGCTTGATATTGTCAAGTGAAGCGGCCGCTGCGGAAGGGTCGCCGTTCGTGGTCGCGGCCATTATGTCGATAGATCGCCGGTAATTTGGAAGACGGCGATATGCAGTTGATGTCGACTTTGGGTTAGATGGGATGATGTTGTTTTTCTCCAGATGGCTTTGCACCTTGTAGGGCGGTTTGACCAAACTGTAGTATGATTGGCCCGTGCGCGTCCATATCCCCCCCGATTAGTCCTGGCCCAGGCCAGCCAGCGCCGCCCGGCCAAAGCCTTACTGTACAATTGTACTGTGACCGGGACAAGGCTGTTAGCGGCTGACGGGACAGCCATTTCGTGGTTGCTGTTGCATACCTATCGAGACACTGTTGTATACTAGGAAGACATGTCGCAGTGAAGATCACACATGTACTATGCAGAAAGGGTTCAGTGAGATACTTGGCCACTCTAAGACCATATGGGACCAATCCCCTCAGAGGAAATGCCCATCGAAAAACTCTCTGTCGTTCGCAGGACAGTCCTCTTCTCTGGGATTTTGGTCTGCATATAAGCTGCGTAGAGGCAGGTTTCTCCTCACTTTGGATGCTACGTCTTGGTCACTCTGGCCGGCTGTTTGTAATACACATGTCACTCACTGATGGTCTATCCTGTCCCAGTCTTCAATCTTCAATGTCTTTACCCACTAGACATGTTCATTCCCGCCATCACGCTTCGTCTATGATGAGGAGAGGTGGTGTAGTGGCTTGGGGGTTAGCAATGGTGCACACGGCAGGCCAACGGCCGCTCACATGCGACGGCGGAAGAGTATACAAGAGTAAAGAGAAAGAGAACTGGTGACATTGTTAACCGAACCGTCAGATTGCAATTCAACTCGAATGCAAGTGTTGGACCAGTTACATATGTGAGCTGTTAATGGCGCCCAGAAACTGGGGAGCTCGGCCTTGCTTGGGGCGCCGTATATGTACGTAAACGGCGGGCTGGCCAATGGCTTCGCTTGGTGGAGCTCAAATGAACTTTGACGCACGACGGGGGGAGGGGTGCCAAGGCCCGGGACAGGGGCTGATATTGAGGCCACTTAAGCTCCATCATTGACCCTGCCACCCTTCCACGTCTTCTCTTGGGCCGACCAGGCCACTGTCCACCTCAGCTTCAGGCAGAGCCAGAGCCACGAGATCATATTCCGCGGGTCCATTTCAAGTTGCGAGCATCACTCGCTCACTTCAGACCACATCCTAGGTTTGTGCCCCTTTCATAAGCTAGACATACCCTTTTTTCCTCTTCGTCCACTTCCCTTCTCTAGTTTTCCACTGCCTCAACAAAGGTCTAAGGCCAGGACGGATTCCATCAGGGCGAAGTCGTCTTTGCACTTGTCTTCCCTTTCCTCTTTCCATTCTATTCTCTTGACTGCCATTATACTTACTCTTCTTCCCCACGGCCAGTTTCCGATCGGCCCCGGAAAGTTCCCATTCCGTTTCGTCGGAACTATCCATGACACGGGCAGCCCTGTCCCAATGATCGTTTAACCTTCTTCGACTCTCGTTAATCTTTAGTTTACGATCCCACCGATCAGTGACCTCCCTACGAGGCCTCCGAAACCTCCCAGAAGTACCCTCTCGATCCGCAACCAACTGCTGTCCTACCGATACTTTCGCCAACATGGCTCGCTCCGGCAAGAAATCGCCGGCGCCGCCGCCGGCATATGCCCCGGCCTATGCCCCGCCGCCCGCCTACGAGGCCGTGCCGACCTCCGCGGTCGTGTCCAAAAACAAAAACAACAAAAACAAGTCCGCCAAGGTCAAGGACGACTACTCGTCCGAAGGTGTCCAGGACAATGATCCGTTCTTGCTCCCCGGATCCGACTTCGTGCTCCTCACTATCATCACGATTTTGTCTGCCGTTGTTCGCCTATTCCGCATTTACCAGCCTGACAGTGTTGTGTTTGACGAAGTCCAGTATGTAATCCACCCATTGGAGGATATAGTTGCTCGCTTGGAAGAAGAGGTACTGATTCAATGTCTGCAACAGCTTCGGCGGCTTCGCTTCCAAGTACATCAAGGGCAAGTTCTTCATGGACGTCCACCCACCCCTCGCAAAGCTCATGATTACCCTCTTCGGCTGGCTCGCTGGGTTCGACGGTAGCTTTGATTTCAAGGAGATTGGAAAGGACTACGTCGAGCCTGGCGTTCCTTATGTCGCCATGCGCATGTTCCCGGCTATCTGCGGTATCCTTTTGGCTCCTACCATGTTCCTCACTCTCAAGGCAGCTGGATGCCGTAGCACCACTGCCTTCATGGGAGCTTGTCTTATCATATTCGGTACGTCTGAGAGAAAGAAGAACAATCGGACAGTTCACACGACTAACGAACCTGTCCTCTACAGAGAACGGCCTTCTCACCCAGGCCCGGCTTATCTTGCTTGACTCGCCCCTGATGATTGGAACCGCCCTTACTGCGCTCGGCTTCACTGCCTTCACCAACCAACAAGAACTGGGACCTGGTAAGGCCTTCACACCGAGCTGGTGGTTCTGGCTGGTTGTTACCGGTCTTGGTCTAGGAATCACCGCTAGTATCAAGTGGGTTGGTTTGTTCACCATCGCGTGGGTTGGCAGCTTGACTTTGATTCAGCTATGGGTTGTGCTTGGCGATCACAAGCATGTTTCCCCTCGCGCGTTCGCCAAGCACTTCATGGCCCGCGCTTTCTGCCTCATTGTCATCCCTCTTACTTTCTACATGGCCATGTTCGGAATCCACTTCCTGTGCCTTACCAACCCTGGCGACGGTGACGGCTTCATGAGCTCCGAGTTCCAGTCGACTCTGAACTCGAAGGGCATGCAGGATGTCCCGGCTGACGTTCTTCTGGGTAGCCGCGTTACCATCAGGCATGTCAACACCCAGGGTGGCTATCTGCATTCGCACCCCTTGATGTATCCCACCGGCTCAAAGCAACAGCAGATTACTCTCTATCCCCACAAGGATGACAACAACATCTGGCTCCTTGAGAACCAGACCCAGCCTCTCGGTATCGATGGTCAGCCCATCAACGGAACTGGCGCGTGGGACCACCTTCCCGAGACTCCCTATATCAAGGATGGCGCAATTCTCCGTCTCTATCATCTCCCTACTCACCGTCGTCTCCATTCGCATGACGTTCGGCCCCCCGTAACTGAGGCTGACTGGCAGAACGAGGTGTCAGCTTATGGCTATGAGGGCTTCGATGGAGATGCCAACGACTTTTTCCGTGTCGAAATTGTCAAGAAGAAGTCCAAGAGCGGCGTTGCTCAGGAACGTCTTCGTACCATTGACACCAAGTTCAAGCTGGTGCACATCATGACGGGCTGTGTTCTTTTCTCCCACAAGGTTAAACTTCCTACTTGGGCCTCGGAGCAACAGGAGGTCACATGCGCCAAGGGCGGTTCCCTTCCCAACAGTCTTTGGTATATCGAGTTCAACGACCATCCGCAGCTCGGAGCTGACGCCGAGAAGGTCAACTATCGCAACCCTGGCTTCTTCGGCAAGTTCTGGGAGCTTCAGAAGGTCATGTGGAAGACGAATGCCGGCCTTGTTGAGTCTCATGCCTGGGATTCTCGCCCCGAGGCTTGGCCTATCCTCCGCCGTGGTATCAACTTCTGGGGCAGGCAACATCGCCAGGTTTACTTGATGGGTAACCCCATCATTTGGTGGAGCGCTACTGCTGCTGTTGTTATCTACGTCCTTTTTAAGGGCATTGCTATTCTCCGCTGGCAGCGCAGCTGCAATGATTACGCCAATCCCATCTTCAAACGCTTTGATTACGAAGTTGGAACCTCTGTCCTCGGGTGGGCTCTTCATTATTTCCCCTTCTACCTTATGCAGCGTCAACTCTTCCTGCATCATTACTTCCCGGCCTTGTACTTCGCCATCATTGCCTTCTGCCAAGTCTTTGACTTTGTGACTGCTAGGATTTCTCTCGTCAAGGACAAGGTTATTTTCAACAGACTCGGCGCCGTTTTGTTCCTTACCTTGTCGATGGTCGTCTTCTGGTTGTTCTCTCCTCTGGCCTACGGTAACCCCTGGACCAAGGCTGAATGCAACCGGGTCAAGCTTTTCAGCACTTGGGATTTTGACTGCAATACCTTCCTGGATAGCGTAAGTTCTATCCCCCATCAAACCATACCCCCAAGACATGTGCCCGAGAGGGGGTAAAGAGATGATGGTGGGAGCCAGTGGGTGTTTTATGCATTGGCGGATGAAGGCACCATGGATATCTTGAACTGCCAGTAAGAGTTCGAGCAGCAAGCGACAAGTTACCACATTCGAAAGATTTAGCTGAAACAGCAACAGCATGTCCTTGGATACTAACACTCTTCGCTTGATGATTAGTACGACAATTACTACGGAATTACCCCAACAAGCCAGACGCCTTCCCAGACCCCAGTTCAGGGCACGCTTGAGAGGCCTGCTGTGGCTAACGCGCCTCCTCAGGCTCAAAAGCCCATTGTGAACCAGGAGCAACAAGCCGCCAAGCAGGAGCCTAGTGCCAACCCGGTGGGCCAGCGCGTCATCTCTCGGCAGGAGAAGATTGAGTATCGCGACCAGGATGGTAACCTTCTCAACGCGGAGCAAGTCGAAGCGCTCAAAGGCAAGGTCGAGTTCAAGACCAAGTATGAAACGAGAACACGCGTTATCGATGCAAATGGCAACGAAATCCAGCTTGGTGGAAGCGGTATGCCTAAGGTTGTTCGGGCTCCCAAAGCTTCTCAGCCCGTTGCACCCCCGCATCCGGATGTTCAGGGTACGTCAATTTACCGCCATATACTGATAACTTGGGTGTCTAAATACTAACATCAATACTTCAGGCGTTGACCAAGAGACTCCTAAAATTCCTGCTGCCGAAGAGGTCGTTCCCCAAGCGGAAATGAGCGTCGACGGCGAGAAGGAAGCCGAAGAGAAGGTCGCTAAGCCGGCCAGCGAGAGCAACGAAGCCACCGTGTCGCAGGACATCGAGCAGAGTGACGACGTCAGGGCCGCTCAGGAGAAGATCCAGAAGATGGTCGAGCGTATCCAGAAAGTGGCCAACAATGTCGATAACCTGAAGAACAACGTCGCGGAGAAGGCTGGCGACAAGATCGAACAGGTCGAGGAGAAGGCCGAGCAGGTTGTGGAAAAGGTGCAGGAAGTCGCTGAACCAGCCAAGGAGAAGGCTGAGCAGGTTGTGGAAAAGGTGCAGGAGGTCGCTGAACCAGCCAAGGAGAAGGCTGAGCAGGTTGTGGAAAAGGTGCAGGAGGTCGCTGAACCAGCCAAGGAGAAGGCTGAGGAGGCTGCCGAGAAGCTCGCCGAGAAGGTCGAGGAAGCCGCTGAGCAATCAAAGGAGAAGATTGAGAGTGTGACTGACAACGTTAAAGAGGAGGTCGCCGAGAAGGCGGAACAGGTTCAGGAGAAGGCTCAAGAAGCTGGAGAGAAGGCCCAAGAAGTGGTCTTGGAGAAGATCGACCAGGTCGAGGAGAAGGCCGAGGAGGTTGGGGAGAAGGCCGAGGCGAAGGATGAGCTTTAGATCATTGTGGTGACTATTTGAAGCCATAAGCATCTCTCCGTTTCCATTTTTCTACCAAATCCAATCTATGTGCAACAGACACCAGGGAAAATCGATATTCTTTGATCAAAAACCAAAATAAAGGCATAGAGACGGTTGGTTCAGCCAGCCAGATAGGGAGATGAGAATAAGGCATGGGGCGAAAAAAAACAATAAAGGGAGATCTAGAAAAACAGATGGGGGGAGTAATGGGTAGCTCTTGGTTCACCCTTCCTTCACACACGCACACATAGCTTGACTTGCTACTGTTTGTTTATTGTTAATCAATGTTGTACATCTAGCGTACTCGGTTTACCAATGTGTCTCATTGAAACTTTTTGCCGGTTTGTTTCCTTTGTGTATCAGCCGCACCCGGCTTGCATCCGGACTCGAAGTCGGACTGGGAGTTTGACGTCCGGGCGTTAGCTAATTTGTTCGTAGCACCTCCCAAAGAACACTGCTGGACCATTTGTCTGAGACAATGGTCCCTGGGACCCGAATGGCGCTGAGTGTGATCAATTATGGCGTGGCCGAGACACATTAATGGAACATTTGTCTGCTTGCATCTGATTCATCTCCTCCCTGAGACAATAGGGTCTAGTGTTTAGGTAGGTTGGTAGGTAGTTGTTGAAACTTTACATCAAGGTTGACTTGTCGTGGTCTCGATTGTCGAGCAAATGTCACCAGCTTGTCATTCAAGCAATCCCACGCATTTTTCGCCGTGTAACGCGTGGATTATTGTTAACTGGCCTTCCTCCGTCTTCAGCGATGGTGCTGACCGTGTTGGCCTTCCAACTTGGGTTTCGTCTTCGACATGTCCTGTAACGTCAAACGAAACGAAGCGAAGGGGACGAGTTGAGGGGGGATAAGCGTTGTACCGAATCATGACAGCGCTCTAAAGTGGCACTAAGCACCTCACTTCTGTGGTGTCTCTTGCTATTTTGGGCGCACCGGATCTTCGTGATTGCCATCATATCCAGACTTTCAGGTTGGGCTGCTGCCAAGTCAAGCCGTGATGGAACCTCGGGAAGCCAAGACCCTAGGCAGGATTTGTGCTGTAGGTAGCTCGTGTTCAAGTATCTCATGTTTACTTATCAGACCATGGCAGGAATCATTTGCGACTAGATATGATCGGGCTGTGAGCCACTGATTTTGCTATTCCATGATACTTCATATCTCTGGCGACTCTAATGTCCCCGATCAACGAACATAACAATGACGGATGATGGGAAAGGTGCCTGAATGTGTGTGTGCAGCAACGCCCATAGTTGGACCGTGTGATGTGATCACAGGCCAACTGTGAAGGCCCTGAAGATGTGACGAGTGCCTCGTTTGCAATTGCACCGCCTTGGAAGTTGAGATACCCTGGTCGTTATGACGCCTCATGGATGCTGTGGGAGCGTGGAGATCCAGTGGCAAAGAGGATCAGTGGGATCCCAAAATCGCCAAAATATCGTGATCCTGGATATGGAAAGGCGCAGATCCAAGGCAGTGATCTCGGGCGACGTGAGGAAATTCCATGCCCAGCGAACGGATAAGCCGCCCGTCCAGGGCCCCAATAGCCCACTCATTACACTTAGGTCGGTTGCTCGCTGGTCGCTGCATGTAGTGTACTTATGTATGTAACCAGGCTAGTCAGCATCAGCGAGGCTTACTATGTTGTGCGTCTCATTTCCCCGCAACAGCGTAACGTAACGTACTGTGTAAGGGGATTAAGGATGGGTAACAAAACTGCACCGCACTGCACTGCACTGCACTACACTGCACTGCACAATAAACCGGCAGCAAAAAGTCAAAGGGTCAGGTACAGCGGTCATCTCGTTCGTTGGGTCCAAGCATCGATTGACATGGCTGTGCGAGGTTGTTGGGAAACAGCGAAGCCATTTATGGTTACGGGCGGGAGCTCGAGACGAGACCACGCATCACCGCACGGCACCCGACTGCACTCTATGATTGAGTGGGTCTTGTCTGAACCCATCGCAGTGCCCGCCAGCGCCAGGGGAGGCCGAGATCCCCACCGGAAAGCCCCCGGTCAGGATCTGGGGCTAACCCGTTCGGGCCATGGTGGAATGGGCGAGATCCCCCCGTTCAGGAGCTCGTGGCTAGGTACAAATATGGACTCCGGAACGGGAGCTGCGAGTCCACGAAGACGACTGAAGAATACGACAGAAAAGAGAAAAGGAATCGAATCTGAACTCTCAGCACCGACGCTTTAGCAGGAACTTGGTAATTTGACGCCATTCGCCCGTGGATAAACAGCGCATGCAGTCGGGTGCTGCCAGGAGCGCAGGACCAACTGGGAAACACGGAAGGCGCCAATGACAATTGTCTTGGTACCAACGCAGTGATAAATTAACGACAATCGCTAGCCCCGGCCACTACCTGGAAGTCGCAGACCACGGATCCGTACCTACTCCGTACTAGTACCGATACAGTCCGGTGGGTTCGAGATTGCAAAGTGGAAGCTGGCTGCAGTGCTGTTCTGCGCCATAACGTTATCCACGCGCATATCCCCGACAAACTTTCCACTTTCCACTTGGACTTTCGCCCCGATCTGCTGCCACACACATCCATCATCATCTGTCATTCATCTGTCGCTCATCTGCCATCTGCTCTTTCTTGGAGCCTGTCGTCCGTCCTTTTTCCGCTGCAGTTCTTCGCTCCTTGTCCTGTCCATACCACACACCCGCAAGCCGGATCCCAACTACCTACACTATCCCAACTATAATTTTCGCTTCCATTCCGTCTTACAGATTGCCATACTCGGCTTGCCATTAAGCGACTTGTTTCTACCGAACGACGTTATACAAGCCCCAACCACACCAACCACTAGATAGTCAATTTCCCGTATCGACCCCATTCAGCGCACCACGCGACTTCCCATCCTTGCGACACTCCCGTTTGCTTCCCAGAGCTTTTCAGCATTTCTCGACCGACACAAGCCCGGTGCGCCCATTGCACGCCACGATAGAGTCGGAAAGCACAACGCCGCCGCCTAGGCCCTTCCCTGTCGCTCCAGCTTCTCCTTTACAGGACCCGCCAGTCCCTGGTGTGGTCCTTACCAACGCCGACAAGCTGGATTCGTAAGTCCCTGGCCCTCTTCTAGACTTTCCATCCCGCTATGCGTGCTTGGAAACCCTTCTTGTTACACCCTCAAGTTTGTCCGCAGGCTCTTCTTGGGTTGTACAGCCGAGTGTCTCGTGCGCTGAAGTGACTTGCCCAATCCGGGCATCCATGGTCCCCCAAAGTTGGGGTACTAGTTCTGGATTATCCCTTCCTGGGATCCAGGAGCTACCACTCCTGATACACTCACTTACCCTTGAGGCTCACCTCGATGACATCTATCCCTACAAGCTCTCACATGGCTGCCGTCTCCACCACTAACGGACTATGGCAAAGCTTTGTCACTGTGACGGGCTGGTCCTCGCACCAGATACCGATACCGGCCAACGGACGCCTCTCCAAAAGCCACACCCGATCTCTCTCCAGCATCCTCAGCCGAAACAGCGCCTCGAGGGCCTCGATTTCCGATGCAACACCCGAACTACCATCCGTCAGCGAGCCAGCCTCTGCCAACGCAGCGCCGTCGACCCCTCGCCTTAGACGACCTTTCTCCCCGCAGCCCATAGATGATGAGAATGAATTGACGACCCTCCCCGATCCCCGAAGCCGGGCTATGAGCCCCGCAAGCGGAGTTTCCATGACCAGTCATCACCATCCCGACCTCGATCAGGAGGTGGCCACCCTCAGCACGAAACTGATCAATGCAATCAACCACCAGACCACCTTGGATGATAACCTGTCGCAAACAAAAATGGAGCTAGAGCAGGCACGCGACAAGATCAGGCAACTTGAACGGACAGTGGAAGAACAAAGGGAGATGCTGGCTGGTGATGTTTGGGTACGGAGGAAAACCGTCGAGGCGGAAAAGACAACTCTGTTGGGAGTCATTGCCGAAGAGAAGCAGGCTCGTTTGGATGTGGAACAGCAAAAGAAGAAAATTGAACAGGAGTTGGAGAACCTGACAGCCGCCCTATTCGAGGAAGCCAACAAAATGGTCATCTCTGCCAAGGAAGAGGCCAGGATCGAACAGGAGATACTGCAGCGGAAGAACGACCAACTCAGGGCACAACTCGTGGATACCGAGGGACTACTCAAATCACAACAGGAGCAACTAGCCGAGCTAAAGCACCTTATGGAGGACATGAGCGCCGAGAAGCACGAGCAGATACCTCCAACAGCGCCTTCTTCTCCAGGTTTCAGCAAGTTTGAGCTGCAAAATGAGGAAGGCCTTTCCGATCGCTTACACCATGGGCATCACGACCGCCAACTTAGCGTGGTCGAGTCCATGTCTCCTTCGTACCCTACCAGTTTTACTTATCTCTTGAAGCCCGTGCTTCGTACCGACCTAGCATCGTATAACGACTTCAAAGATCTCATTCGCACATCCAAGAGGATCTCTGCCCAGCAGCGCGTACCCACACCATCTACCGGCTCTGCACTGACGTCTCTTGGCCTGGGCTTAGGATCGGTAGGTGCTCATCTTGCGCTCGCCAATGCCTCCAGCACGTCTCTTTCGACCATCGCAACTGCACAATCGACCTTCTCCCAAACCTCCACTACACCCACAACGGCCGTTACCGCCAGCCCCGGCGCCGCTGCCATCCCTCTGCCGGCCTTGAAGGATACCAGGTTTTACAAGAGGACCCTGACCGAGGATATTGAACCAACACTACGGCTCGATATCGCTCCGGGGCTTTCTTGGCTTGCCCGGAGGAGTGTCCTTACAGCGATGACGGACGGCTCGCTTGTAGTAGAGCCAGTCCCAGCTGCCACAACAACAACTAGCAGGTTCGGCAGGGTTTCGAGGCCCGAGTTGAGCCCGTGCTCTCTCTGCGGGGAGTCCAGGCCAGAGGAGGAATTTCTTCGGAAACATCGATTTCGGATCAGCGAAACTGGTTCCGCGCAAACTGGATATGCATTATGCAGATATTGCCTGTCCCGAGTCCGATCAACATGCGATTTCTTAGGATTTCTTCGCATAGTCAAGGACGGTCACTGGCGAGCGGATGACGAGGATGCTGAGAAGGCGGCATGGGCCGAAAGCGTACGGTTACGGGAGCAGATGTTTTGGAGCCGTATCGGTGGCGGTGTGCTCCCGATCACCCATTTCCACACAAGCCATAGTCGGGCGCCCAGTCGAGCCCCGAGTCTTCGGGGTGACAAGAGCTCCAGGACGAGTCTCGAAGCTGACAAGGATGGAGATGAGACGCCTGCTGCTGGTGAAGTTGAACAATTGGCGGTATCCGTGGCGGAGGTGGCAGAGGCGATCCAACAGGAGAGCTCGGAAACGGAAATTCCCGAGGTGCCTGAGCAACTCACTTCCAAAATTACCCCGGAGCCTGTCGACCAACCCGAGATCACAGAGAAGGACAGAGTGCCCGTGGAAGAGGTTGTGGTACCTATTGCGATCAGCGAAGTGTCTGAAGAGCAGGTTGAAATCATCGAACAAAAGGTTGAGGCTCCGGCAGACGACATGGAGGGACCTACCGAAGAGACCAAGTTAGCTTCGGAGGAGCCCAAGACTCCCGCTAACAAGTTCGAGTTCCTCGAAGCGGAAATCACCCAATCCCCGCCATCCACCGAAGATACCCCCAAGCAGCCTGTTGCCTCCGAGGTTGAGCCAGCAACTGAGGAACCAAAGGAACTTGCTGTGACGATATCCGGGGCTTTCCCAGCTTGAATTATTACGATTTACTCGATGGCAAAACGCAAAACTGGGCTTCCGTTTTGCTTTGATCATCACCTTTTTCTTCGCTTCTGTTTTTATTAAGTTGTTTTTGGTTCATACACTTTTGGGAGGCGCAACATTGAAAATATCGGGCGTTTTGGTTCAGGCTAATCGTGTTTACTTTTTTTTGTCTTGCTCTTTTTTATATTTAGCATAACTGTATTATATGATACCGAAGCCGCATGGGGCACCGTTTTCTCTCTCACAACCCCCCATTGTACACAAGGAGAAAACGGGGGATTTGATTATACAAAACACCTCAACGAAAGGATAAAAAGCCAGGGGGCGGAGCTGCTTCTACACTTACGCCAGGAGGGAAAGAAGGATGGCTATATACTAACTTAATCGGGCCTATTCAACAGCCACACACGCTCGTTTCTCGCATGTACTTTCACCTATTCAATATGTCGTTACTTATACTTACTTTGGGTTTATTAGGAGGGAAGAGGGATAATGACAGGAGAAGAGAGTTGGTCGTCCGGGGAACTAGCTAAGCACATGTGCTGATATGAACTCGAAGGATCCGAGAAAGCACACGCAGACCAGCTAGCTAGTTGCACATCCTTTAGCATAATGCATAAATCCTCCTGGAATAACAAACGTGTGTGGTCCAGAATGAACAATGTTCTCTCATATGAATTTTGCATACATGATTAATTTCCTTTCAAACACATGAATCGGACACGACCGCGCCGGACGACTTGCGGTCTTGCCGGAAATTGTCCCGCTCACCGACTCAGAACCAGCTTCAACAAAAGATTGTGCACACACGCGCGGACCCCTTTTTCTTTTTCCCATCATTCAATCCCCTGTCACGACGTCGCGTGGCATGCCTGCCCGCCAGTTCACCTCAACCTAACCCCTTTTTGCTTTTGTTCTTGGTGGTTCCAAATGCTAGTCAGGCACGAACTAGTTGAGGCTCCACTCTGCTTGACTTGAATAGCTGAATGTCTTGCTCACTCCAACAAGGGTTGACCTACCCAAGTACTTTGCTAACGACGTAAATATATGGTACAGTACTAAGAGAAGTGTTTCTAAACATTTTGAAAACCGGCCACAGTAATTAGGCACCAAAGCCGAAGAAACTGAAGAATCGAAAAAAGTGTATCGACGTTGATATCTGGATAATAGTAAACAATTATGCTTGAAGATCGAGCCCGGGAAAGGGCGAATCATGGTAGGAAGTGGAACTAAAACGAAACGAAAACGGTTTAATAGCCATGCCACTCTTTATAGCACGAACTAGACAGAGAGTGTTTTCCCCTCCTCTCTCGGCTTGGCGATTATTTTATTTTTTCCCCTTTCCTCCCCTTGCGTCATCACCCGTTAACCCTCTTTCCCTCTTTCCCTTCTTCCCTCCTTCCTTCATTTCCATGTCCTGTCTCCTCCATCATCCACCACCCCGCTTCCTTCCCAACAACAAAGTACACTCAACTCTTGAAAATCCCAATACCCTCCTCAATCCTCCCACCCCTCCCCGCCATCTCCCCCCATCCCACCAAAGTCATACGGATTCCACTCCTGCCCCGGATAACTCGTAGCGCTCATCATCGGCACGGCATCTTCATCATCCGTCTTTTTGTTTCCCGTTCCCGCCGCTCCCGTCCCATTGTTCTGCTTCATGTAATCATCATCATCCGAAAACACAGGGATCTTCTCCTCTTGCTCGCGAAGAAGTTGTTTCCGCTTGGCTTCTTCGAAGATGGAGCGGTCGGTGAGGGGTTTTAGAATTCCTTTGGGATTGGAGGGATCGGTGTGGTTGGAGGGGTAGGAAGAAATGAGGAAGCCGGAGGCGGTAGTGATGGCACCGTTCTCGGTGGGCTGGGGTTGATGGAGTTGCGGTTTGCTTGGCTCGGGGCTTTGGGAGGGGGAAGGCTCGGGGGAGATGATGATGATTGACTGTTGTTGTAGTGCCGGTGCCGGTGCCGGTAGTGGTGCTGGTGCTGGTGGTGATGGTGATGGTAAAGCGGCTCCTTGTTGAGGTTGAGGTTGAGGTTGAAGCGGCTGATGTTGCTGCGGCTGCTGCTGATCAACCGCATCCTTCGTCGGCTCGGAAGACTGGGCGGTCTCGTCGGCAGGAACAATCGTGACGTCGGCGATTTGGGATTGCTGCTGTGGCTCATTATGCTCGACATGGCCTGGAATAAGTGGTTCCTCCTTCTCGTTATCCTCCACTCCAACAGCTTTTGCGTGGTCAACATCTCTGGCTTCGTAGGGCGCTTGATGACCTGGAGTTGGCTCGGCTGATTTGTTGACTTCATTGCCATCACCATTGCTAGGAGCAACGATGAAATGGCTGTTTCCGTTCGCAGGCGATTCATCACGAATATTACCTAAACCATCATCCCTTTTCTCATTCGCATTGAAAGTTTCATCCTCAGTCTTTCGGAGATCAGTCTCATTCTCCTCTTCCATGGAATCGCGCCTGGGCAACAACACCGGTGACTTAATCGACTGCCTCGGCGTCGCATCATAAATATTGCCATCACCCACATGCCTATCCGGCGACCGGTGCACATGAACTTCCTGTGCCTGCGCGCGGATGAAGCTAACCGTGCTAGGCGGCGGTGTCATAGGCCCATGTTCATACAGCAGCGGTTCCGGACTAACAGCCCTAGAGTCACTGTCCGTGGTGATTCCGTTCCACGAATGATGGTCCTCGTTCTCACCCTTCTTGCTGTTCTCATCTCCATTACTATCCTCGTCAATCCCTGAATCAAGAAGTTTCTGGGCTACATTAACTGGTTCCGGGACGATGGTCCTGGAATCCCGAGGGAGAGCCGCGGATCCAGATCGAGAAAGTTGCTCCTGTTCTCCTCCCTCGGGAATCTGCGTCACTCCGCTGTCGTTCGAGATGGGTGAAATCACATTCGTTGATGGCGATCCGTTGCTGGGCTGCATGGACATGGCGCTGACTTGGCTGACTTGTCGTTGGGGGATGAGGCCCGGGTTAGGCTGTTGCTGCGGTTGCTGCTCCTGTGGTTCGCTCGGCGGAAGCGGCGGGTTCGGAACATTAACGGCGTCCGGGTTCACTGGCGAGAAAGGCGTGTTTGGAAGGGGACATTTTGGCGGAGACGGGGATGGCTGCGTTGGCTGTTGGAACTGCATCTGAGGCTGAGGAGAAAGGTCGCTAGCCTGTCTTGATGTTCCGATGAACGGAGGAGGAGTAGGCGAGATGCTTGGAGGATGCTGTTCGGAGTGCTCACTGCCCGGCGGAGGTGATGATGGGTGTACGGGAACATGGAACATCTGTTGAGGTCCTCCATGAGAAGTCGGTGGGGTAAAGAAAGGGGAGCCACCAGTGGAAGGAGGCGTGGTGGCGGGTACGCTTCCTGGAGGTCCAGCCATGGGCATGCTTCCAGGAGGTCCACGAGGAGGCATAGGCCCACCGGGATGAGGAGCGTACACAAAAGGTTGACCGGGAACAAACCCAGGAGGCAACATATGCGGCATTCCAGGCATCCCTGGAGGAATCACTTGCCCTGGCATCGGCATAAAATAACCTTGCGGCGGCTGGCCAGGAACATTCATGAAGTATGACATCGGCACGCCCATAGGCGAAGAGGTTTGGGTCATCCCTTGGTGCACAGGAAAATAGCCAGCTGGAATGGGCATCTGGGCATACCGAGGCTCTTGACCCGGAGGAGCAGATGTCGGTGGGTTCTGGCCTTGACCTTGGCCTTGATTTGAAGGTTGATCTGGGCTTGAGACTTGAGCAGCAAACTGGGCTTGTTGTTGTTGATGTTGTTGTTGTTGTTGAAACCTTTGAAACATTTGGGCATGCGCATGGACCTGAGCTTGCGCTTGGAAAAACTGCTGCTCTGCAAAGGCTTGAGCCTGAGCTTGACCTGCCATCTGGCTGGGATGCAAAGGCTGTCCAGGTATCGGCGGCCTCTGCCCTTGAACCAAACCAGGGGCTGGATGTGGCTCTCCGTGCGCCAAAGGTTGCTGCGTCTGTTGCTCGAACATCTGGGGCGCAGGTCTTGGCTTATCGGGAACGCCAGGAGCGGATGTAGCAGATGGACGCGTAGGCTGCTGTGATGACTGCTGGGCAGGTAGGCGCATGGCCAGATCTACTTGCGCCGGTGGGCTAGGAGCTTTGGACGGGTCCTGCCTCTCATTTTGATACTGCAGATGCGGGCTCGTCCGTCGTTCTCTCAGTCCCGGCGGTGACTTTTGTTGCGGTTGTTGTTGCGGCTGTCCCGGAAATTGGTTTTGAGGAGGTTGTAAACCTTGCGGCTTTTGTGCTTCTTGTCGTATCTGAGCTTGGTTTGGCTGAAACTGTCCTTGGTTGGCTTGAGGTGACTGAGCAGGGGACCTTGGCTGCGCATCTCCTTGCTTAGTATTGCCGCCCCGTTTCAAAGCGCTCATGAAAGACGACTTTCCTTTTTCCTGAGAGGTTGTTGGCGACGTCTGTTGTTTAGTGCCTCTGAAAAGCTTGGAAATAGTGCTCTGCTCCTTCTCCTTGGGCGGAGAGGCTATAGTCATGACGTTTCTAGGGGGGAAACCGGGGCTAGGTGGCGGCGCTCTGTGAGGTTGTGGTTGCTCTTGTTGGACCGGAAAGCCAGGCCCCATTGCTACTACGTGAGATAGTGAATGGCCAACGAAAGGGATGTTTTGGTTGGAAGTGCCTTGAACAAGGCTCTGCGGGCCAGTGGGCATATGTTGCGGTTTTTGCTGACGACCTGGTCCTTGGTTTTGCTGGTCTTGCGTACCGGACCTCTCTTGGTCCGCCCGCTGGTTAGAGGCGGGAACATCAGGAAGAGACGTCCCGCCCTGGGATGCCAATATGTGCTGGGAATCCACAGGGCGTTGGGTTCCCAAGCTTGACGGGAGGTGTGTGCTCGGTAAACTTTCGGGTGGAGGAGGTTGAGTTGAGGAGACCGAAGCTCCTCTTTGACGTTGTTGCTGTGGCAGAAGACTGGAAGGGATCTGGGCTGAGACAACCCTGGACCCTACCGGCTTTCGCGCAGGCAACTGATCTGGCTGAATACCGTTCATGCCAAGAGTATACATATTGGGTAAATTACTACCTTGAGAGAATGTCCGGGCGTGGCCTCCGTTCGTTGCCGCCGGAGGCGCCTGTCCATTAGTGGCGGGAGGTGTATTTTGCTGGGGACGAGACTGATGTGCCGCGGATTGACTGTCTGAAGGCACCGGAGAAGCAACTGGTGGGCTTACAGGACCGACAGAGACCGCATTTTGGCCATTACTTTGACCTTGACGAGCGTCGAGTTGCTGCTGATGCTGTTGTTGGGGCTGATCCTGTGGACCTCCATTTTGACCCTGCAGCGAAGGCCGAGACTGCTGCATGTTGACGTGGGGTCGGTCCTGCTCTGGGATTTGCCATTGCATCTGGATCTGCTGCGGCTGATACATGCCCGGATGGCCTTGTTGCATGAACTGCTGATGCTGAGGAGGAAGCTGACCAGGGAAAATCACCAACTTCCCATCTGGGCCAACTGGGAATTGTTGACGATACTGCTGCTGAGAGAATTGTCCTTGCCCAGGGGGCGGCATCGCCATTTGTCCTCGTCCCATACCTTGTAGCGTCTGCCTGGGGTCCGTGAGCGGCTGGCCAGCCCCTGTGCCTGACCCCGGCTTTGTGTCCTTGTTTTTAAACATGCCAAATATTCCACCAGAAGGTTTCCTAGCCTTTTCGCTTTCAGAAATCGAGGCAAGAGATTGATGTTGCTGGGGGAGGACCTGGCCAGAAGTCTTTGGCCGCAGCGGATACATTGGGTTGGCGCCACTCGCAGCAACGGGTTGCTGTACGTGTTGTTGACTTTGAACTTGGCCCTGCGTTGTAGGCCTAGCTGGTTGCGCGCTTCCGGACGGTCGGGAACCATCCTGCTGCGATGACCGACTGAACATGGCCTTAAGACCCATTCGACTCTTCTTCGGCTGTTGTTGCTGGTGCTGCGGAGGGGGTGATTGTAATCCGCCATTCACGGGCGTAGTGCTGCCATGAGCCATGATGCTCTCTTTACTTTGAGGGGCCTCCGTTGCGGCTCCGGAACCTAGCGCACTGAACATTTGAGCGCGTCTCTGCTGCTGTTTACCTGTTTCGTCCGTCATGACACTGGCATCGGAAACTGCGTCACTGGTGACCGGAGTGCCTGCCCCAACCCTGTTTCGGAGGCTTGAGAAGATACCCGAGTTTCGCCTTGTCTTGTTTCCATCAGCAGCCGGGATCGGACCGGGAGCTGGTAGATCGTCCACGTCCGTGTTCGTTTGTGATAAGTTTCCGCGTGAACGCTGCTCGATGGGATTCCTGGGGTTCTCCTGGCCATTGAGTTGCGGGCCTTGGCTGTTCTGATCCACCGGCTGCATATGTGGTTGCTGCTCTGTGTCTGGCGCCCTCTGGCTCCGTGGCGATGCCGGAACGCCCGTTTCCTTGTCGAAACCGTAGAAGGGTTGCTGTGATGCATTGCTAGACGAGTGACGGTGCCGATTCGTAGGCTGTAGTGGCTCCGACAGATGAGACTCCTGCAAGTTCCAGTTTCCTTGCGGAAACCGTCCTGCCAAGTGCGGAGGAGGCATCATGACGGGCCGGCCGTTGGCTGGCGTAAACTGTGGAGCCGCGGACGGAGTTCCACCGTTCGTGACAGAGAGGGGAGCCCCGGGTGCTCCCGCCAGGGCCGATGCGGGTTGCCCCTGGGCGTTGCCTGGTGGACCGGGTTCACCTGACTGGGCCTGGACCGGCGATTGACCAAGCACGGATCCAGCACCAGGAGGTGATGGAAAACCATTGGGCAATGGTTGTCCTTGGATTTGCATTTGACCTTGTGCCGGACTTTGAGTTGGGCGATACATATTTGGGATGATCTGCCCTGGTGGAGGTGTTTGGGGCATAACCTGGCCATGCGGTGGTACACCATCGCCAGTCTGGTTCGTAGCCATGGATATGCTTTTAGACACAGTTTGCGGGGTTGTCACAACGGTTTGTTGTCCACCTTGTTGCCCTTGTTGATAGTGGATTAAGTCTCGCGGGGTAGTGTCGGCGTCACTGTAGGTGCTATTATTGTCGCCGGCAGAACCTTCGACTTGAAAGGGTCCCAGTAGAGATGAAAAGGTGGATGTGCGAGAAATTGGAGGCAACCCTATAAACGACGGATGTCTATTCGGCGCATTGGCACCATCAGGCTGTGGCTGCGGCCGAGAGGTTGACTGCGACTGGAAATGCAACTGCGGGGCGTGGCTCTGTTGCTGGTGCTGGTGCTGCTGATATTGCGGTTGGTGTGGGTGGGAGTAGACCTGTTGCGGTTCGGTTCCAGCCGATTGCGAATAGTATTGGCCGTTGTGCGCGGCTTGCGCGTGAGCTTCCATGTGAGAGGTGAGGCCGACGACCTGGCGCCTGAAGGTGGTGATGACAAAGTGACTTCTTGGTCAGTACAAAGTCAGCAAAGCTCTCCAAGCCATGGACGAGCACAAACAGCGGTGGAATCCGAGTAAGAGATCGCTGTGAGACGACAACGCAGGACGTGTCACTGTCACTATCGCCTTACTTCTCGATGTTCAGACTATCACCAGTCTTTCCATCCACGTCTTCTCCCGCAATTACTTTTTCGGACGTTGTCCCCCCCGGCACGCGGTTCCCACTCTCGATGTCAACGGCAACAGCAACCGAGGAGCTTGGGCCTGGAGATGATGATTTTGGTGGAGCTGTACTCGCGCGGGGAATAGCTTTGTTTTAGATGGACAATCCGAGCTTCGAATTTGTGCTAAGTCTCTGGTGAAAGAAGAAAACGGACCGTCTTGGTTGCCGGTTGATCTGGTGTCAATGCTGTTGCTGAGCTCCGACTCATATGGTGTGGTTGTATGTTGGCCTAGAGAGAGTTTCCGATACAAGCGACCCGGCTCGGGTTAGCTGTGATATCGACAAGCAATAGACCTTTGGAATCCGTCAAGGCCCTCGTCTTTGGAGTTGAGCTTGTTTTGCTGAGATGTGTTTTTGGTAGGTACCAGCAAAGTGAGAGATGGACGTAGAAATAGAGATGATTGCGCGTCAAGGTCAGGAACTGCTGATGCGGGAAAGGTGAGAGACAACCTTCGAGGCAGACTGGACCTGGTGCGGCCTGAAGATTCCCTTTCTGGAGACGCTGCTGCAGGTGCTGAAATTGCGGGGGCCGGACACCCTGGTCAAAGTCCACTCCAGCGTCTCTTTCCGGCAGGGGTCCAGGAACTGATGCACCCAACACGCCGTGCAGGGCCTGTTAGGGTCGTCGACAGGGGCCTGAAAGATTCTCTGGGCTTGCTGGGCTGAGATGGGCGATCCATCCCTTCGGTCCAGCGATAAGTTCATGGCGGATGAGACTCCCATGGCCTTCCACAGTCACCTTCCGCTATGACTTCTTTCCAATGTATTTGAACAACTCCATGGCCTCGCAACTCTGGTGATAATACAATATCCGCTACAATTTGACGTGGTAAGAATCGGGCGTTCTAAGTAAACATCGTAGTCAGTTAGCGAGCTGATGACAGCTTCAGAAGAGGGCAAGCAAAGCGGATCATGGGTCATAGCCGAAGTGGGCAGGCCAGTGTGTGATAATCGAAGTGCCCTGCACGAGCTGGAACGCACCGTTGTACTCAATGGACATTCTGATAGGAACGTGGTCTTGGGAAGCTGGGGGAACACAACGCTGGGCCACCATGCTGGGCTACGGAAAATCTGTCAGTCTCGGCCCTACAGATCAACAGTGTGAAGGAGCAAACGGCAGCCAACAATGGCGGGCGGCAAGAGACAGTGCCGCCGCCAAGCAGATCTCTGGAATCTGAAGAATTTGATTCTGTAGACGATGGATGTCATTGTGCAACCGGAATATGGCACGCCATGCTGTTCATCGTTTCCCGCCGACGATTTGGAAGAACGGAAGGGGAACCGAAGTCGACGACTGGGGCTGCTAAAGATCGACTGTGACATTGTGGAATACGAGGCATGAAGTGGCTCACCCAAGCAAAGATTTTCCACTATGATCCTTTGTAATTTGTGACCCTCTTTGACATCAATTTCTCAGCGGGCCCACTAAAGCTTTCTCCCATCACGTTCTCTTTTCACACGCAAACCGTGTTGTGAACAAAGAGCCTCAATATGATATTACATTGCTGTCAGATGTATGAAAACGTCTGCGGCCAACATTGCGAGCTCTGTCAAAATTCACAACCCAGTAGGCCATGCCCAAAAGAGTTCATTCAATCGGTGAACAGTCCCGGTGATGCTAAAAGCCATATCCAGACAAAATCGAAGCAGAGCCACGTGCCGACGATGATGAGACGGACACCTAGAAAAATACCTTATCGCTAGTTCCCCTCAACTTGCTCTTTCCTTTGCTGAGCAGACCCTTTCCAGCCTTACCAGCTGCGAAAAGGAGTTCTTTGCCTTTGGTCCCAACCTGCTGGCTTGAATGTGCAAAACCCGAATGCCCATAGGGCAAGGATGGCGGCATTGGCATATTAGTTCCTGGCCGTCCGCCTTGCTGAAAATAACCCGGACTGAGTACCACAGCCTCTCCACTTTGCTGCACATCCATTGACGTAACAGGGATTGCCAATGAGTCTTTGAAAGAGGACGTAGCGTTCGAGTGTTCGGGATATTTGGATCTCATAGCCATGAGCCACTCATCCAATCCCGTATCAATAACGGCAAACTGCAGTCGGGTTTCGTTATAGTGTTTGAGTCGATCCGATGATGAAGGCATATCCATAATTTGCCGAAACGATAAGATATTGACCGGGCTTTTGGGCTCCAATGAGCCGGAGCGGCTGGAAGCATTGTCCCCAAAGGCCGAATGGTGCTCTGAAGGTTGAGCAAGAATCTTATCTTGACCCATAGACAAGGCTCGACGGCGGAATTCAAAATCCTCATCTGAGCCAGCAGACATGGGAGAAGCCAGGTCCACCATTGACCGTGATGGAAGCATATTGACTTCTGTTACGGCATGAGAAATCCCCGGCGTACTTGCAGTTTCGGTTGAAATAGAAAGGAGTTCGTTGGTATTCGACCGCGTGAGCGCCATTGTCTCCCTAATCTTTTCCGCAGCCGGCGTCGTCGGAGTGAAGGAAACACCATCAGGGCCAGAGCTCCGGGACTTTTGCTCTACCTGGTAGGTAGTATCCATTTCAGGAGCGTCTGAGGAATCCTGCTCGGAGGGTCTTTCCCAGGAAAAACGACGCCGCAACTCAATGGCCCCAACCGATTCCTTAGTTGCATCTTGCCTGGAGACCGAAGCAGCGGCACCAGATCCAGAACTTGTAGAGGTAGCAACAGAGAGAGGCGCTACAACACCACCCTTTGACGTGCCAGCCGCCACGAGTGTAGGTTTTTCTGTTGCAGACGGTTGCGTGGTAGCCCCCGGTTTGGTTTGACTTTGGTTGTCCTCGCTCGCAGCAAAATAGTCATCGTAGACATCTCCGAAATAGCTGCTCTCTCGGGTAGCATCTGTAACTGGATGGTTTGGTGTTGTCGATGACCGGCTGATATCCAGAAAGCTGCCAGATATCTCAGGGTCACCTAAAAACTTGGTTATCTCATCCCTGAGCAGATCACTTTCCTTGACGGGGGAATCGCCGGGCGTAGTCAAGGTGGAGCCACCACCCATATTTGGCGAAGGTAGCACGTGCAATGGCTCGCCAGAGTTAATCCCTAGTAAACCACGATTAAAGTTCAACGGTGCAGTCGGAGTGATGTCCCGGTGTTTTGAAGGTTCCATTGTCGGTGCAAGACTTGCGTGGGTGTCTTTAACTGAGGGGGGTGTTGTCTGAACAGCTTCCCCGTCAGATGTCGAATGAAAGGATTCGATAACTGCTTCACTCGTTCCGCTTGAGTCGTGCTGCTGAGATTGATCGCCAGTTGACGCGCGTTCAGCATCAGCATGGGATCTGGCGACGAGTGACGCACTTGGAGGCTGGGGAAAGTTGCTCGTTATGCTCGAAAAAGTATCGCTTCGAGCCGGCGGGGGAGTTTCGCTCGGCGTGGATAATGTTTCGGTTACCCAGCCACCTGGCAGGCGCGGGCGGACAGGTTGTTTGTCCATACCAGAGAGATTTTTTTCCTGTGGAGGTTCAATTGTAGATGGCAGTTGTTGAGGAGCGTTAACAACCGCATGGGATTGATTAGCATCGTCGTGGTTGTACCGCAGCCCAACAGACTCGTTAGGCGGTGATCCAGAGCGAATTGCTTTCTGTGCCAACTGCGGTGTTGCGTCAGACACCGCGGCACCCCCCATCAAAGGTGATGGCGCTGGTGCGGCAGACATAGGTTCGGCGACTGGCAGTGAAATAGGCGCCACACTGGGATTTGCTGGTGTAACGATACCGTTTTCTGAGTTACCACCCTTTTCGGTACGTTCATCTCCAGAGATCCCTTCTGGTTCAAGAGTCTTTGCTGGACTGGAAGGGTTCGATATGTCTGGGATAGAAGCCAGCTGAGGCGCCAAAACTGAAAACCGAGCAGAAAAGAGATCTTCTCCGAACCCTGACAAGCGTGTAAGATTTGGCAGTGTGGGACTTGTCGAGAACCGCCGTAGCTTGTCCTCCTCTTCCCCAAAAGCGGCAGGTTTGACACCAAAGTCACTCGACGCAGGTCCGGCGAGCGGTCCTTGGGCCCTATACTCGCTATTTTGCTCCATCACTGGAGCTAGACTCGGCCTCCGACCCCACAAATTATCACCACCTTCATTCCCCGCTGCACTACCTCGACGCTCCTGGCGACTGAGTCCCGGGTTTAGGCCCGTAGTGGGAGCCACGTTATCCGGCTCTCCCTGTTTTCCTCGTCTCGAAGATTGCACCTCCGCGCTATTGTCGTCTCCCATCCGTCGATATACATCAGTAGGTCGGGGGAGGGGCAGCGGCTTGTTGGACGATATCGGAGAGCTGAAGTTGGGGGAAGCTGATCGAGCGTCTGACCACGCTCTTTGCGTTGGGACGGCCCAAGTGGTAGACCTGGGTTGGCGGGTCGGGTCAGTCATGTTTGGGATGTCGCGAGGACCCATACTGCTCTTGCGAGGGGGGAATTGCGTAGAGGCCGGCGGGCCAACATTCTGGGGCATCGTAGCTACGCGCATCATAGACGGAAGAACCTGTTTACCTCCAACAACGGGTGAACTAGTCCGTGGCACATCGGATTGAGGCTGTCCAAAGGTGCCTGATCGTTCCAGGGCATTCGGTGTCGTCGGCGTGGAAGAGGCCGCTACCATCTGAGCGATACGGCCCGGGGGAGGAGCTGGCGTTTGCTGGGTTTGAAGATGCAATGCTGGTGTATATGGCTGGTACTGCTTGACGGGCTGTTGAGGGGCTGATGGACGTTCCGAGTCATCATCGTCATATTCCTCGCTTCCCCAATCATCGCCGTCGTAGTTCTGTGGCTTGAAGTTGGCCCATTTTCTCGTTTTTGAGCGGTTGACGTTGATTTGGTATTTGTTGTTCGAATCCGGAGCGCGGGGGGTTCTGTGTGTGGTGTCGGACGGGCCTTTAGCGACTGCGGGCTGAGAAGCGACCTGCTCGGGCATTACGGAAAGGGGGAGGCTAGAAGCAGGGCAACTGACAGTGGGTTGTTGTTTGTCGGGTAGATATTCCCGTATGTCCCGTCCATGGCATTGGCCGTTAGTCTTTATGGCGATGAGCGTCGTTGTGGCATGCGCCGATATGTACAAGCAGGCGACAGAGTAGCGCTGTCGAGTCGAACGAGGAAAATAGAACCGAAATCGGATGCCAGACGATTCTCAAGGTAAAATTAGCCTTCTGCAGCCTGGCGTATCCCGTAATGTATTGCGGGCTGGATTCTGAGTATTCGATAAGTAGTTTCGAAGATGTGTATCCGTGGCGTCGAAGGTGTCTACGGCCTGTCCGATGTGAAAGGATGACTGGAGGAACGCAGAGAAAGGCAAGGCAAATGGCGAAAATTAGGTTGGTGGTAGTGAATGTTTGGTCGGTTGGCGGGCCGATTAATTAGTTGAAAGTAGCGCAATATACTGGTAACCAGAGGGGGAAATGGATGCGTAAATGTGTGACGGAACTGAAGAGTCGCAAAAGAAAGTTTGAGGGTGGGAAACGGTTGGATACGAGGATGGAGGATTCCGTTTAGAAGGGAGACTGAGATCGCGAAGACGGACATTGGGACGTGAAACTGAAATGTTGGACTTGCGCTGGCAGTTGACCAGATGACACTGCATCCATTCATGCCCCTGCTCTTTCCTCTCGTTGTTGAAGATTATGGTCCGGGACCGCGGCAGGGATCAGCAGCCCAGGGCAGCATTGGAACGTCAGGCGGACGTGGGGCGAGCTTTAATGAGACAGGCTATTAGACTCTCCACTCTGTAAGGCACTAACTGAATGCCACCGCACTCGGCCGCGGATGCAGTTAGAGAAACCTGTGGCTCTACATTTTCGGGATATGGGGTATTCGTACTGCGTAGTAGACCTCTTGGGTACCTAGAGGTAAGTGAGGTGAAGCCGAAGGGAAGCTTCTTTTAGGTTTTCGAACTCACTACACAAAGGGAATGTACCGATAATTCGCATTCAATTCTTTATCCACACTATAGGTAATAATCAAGTATAGGTATCTGGAGAGAGAGGCCTTCACGGCGACGCTTCTTCGGGGCATGCAGACCTCAGCAAATCACATCACTCGCCAGGACAGGGAGGGAAATCCCATTTGAATAAGAAGTAGGAGTACTGCAAGTTACCTAGGTTGTTTGGCTTTGCGAAGCCCTAGTTCAGAGGCAGTAACAAAGGCCCTAGAAATGATACCCTGGATTTCTTCAGCCGTGTTTAGGGTCTCTACTTAATTCTTACTTTGGTTACGCCTCGATCGATGCTAATGGCGTTCCACCCTTGCTGGCGCTGCAGTGACAGGCCTTGGGTTTCTGGTACCGCTCAGCTCCAAGCGCCCGGCCTGACGTTCACCTCATTCATGTACCCCAAATCCATGGGCCGCAGTGGGTCACAAATGCAGTAGAGGTAACCCAGAGGCCAGGGGCATTCGGGCAAGCGTCTTCCCATTCTGACAGACCCCATCATGTAAACATGACATACCTCTGGTCATATCTCACACCTAGCTCGGATAACCAGAAATTTTTCTCCCATTCTTGGGCTTTTGGGCCTTAGTGTGGGGGCAACCATACTATTCCAAAGAGTGGCAAAAAAATACAATGTGAAGAAGAGTTGCAGTGCCTCAGTGCCGAGGTATCGTCGACTTCAAGGCTGATCGGGATGTTGTTTCTTTAAAAAGACTGGGCTGATGTCCAATCAAATGTACAACGAAGTCTAGCTTAACTGCAGTGAATGCTTAAGAACAAACAGTGTCTTGGTCAATCAGCTTTGGATTCTGCACTGTGAGCTTTTCTTGCTGAATTGCAGGGGCCGAGCCACACACTGCAGCGTCACGGGCCCTCCTGAAACTATGTAAGTAAAGTGGAAGTAACCACGTTTTCCCTTTACTTATCGAACTCCCGTCGCTGATGACAACAACGGAGGAGCTTGTTCAACCTCGACGACCACGATACCAACCATTTGACTCGACGACGGCGACGACCACGACCACGACCACGACGACGAACATATAACACCGCCATTCATTCATACGTCATCGCGAGTCCATCTTGTAGCGCCTTTCATACACACGGCCTTCAATTAACACACACGACGAGCCGCCGACCTCCTCGCCAGTCGCGAATTAGCCTCGCTCCCGCCGCATCCCCCGGATCCGCCCATTTCCACTTTGCCAATCCATAATCTCCTCCGCACACTTGCAGTCTACGAGTCGCATTCGCCCCCGGTCGCGATTGACAAAGTTGACGACGTCTCGATTCCTAACTTACGAACTCCGACGTGTTATTGATAACGACTCAACCGCGTGCCGGTTGCTCAGGGGTACACGCGCCCCTCTACGACCCATTCCCCGCGATTTGCTGTTGGAAACGGACGGAATACCGCCTCATCATATACCGATACACCTCTAATTATGGCTGTCTTTGCCATCAACGACCGAACGGAAGAGTTCCGACAGATTGTTGCGGCTGCCCAGCGTAGGCAGGCCACAAAGCCAGGGAAGCAGCGACTTCTGGACACCGCTCAACAACATGCTGCCAGCAGCGATGCCCAGCCCAGAAGGTCTGAGTTTGCGAGGGGGGCTGCAGAGATTGGAAGGGGTATCTCTGCGACAATGGCCAAGCTGGAAAAGCTAGCACAGCTGGCCAAGAAGAAGACTCTTTTCGATGACAGGCCTGTCGAAATCAACGAGGTAAGCTGGGTCATGCGCTTGATCTTTGCGCGCCTCGACTCCATATCTGGCTGGCTAACCATCATGTTAGTTGACCTTCGTCATCAAGCAAGACCTGTCTTCGTTGAACGAGAAGATCAGGAACCTGCAAGATCTCTCTAGACGTCTGCACCCGAAGCCCGACCAAGAAGGGGAGAACAACAAAAACATTCTCCTGCTTCTACAGGGCAAGCTGGGAGATGTTGGTGCTAATTTCAAGGACGTGCTCGAAATCAGAACCAAGAACATTCAGGCGTCGAGGTCGAGGACCGAGAACTTCGTCTCGTCAGTAGGTCAGCACGCACATGCTTCCTTGCAACAATCTGCGTCACCTCTATACGGCACGCCTAGTAGGGGAACGCCAGCACCAGGGCAGCAAGATCTGATCTCGCTGAACCCGATGGGAGATCAGCAGATGCAGCTCCAGATGTTGGAGGAAGGCCAAAACACCTACGTCCAACAACGAGGGCAAGCGATCGAGGCCATTGAGTCGACTATCAATGAGCTGGGCTCCATTTTTGGGCAGCTCGCGGCCATGGTCAGCGAACAATCTGAGATGATACAAAGAATTGATGCCAACACGTAAGTTTGTCTCGAGACGCTCGACACACCAGCACTGTACTAACACACCATGCAGAGAGGACGTGGTAGAGAACGTCGAAGGCGCGCAAAAAGAACTGCTCAAATATTGGGGCCGTGTTTCAAGTAATAGATGGCTCTTAGCCAAGATGTTTGGTGTTTTGGTAAGCCCAATATCCCTGATCTGTTACCTATGACCTGCCTAAAACTCTAACGCTGTGCGACTTCGTAGATGATTTTCTTCCTTCTTTGGGTATTAATTGCCGGGTAGACGGCAGTTTTGGCGGCGTTTCAGTAATATTACACTTCTTCTTTATAATGCATGCAGAGGCGTCTCCTGTAGACTTTATGCATTAATTATACAATTTCTCTTCCTCATGAAGACGCGGTTCTTTTTTGCTTGCGCTCTTCCATGTCCGTTCACAGTTTCACAACATAACCTCTTGCAGGGCTGATCGAGGCCTCAAGTATACCTCTGGATGATCGGTGGGGGCATTTGATTACTTATGCCTACTTGCCGAGGAAGTTGGACTTCAGCATAGGGATCAAGACTCAAAAGTTCGCTCTCGGTTCATCTATGGTCAACAAATACTTAACCGACGGAATTCGCTTACGCTGAATGCCACCAATAAAGGGAATCGATTTAGACTAAGCACTCCACTCCCCCGGTTCCTGCAACTGTAATCATTTCAGTTCCACTCAGCTTCGGTACCTGGAACTAATGCTCTCCGCTCCGAGCCCCAGAAAGAAACCCAGAGGCAAGGGAACACGATCCACTCACTGTTACCACTATCTAGAGCGGACCGACACCACAACAAGGTCTCATTCCGAAAGAGGGGCAATCGTTCCGCCGAGGCCCTTGTTAGATTCAGCCAAGTTTCGTGGGGTAAGGTGAGAGGATGTCATCCGTTCTATTGACCGGATATTTGTTGCTGGGGCTTTCATTGGCGTGGTTGTCGATATCCCACCTTCGAAGTACTGTCTGATATCTTGACGAAACGCTAAATGCCATCGTGTGCTGACTAAACACGAAAAGACAGAAGCCCCGAGTGCCGGGTTTCTGGACGCCTCAAACCCAAGTTCACGATGTTCGAGTTACACAATGGTGTGTCGATGTTATTACCCCCATCCACGCTGTCCATGGATAATTACAATCGGGATTTAAGGTCTCATGATTAGTACCTAGTCAGGTATAGGCAACATGAAGAAACATATCCGGTTTAAACATGCAGCTTTCTCGGAATCGATAACACCACAACTACCCCCCACGCTCTAACGCCGATTGCCATTTAGCCGAATGTCCAGTGCGGTTCTCAAACCCTGGACAACCTTCTCCTCGAACGTAACTTGATATAACTGGTCAATCCTCCTCTATCTTTCCTTCCCACTCTCAATCTTGGCATCACAACTTCCAGTCGACCCCAGAAGCTGGATTTTCCATGTAAAAGTAGCCGTTTCTTGTCTTGTTCACTCCCCATACTCCTTCACTGAAGCTTCCCAGCAGCAGCAACACCAGACTCTTTCGTAGTTGGAAACAAAACCAGATACCTCACCACCAGCACCACCACCACAAAACCATCATGGCCACCAAAACCTTCAAGCTCAACACCGGAGCTAACATTCCCGCGCTGGGACTTGGTAAGTTTCCCGTTTGTTCTCCATTTTCACCAGTTCAGGTCCCCTTCCCCTTAAACACACAAAACCCCCCTTCCACCCCTCGCACGCAGCTAACCCATCCCCTCCCCCCCCCCTTAAACAGGCACCTGGCAAGGCGAATCCACCCAGGTAAAAGACGCCGTCGTCGCCGCCCTCAAAGCCGGATACCGCCTCATCGACACGGCCTACTGCTACGGCAACGAGGAGCATGTCGGCGCCGGCCTGAAAGAGGCGTTTGACCAGGGTATCGTCAAGCGCGAGAATGTGTTTGTCGTGACCAAGCTATGGGCGACGTACACGAGCCGTGCGGAGGAGGGGCTAGAAAAGAGTTTGAGGAATCTGGGTTTGGAGTATGTTGATTTGTTTTTGGTGGTATGTTTTCTTAGTCTTTTTCCTCTTGCTGTTGTGGGTTGCTTTGCTTTAAGGGGGGTGTAAAGGTGGGGGTGGAATTTGAAGAGAAGTGTGTTGAGGAAGGTGCTAACGAATGGTGATTTGGGCTATAACAGCATTGGCCACTTTTGATGAATCCTGAAGGTGAGTTCGTTGAGTTGGCATACGAAAAAGAAGAAGAGGGAGAACAAAAAAAAAGAAAGAAAAAAAGACCAAGGTCGCTGCTTAGTGGACTGACGAACCGAATACAACACATAGGCAACGATGACAGATTCCCCAAGCTTCCCAACGGCGAGCGCGACATTCTCCGCGACTACAGCCACGTCCAGATCTGGAAGAACATGGAGAAGCTTGTAGGGTCCGGCAAGACCAAGGCTATTGGTGTTTCCAACGTATGCGTTCCTATTTTAATGACCTCCCTTGCCCAACCCTGCCCAGCCTTTAGCCATCCCGTCCCTTCTTCGTTACCTCTAACTTCATGATATTGACCTAAGCCCCTTACAAAACAAACAGTATAGCAAGCGTTACCTCGAAGAGCTCCTCCCCCACGCCAAGATCGTTCCGGCTGTCAACCAAATCGAGAACCACCCGCAACTGCCTCAGCAAGAAATTGTCGACTTTTGCAAAGAGAAGGGCATTCACATCATGGCGTACTCGCCCTTCGGCAGCACCGGTAGCCCCGTGACCAGCGCCGAGCCGGTGATTAAGATTGCTGAGAAGCATGGGGTCAAGCCTACCACTGTGTTGTTGAGTTATCACCGTAGGTTTATTCCCTGTCATTATCCTGGTTCCGAGGAAGTGACGTTGCTTGGGAAACTACACACAAAGAAAACAGAAGTGCTGACAAGACTTTACTGCAAATCCACAGTTTACCGTGGAAGCACCGTTCTGCCCAAGTCAACAAACCCGGAACGTATCGAGACTAACGCCAAGCTGATCGAGTTAGACGCTGAAGATCAGAAGCTACTGAATGATTATTCGGAGGGGTTGGTTAAGGAGGGTAAGGTGCAGCGCTATGTGTATCCGCCGTTTGGCGTGGATTTTGGGTTTCCCGATAAGTCGTAGATTGTTCCAGGTACGGGTTGGTGAGGTAATATCTTAACTAGAGTGAATAAATCTTTAAGAATGACATGTGATGGACATGAAGAGGCATTTCTTATGCTACTGGCCATGTCTATAATATCTACTAGGTTAACTACGTCTCTGCGAACCGTAACCTCTACTGATCTCTTGATCGTGTCTTTGTGTTTCTCATCTAACTATATTTCTCCTTTCCTACAGCATTTTCACTGCATCGACATCCTACATATCAACCATAACCTTCAACACCAAATTCCCCTCATTATCCTTCACCCTAGCCGCCATGTCAAATGCCATGGGAATACTTTCCAAACCACTATACCGCTGCGTCACCAGCTTAGAAAGGTCAGGGAGATGCGGATCCCCACTAGCCAACAGCTCAATCACCTTTGGATAGGCATTTGCGTACCGAAACACGCCAAGGAGGTCAACTTCCTTCAGCGAAGCGGCAGAGATGGGTAGCGTCTGGATGGGATTACCCATGCCAATGATCATAATCTTACCACCCGGCGCCGTCGCCTATGACCCCATCAAATCAGCGGTGTATTCCAATATGGTGCAAATGAAGTTATTGAGAGGAAAGACGTTGGAAATGTCGGTACTCACATATATCGAACTCTGCAAACAACTCTCCACCCCCGTACACTCAAAAGTAACATTCACCTCACCCACCTGTCCTCCCAGTCCCTTGACTAGTTCAGCCCCCTTAACCCTTTCGGCCACACTCTTCGCATACTCCAGCTTCTCCTCTATCGTCTCCGGCCTCTTGTCAAGAATCGGCACTACAACCGCCGCATCAGCGAACCCATTCTCCACCGCAAATTTCACCCTATCAGCCTGGATATCCGCAATCACCACTATCGCGTCCCCCTTGGTGATGGACTTGCAAACCGCAGCACAGAGCAGCCCGACGGCACCGGCACCGAATACCATAATTTTTACCCTGGCCGCCCCCCGAGACGAAGACATGGATGGAGAGGAGTGAGGGACGCGAGAGGGAATTCCCGCCCTCCCAGCCGCATGCATAGCAACAGCCAACGGCTCCGCCAGCGCTCCCAGCGTGTAATCCACACTCTCCGGCAACTTGTGGCACCACTTTGCCGGATGGGCAACAACCTCCTGCAAGGTTCCCTGAGCGTGGGGAAATTGCGGCCATCCCTTGGCTGAAGAGCGGAAGCGCATGGCACGGCAGATGTTGTATCTAGAGGTACTCTCTCCACCCTTCCCGCCGCCCTCCCCCCCTTTTTCCCCCGAATAGTTTCCAATAGGACCGGCACCTGGGGGGCAACAAAGTTCACAAGCCTCGCACGGCTGTCCCACCTCCAGCGCGACGCGGTCGCCTACATTCAGGCCATAATCGGAGGAGACGGAGGGGCTGCCGATGGCCGTGATGATGCCCGAGGACTCGTGACCGAGGGTTAAAGGCTCGTGGACTTGGATGTCCCCATTGCGGAAGTGCGTGTAGTAGTGCAGGTCGGAGCCGCAGAGGCCGGTGGACTTAATGGAGATTAGGACGTCGGTTGGGGAGAGGGTGGGAAGGGGGCGGGATTCCTGTTTTGGAAGTGGAGCTGTTAGTTTTTTTGGGTTCAATTCTGGGGTTGGTGTTGTCTTTGAAGGTGTTGCGTATGGGGTACCGGGAAGATGGGGAAAGGAGAGTGTCTCGCTTACCACGCGGAGATCGCGGGCACCGTGGAGGACGGAGGCTTTGATTGTTGTTGCCATTTTGTTTGCTTGGATGATGTGAGGACAATGACCTAAGGTGAATCCTCGTACACAGACGATACAGAGTGACGATGTGTAGAGGTACGGATTGTCGTTGCAGTGGTGGTCCCTGGGGTTGGTGTTTGTTTACACAGTGAGACCGATATTGATCAAGCATAGAGAGAAACCATGTACACCAGACGTGGTAGATGTAACTTATTATAGAACCCTAGTTCAACCTCGATTCAAAACCTACCCCATAGCCCCTAGCTTGAACACTTCAACTAATTGCGGCTATCCACTCGGCCATGCAACATTGGTGGAGTGAAGTAAGCCCGGGGGAAAATGAACCTGATGGACAAGAAGAGGCCATGTCCATAGCACGTCTCTTGGTTTCACGTTTGATGGACGAAACGAAACTTACCAAAATAGTCCCATCACACCGCAGGTTGCTCACCCATTCAAAAATCCCAAATGACACCAAAACAAATTACGAAGAATAGAAAGATCACCAGACGTGAGAACCTCGTATGACTCGGCTGCCGTGCGTCGGACATCGGCCTTACTTTTAGCGAATAACTGCAATTGTCGTCGATAAATTGTCCCGACGGTAACAACCAGACCAGACCACCTGGTTGTACTCCGTGGGGAAAGCGGGGAAATGTGGGGAAGAGGGCAAGAGAGGAGGAATTTCCCCGCACTTCCCGTTCGTGCTCTTGTGTTAGCGAGGAGGGCGATCTCCACTTGTTCGTCTTCAGGGGAGCATCCACATGGAATCAACCGAGAAAACATGGATTGGATGTTGAGAGATCATGAATGTTTCTTCGTCTTCTTCTTCTCGTCGAGCTGATCAAGGAGTTTGTCCATCCCGATCAGGGCTAGCCCAAAGCAGAGAAGGGTTGAAGAACAAGTATTTAAACGAAACTTCAAAGAGTGAGCGTGGGATGATGGGCTGCTTTACGTGGGGGACAACTGAATCTAGGCGTGGGACGTGGGAGGGTGGGAACAAATTGGTACGTACTTACCATGACACTACTACTACCGGATTATGGGCCATCAAGGTCCACAAAGCCCAATTGACTTTGTATAACTTCACCATATATCCTCGGATTCAGGCTTGAATCACTCCCATGGACTACCCTGACCTTCCATCCCTTTCACAACAACCAAACAAGATGACGTCGTCAACCACTAGTGTCCAGAACATGTTCTCCCTCGAGGGCCACACTGCCCTCATCACCGGAGCCACGCGAGGCATTGGTCAAGCCGTGGCCATTGCCCTTGCCGAGGCCGGCGCCGATATTCTTCTCGTCCAGGTCTGTCCATCCCCTTCTAGCTCCCTCAACACCGGTACCTACCTGTTCCAAAAGAAAAACCCGTTCTAAAAGCCACCCCTCACAGCGCGACGAAACCTCCACCACCACCCTCCAAGCCATCCAATCTCTCGGCCGCCACACGCAAATCTACAAAGCCGACCTCTCCTCCCCCACCGACGTCTCTTCTTTAGTGCCACGCATCCTCTCCGACGGGCACACCATCCGCATCCTGATCAACTGCGCCGGCATCCAACGTCGACACCCTTCCCACCTGTTTCCCGACTCCGACTTTGCCGAAGTGATGCAAGTCAACCTCAACGCCGTCTTCACTCTATGTCGGGACGTGGGCGCGCACATGTTGGGTCTCGACCCCCACCCCGTCACCGGACGCAAGGGGTCAGTGATCAACTTTGCGAGCTTGTTGACGTTCCAAGGGGGGTTAACGGTGCCAGCGTATGCGGCGAGCAAGGGGGCCGTTGGGCAACTGACCAAGAGCTTCGCGAATGAGTGGACGAGTAAAGGCGTGACGGTGAATGCGATTGCGCCGGGGTATATCGAGACGGAGATGAATGAGGCGTTGTTGAAAGATGAGGAGAGGTTGAAAAGTATTAGTGCGAGGATTCCGGCTGGGAGGGTACGTCATTCTTTTTTTTTTTTTTTTTTTTTTTTTTTTTTTTTTTTTTTTTTTTTTTTTTTTTTTTGTCTTCCTATTTATCACTTTGCAGACGTTCATGGCTAACGTGATGGCTCTGGCCGATTTGGTACTGTAGTGGGGAAATCCGGAAGATTTCAAGGGAACGGCTGTGTATCTGGCCAGTAAGGCGAGTGGTTACGTGAGCGGGCATGTGTTGGTGGTTGATGGTGGGTGGATGGGACGGTAAGTGAGAAAAGACTGTAAACAATAATGATGGGTCGGATGGGAAAATAGCATGATGATATTTGTTGCCTTCTCAAAAGCGACTAACTAAAGTGTTGCGCTGTTCGGTTTCTTTCTGACATGTTCCGAGGGAGTGCATACCGTCACAGCTAAACTGTCGTTCTTGCAGCAGAGACTACTCTCTGACGAAAGCCATGACACTTTCCATCCAAGGGTAGACAGCCGAGTTTGCCAGGGGATATCCCATGTGCAAAGCACCAGTGAAAAAGCGAGCCTCTTTGGGCGAGCCGTATTCAAGCAACATCATGGAATCTTCGATGGGCATCAACCCGTCTTGGGTACCCTGCATTGTAACCGTCAATATGCTGATCCAGAACATTTTCAGAGTAAACCGTGGAAGAATGGAAAACCCACATTGACCAACAAAAGCCTTGTCGAAGGCTTAGCCAGAATCCCATTCTCCAACAAGGAGAACTTCTTCTGCACTCCAGCCTTGAACTCCTCAACGGAGCTGTACCCATGCTTCATAGCGAAAGCGGGCGTCAGTCTGTTACACGCACACGCTTTATTAGCCATTGCCAATTAAATGCCATTCTGGGAAAGGGGAAAAAAAAAGAAACTCACTGAGCAGGATACTCATGCCCGTCCACCTTCTCCATCCACTTTTTGTCGTAAAAGTAATGAACCCCCGCCCCCTGCGCCACCACACCCGCCAGTCTATGACTATGCGTGTGCGCAATCCTCACCGCATAATACCCACCAGCGCTCAACCCCCAGACCATGACCCTCTTCATATCAAACGCCCTCTCTCCGCGATACTGGTGGGTGCCCATCCACTGCAGCAAGCTCTCCCACAGCCTGTCAGGGCTCTCCGGGTCCGCCGGGTCAGCAGGACAATCCGCCGTCCCTGGGATCTCCACCACCACCACCGCCCATCCGCGGGCGAGAAACTCGTTGCAGCGGACGGTGTTGTCCGGACGGTACCCGTCCAAGCCGGTCATGAGGATGACGGTTGGGTAGCCACTACCGGTAGAGGGGGAGGAAGTACCAGCAGGAGGGACCCTAACGTAAACGGGGATCCACTGCCCTTCGCCTTGTTGCATCCGTCTGTCGAGATAGGCCACTTTGACTTCCTCCACGGGGCTTTCCTCCCACAGTTGGCCCGCCTTTAGATAAATCTCCTTCTGCTTCTCCCAGGCATCCCACTTGGTCTGGTCGTTCACCTTGGGGAAGGAAGTGATGTAGGGGAAGCGGGCGATGCGGTAAAGGCAGCAGGCCCGGAGGTAGAGCGACGAGGCTTGCTCGCGGAGTTGTCTGCGTCTCTGCTGCTGCTGCTGCTGCTCTGGCTGGAGACGTCCCGGGGGTTCAACGTTATTGAGCTCAGCCACGAGTTTGTCACCCTGATCGACCAGCTGTTCGGCTACGCCCGTGGAGAGAAAGGTAGTGGTCCAGGCGGGGGAGGTCATGTCGTTGTGGTTAGCCTTGATGAGGGCGTCGAAGGAGGGAGCGAAGTCGGCATAGAGACCGTCGTGAAAGGGGTAGAGAGATTTGGAGCACTAGTTGGAAGGTGAGTGAGTTTTAACATTGTATTTGCCTGGGTTGGAAAGATTGCTTGGCTGCGTCGCTCGCTTTGGAAATGACAAAGAGATGGAAAAGGGCAAATCATTGTGGTGCGGTGCAATGTGGACAAAACAAGCAGTTAAGGTGATGAGTGAAACCCAAATTGAATTGACTCGAGGTGATGATGGTACTGTTTTGTTTCCCCCAAACCCTTCTCCCTTGCTATGATGATCCCTTTTTGCTCCCATGAAGCCAGAAAAAAACTTGAGTAGTAAAACAGGGAGAAAACAAAATGACGAAAGCCAAAAACCGATGGCACAAAGGAAACTTACTGGGAATTTCCACTTGGTCTCCCACAGTGCCTGTACTCCATCATGATGAGGCATTCTCGCCTCAAACGCCTCGTCGCCCATGAGCCAGTGTTTGGGACTTTTGCCTAATCCGCCCAACCCACCATAACCAGGCGGAGCCTTGAATGAAATCCCGCCGCCTCCCGCCGAAGAACCCTGCTTCTGCTCCTGCTGCTGATCATTGTTGACCTGATGAGGAGACATGGTGGATGAGGACCAATGATATGAGCCAGACCAAAAAAAAGTAGTAATCCAAGGCCACAGAGGCTGTAAGAAAAGAGAAAGTAGTGCCGAGAGATGAGGTGATCAAAGAAATGAAGCCTTCCTCAGAGAGCAACGCGAACGACCCTCTGCTTGGCGAAAAGAGGAACTCCGTCCTTGGATCCGGCGTATGCCACAGCCGTCGAGATGCTTCTTCTGCGGCGGCGAACGGGCGAAGTGCCAGGGTGCTCGCGGACCCTAAGTGATTTGGTGTAAGATGAGAGGAACACAAGAGAGAGGGTCGTTAGATGGTAGATGAGTTAAACTAACTGAGATTGAAGAAGAGCAAGGCGCACACGAGTGATGGAGGCGTGAAGATCTTCGCCCATTTTGACTGACGGGATGTGCTTCTTTTATAAGTATGGATGATGCTGTCGCTTCGACCAAGATTGAGACACCCGCTTGCAGTTGCTGCGTGTGGGCGTGTGGACGGACAGTTGGGGATATCCGATGTGCTTTATACAGACGTGCCAAATGTGCTGGCAGGTGTCAAATGCCGGCCGGGTATGTATGAGTTCGGATGGAACGAGGATTGGTGAATAATATATGACCGTTACTTGAGCGATGCTTTTCGAGTTTATACGAATTATTATGAGATGGAAGAAAGATTCAGAAAAAAAGAAGGTCTAGTCAGCCGACCAGACACTCGAGGGGACCAGAGTTATTATACCGGATTCTGGAAGTTCGGTGTGGGGAAAAAGAAACGAGACACTAGAATGGCTCGACATATTACCAAAGACGGTGACGGGATCGGCTCACCCATGACAGCCAAAGCAGGGAGGTGGTCCCGTGGTGGACGTGTGTCTCCCTCCCTCGTGGGGTACATTGGTGTATGTACACTACATACCCTACAATGCTGAATGGGACATCCCTAGTCTAATGAGATGGTCCATCGGGGAGATCCCGTTTTCCCCTTCCTGGTACAGGGCCCGGATAGATCCATCAGCAAACCAAACCAGGCGTCTCCCGGACGCCGAAACAATGCACACACCATCTCGCTATGTGGTAAGCCTTGTAATGCCTCAGTTGAGACACAGCAGCTGACAAAGCCGACATGTTGCTGTTGTTTTTGCTGTTGTCGTTTCACGGGTTCAGAAAAATGTAAGATGATGGAAATCTGAGCGAGCATCGCACAGCAGCCGACTTGCAGAGCAGCCAGATGGCAGTGATTCATGTCTTGTCTGATGGCCCTCCTAAATCGAGGCTTCTAGCGCGGAGTGGATTTTGACAAGCCTGTTTTGGGGGCAATGATGGAGAAGAGACATTCAAGATCCAATATCGGTCTCGAGTCTCTTAGCAGCCACTACATCACCGGTGATTGGCGTGTGTCCGGTCCTGACGTGGTCGGTTCCGAGAATCACATGTCAGATGCCGAATCAAGGGGTATTTGCCAAGACATGCTTGGAACACAGAACATCCAGTGGAAGGGCGAAAAGTCCCTCGATGGTCCACTGGAAGCAGTGCCTCCACCCGATCCTGGTCTGCTGACCCAGTCCATGCAAGCTTGGTTGGTGCACTGACCAGCCGGATCACATTCCCTGGATGAAGCCGTCTTTTGGGACCGGGAATCCAGGAACACCGCCTGCAAACCGGGGTCACATGCGAAATGAAGGGACAATAAAAGGGGGATTTAATGTCCAATCCCAAGAGGGAATGCAGAGGGGCTTATTACTGTTGTTTGCAAGTCGCGATATCTGGAAACTGTTAACTGCCGCTGATATGTCCGATCGACGGATCCTCGATTAACTGTTCAATTGCTGCCACCATGGCCAACGGACGGAATGCCCCAACTTCATCCATCGCTGTACGCCGTATACCAAAGGTACCACCTACGTAACGGAGGGCCACTGGATGTTACCTAGACGTGATGCGGTTCCCTTCGCGATCCCCAGAGCTACTACCTACTTGTATGTCATCATCAAGATCACGATGGCCATGATTCAATCATGTCTCGGGTAGCGTCATCATTGAGCATCGTTTGTGCCGGATCCGAGTACAGCTGAAGAAGCTCCGACACAGACGGCGGCCACGAACGAATCACCCTCCAAGCCGCATCCGATGCAGCCAAAGAGGTCAGTCAGCATTTCCATTCCATACCGAGTCGAGAAAGCAAAGAACATGATTATTCTAGATTTTGGCAGCATTCTAAGCTTTGCTCTTTGTGTTCTGATAGTAATGTGCCATTTCCAGACCCGCCCTCTTGAAGCCGCACTTGACGTAGAAGCCCTCGTTGGCTTCGCTGCAGTCGAGAATGGTCTTGTAGCAGCCCGTCCTCTCGGCGATAAAGTCCAGCGCCTGGATCATACGGAGACCCAGCTTCTTGCCCTGCTGGTCCTTGGCGATTGCGATGTCCTCGATGTGTCCGACTGACCCGAGATTGTGGATGCTGTTTTTTTTGGAAGAGGGAAAAGGTCAAGACATGTCAGTCCAAGGGCGATGGGATGGATGATGCGCCGCCCATTGTTCTGGCAGGCGAAAAGTCCAAAGACAAGGCTAACTTACAACTTGCGCTCAACCAACACAGCGCCGGTGCCGACCACTCTGGGTGGGCTGCTGTTGGTGTCCTCAATGACGAGAATAAAGTAGCCACTGTCCTGTCGCGAGACCCAGTCGTAACGGTCCTGGAACTGCTCCTTGGTAATGTCGCCTACCGTGGTCAGGACACGGAGGCAGTCGAGGAAGCCAGTGTCATAGTCAGTTGGGCGAAGCGCGCGCAACTTGTAGCCCTCGGGGAGGGCTGATTGTACCTCGGGGGAGAGGAGATCGGCGGAGAACAGTTCTTTCGGGGCGGCCATTGCGGAGGTATGATGGTATATGGGAAACGTTTCGTTTGGATGTCGTCGCTTCGCTGTGTTGTTGGGTTGGCGAAACGATTGGGAGCTCGTTGAGAGGGAGACCGGGCGGCGGATTGTTGACTTGTCCTCTCGCTATTCGCTTATTCCGATGATGTTCAGCGAGCGGGAATAGCCGAAGCAGGCAGCGGCGGTACCTAGGGGACTCAACAATAGGTAAGGAACGGCCAGCACGAGCCAAAGGATTGTCACCTGCAATTGTTACAATTCGGACACTACTAATCTTTGGAGTTGTCGTGTGGATGACTGAAAGGTAACTACAGTCTAACCAAGTATTTTGCAAGCGCCGACAAAAGAATTGAGCCGGCGGCGCAACGGGCGGGATCTTGAAGTTTCCTTTTCTCACCGCATGCCAATGCAGCCCAGCAGCTGTACAGGAGCTGAGCTGCCCCGCCATCTCCATTAGTATTGAGGGGGCATACTTCAGCCCTGGATCATGCTACCCATAGTTTTCGCATCAATGGCCAAACGTAGCAGCAAGGGCAATACTTTATTGCAGTCAACACCACCATCATCATCAACAGTGGAGGGGAATGATCAAAAAGGAACATAAGCCATACATATCATTATGCTTCTTCCGGAAGGCGCAGTCGGCTCATCTATCGAGGCTACGGCGTCTGGAGAAGGAATACGATAAAGGATACGAGACATTGCCGCCGCCACCTTTGCGCATTGGACCTGGACTGAGCGAAATTCCCCAATTGCGGCCTATTGACGCTCTATATAACCACTTTCTCAACCCTTGGTTAGAATTGTCACTGAGGCACTGGACACTTTGATGCGTCCGAAAGAATCGACGAGGGCCTGGAGGGGCCCCGGCACCTCTACGGATCGGCCATGCGGACGAAATGTCAAGACTTGTGACTGGATCAGCGCGGGACTGCATGCATACTTTCGTCCCATACCAGTCGGTTGCAGAGTGCAGATGAGCGGTGTCTCTTATCTCGAACTCCCGTCATTCTCCCTCTTGAACGCTGAACATCAACGTCACAACTTGGAGCGTTGCAAAGTGGGCTGACAGCTAAACTGTTGGGAAAGGATTGAGGGGCAAAAGGGGCGCCAAAACAAAACAAAAGGCCCTAGCTTTCATCGATCGATTGTTTTTTCTCCCACTCTCTAGCTGCTTCCATCCTGCTGGTCTGTCCGCAGACTTGCTCGCTCTTCGACAAGTCGGGTTGGGAATTTAAATATGTAACAAAACATCCATAATCGACCTGCCAGGGGTCCTCAGTCGCATGCTCGCCCGAGACACGACAACCCTACTGTAACAATGACTAACATGATCCAATATCGAGGGCTGCCCAACCGAGCCAACTTACCAGGAACAGGTTACTCTGATGTCGTGCAGCGCGGGGTTAGGCCTCCCTGGACAGTTGCAGCTGCCTTACTACTGGTTAGGGGAACGGGTTGGGGGGAGGGATCAAGGTCGAAAAAGCGCTTGCCCTCTGATGCTATCCACGGGCAGATGACCGCCATCTGTGCATCACGTCGATGCTAGAACCTGCACTCCCGTCTGTTAGTCTCCCCTGTACCCGCATCTTCATCTTCATCACCGTCATCCATTGGACTGATTCATGACTTAATAATTGTTAGTATTAAGTCCAGGCCCAAGCTTCACCACCTATCAAACTCTTCGTCCATGCCGCCACCATCTCGTACAATGGGGCCCTGGGGCCACCGGGGTGCGATGTGGATGGCAGGTGTCTTCGACTCGTAGCTTTTCTGGCGATGTCTAGGTACTTGCCGTTGCCCACCTTCGACGGCATGTTTCCTAGGTTTGGAGTTGACATGTCATCTCTCCTTGTGCCCGAACATCTGTTTGATTCAGCCCATCTTGCTCACATATACCTCGAGTTTTGTCATTTATTGTTTTTAGCCGCACGTTTCCCTCTTGTTCTTGCAAAGTTTTGACACCCTTCGTCTGTTGCTTCTGTTTGACTATCATTTTATCTGTTTGTTAACTCCTTTGGGCGGATGACGGCCAAGATTGTTGGGAGTCCGATATACCTCGGTAACAGAACTCGGACACGATTTCTACACACACACCATAACACCCCGCCAACAAGTCTCTCCTCAACACTCTCGGCGTACGATGGAATTCTCGGCGCTTGATGTTGAAGATATCGAAGATTATGAGGGGGCGCGGTTGGCTGTCGTCCCGGACGACTCCATCACGTCCCAGCTCCAGGAACTTGCCCCTTCGAATCCCGGAAGGACTCTTCTGCCTTCTCCCGTGGCCCGAGCCGTCAGCTTCGCAACCAGATCAACTGGTCTTGCCCTCCGGGTGGGCACCCTCTTGACCGGCTATGGCTTCGACGCTGCCAAGATGACAACCTTGTCCAGCTTGGAAATGGGTCGCTTTGTCCTCGAAGGAATCCTCGGCAGGGCTGGCAGAGACGCAATCGCTCGTTCTTCTTCGGAACATGGGAGAAAGGAGGCTGAGAATATGTTGGAGAAAAGTTTGGAAAACCTACATCGGACCATGAGTCAGATTCTCTTTTGGACAACAACAGGCTTCCATGTGACCGGAACAACAATCGCCATGTTGTCCGAGACCTCACAGCTTCTTCTTTCCACCTTGGACCAGTTCTTCGGCTCGACTGACTCTTCTCGTGCCATGGCCAGCATCATCACGCTTATACGAAGGGAGTTCCAGAACCCAGCTACTGGCGCACAAGGCGAACAAGTGGGAGTTATGGATTTGATGCTTGGACTTTGCGGTATGGCCTATTTGCAGAGATGGTGTCGGCGATCGCTTGAGGAGGAGACACGGGCGCATCAGATCGAAGAGGTCATCTGGGATGTCATAGTTCTCAGTGACGGTATGCGGGTCGACGTCCACGAGGAAAGCATTTATGGTGTGCACGACGGTGAATTCACAGAGGATCTGACTCCCACCAGCGGCAGCGATGCACACGACAGCGAGGAAGACGCAGAAGAAAGGATCAGGAACCAAATAATACGGTCTCTCGGCGACAATGCCAAGGTTTCCATCACCACCAAGATAAACACCACAAAAACAATCACCGTCGATATTCAAGGACCGATACACGACATACCGGTCTCCCCGCCACCTGGAGTGGAACTCGTTGAGGAGAGTAGGAACACTCGTCAAGGCTCCTCACAGACACAGGCTGCGGCGGACCACACCCCCCATGCCTGCCGTGTTGTGTACCGGCTGAATCGCAACCAGGAGAGAAGGTATTCCATCACCAAGGAGGATGGGGATATCAGCCAAGTAACCGGATACGTCGAGCAGTTGGACGACGATACCGTGACTATGTCGGAACGCTCATTGCCGACAGTCGATGCCCTCCTTCCAGTACCGACCAGGTCGCTAGAGCACCTACCAGATTCTGCCACTCCTCGTCCTGGCTCTTCTGCGTCAGCTGCCTCCAGCTCTTCCAAGAGTCGCATCCCGTCACTTCAAATGCCAAAAAAGCGGAGTGAGAACGCAGCAAACCAGAAGCGACCTCGAATACCACCCACAGCCTCCTCGTCAACCAAGCGTCAGGAAACGACCATATCGCGGGCATCTGGCAATCGTTCCCTCTCGTCCAGAAGCAGAGAGGATGCCGAGTCAAAGAGGAAACCAATCGATAAAAAGAGCGGGTTTCGAAAGTTCTTTAGTAGAGATGTTTTTGTGTCGGACACCCCATCGCGTAAGAAGAAGGAAAGTCAAAGCTCGGGAAGTACAAGGTTAACCAAGCCTGAGACTTCACCAAAGTACAAGTCTGCTTTACCTAGCCCTGTCCGGGTTTTGGCTCCTCATCGTCCTTCTTCTTCACGCCCAGCTACCCGCCAGTCTTCCGCTTCGATTCCTAGGATAGAGGAACCTGGTGTCTCTCCGAAGAGCAGCTCAAGTAGCCTCGGGAGGAAGAACGTAGAGAGGTCTCAATACATGCGGCCTCCATCGCGTGCGAGTTATATCTCTGTTCACGAGAGGCGCCGCGACTCAGTTTACTCACAGACCGAATCATATTCTATTTCTGCCGCCGACGATTTTCGACACTCCAGGCCTCCTTCGCCATGTGCAATCGAGACTGATAACGAAGACGCCGGCTCTGTGGCTAACCCTCGATCATCCGACCCTGCCCTCTCCCACTCGTACGGTCTCCCATCATACCAAAACTTGAGACGGGTAAAGTCAAGGTACACACCAAGCATCTATACCCTGCCACACGAATCGACATCATCTCTCATTCCCTACAGAGATCCTCAGAAAAGCGCATTTAGCAACACGGAAGCGCTGCGAGGACTGCGCCAAGCTGGCATGGTAGACGGCATGTTCCCCAAATACCATCTTCTGCGAAACATTACGCGCTTCATGCGTTTTGCCTCCGCCTCCTACGGCTCCAACTTCCTCAAAATGCTCGGCATCGCCAAAGAAATGCCGATCCTGCGCGCCTTAGATACCGAGACCCACCACGAATTACGCTCCTTTGCACACCATACCGAATCCGACGCCGGCAGCATCCTTCTCTCCTCCTTCGTCGACCCGCAAGGCGGGTCGGACGGCACGGGCTCAACCAACACTGGCGTGCCCCTGGTACACTACATCTCGCTCGACCACGACTCCAAAGCGGTAGTGCTCGCCTGTCGCGGCACGCTCGGCTTCGAAGACGTCCTGGCCGACATGACATGTGACTACGACGACCTCGTCTGGCGTGGCAAGGCTTACAAAGTACACAAGGGCATTCACGCGAGCGCTAAGCGCTTGCTGTATGGCGGCGACGGCCGCGTCCTGTACACCCTGAAACAAGCCTTGGAAGAATTCCCTGACTATGGCCTCGTGCTCACCGGCCACTCCCTCGGCGGCGGCGTCACGGCCCTATTGGGCGTCATGCTTTCCGAACCCGCCCCGGGTTGCAATTCCACATCTTTCGTCACGTCAGCTGATCCGCACACGCACGCCTTGGGCGACTTTTTGCACAACGGGTTTGCAACTGCCCAGCCGCCTCGACACGTCTGCTTACCCTCCGGTAGACCGGTCCACGTGTACGCGTACGGACCGCCTAGTACCATGTCTGCGTCGCTGTGCAAGGCCACAAGAGGACTGATCACAAGCATCGTCAATGGAAACGACATGGTTCCGTATCTGTCGTTAGGAGTGCTGCATGATTTCCAGGCGGTTGCGCTGGCGTTTAAGACGGATAACAACGAGGCCAAGGTAGAGGTGCGTCAGCGGATTTGGGAGGCTTTTCAGACGGGGATTGCGGACAAGTGGTATGGAGGGAATCAGTCGTCGCAGTATGATCCTGGGACCGCAGGTCATGGTGGCGCAGGTGATCCATCATCTCCATCTTCTTCTCCTCTTTCAGGGAGCGGTGGCGATAGAGGACCCGAGTTCTCGGACGACGACCAATGGGCTTACGCCGCTCTGAAAGTGTTGAGGGCAAGTATGATGAGCCATAAGCTTCTTCCCCCAGGGGAGGTGTTTGTGGTGGAGAGTACTAGAGTCCTAAGAAGGGATGCGTTCTTGTTGGATGGACAGGAAGGGCATTTGGGGAGGCCAGCACAGAGAATTGTACTCAAGTATATAAGGGACGTGGAGCACAGGTTTAGGGAGGTCAGGTTTGGGACGAGCATGTTGACGGATCATAGCCCCGGGAAGTATGAGGATGCGTTGAATAAACTGAGGGCAGGGGTTATGGATGCTGCATAATTTTTTTGTGGTTTTTTTTTTCTGGAAAGGAGGGGGTTTGAGGGAGATGAGATGGGTGGGATGAGAGGGAGGGATACATATGACGATGATTTTTGGGAGACATGTTTGTTTGCGTATATAGCGACTGTTAAATCAGACGAAACACATCGATTACTCACCTTGTCTAGTATAACCTAAATAAACGGGACAAAACAGAGGATGAATCTAATATTGCAATGTGCTTGAGGGCGTTGGACGGAACATGGGTTTTGCTGCTTCAACAGGGTTTTGTTAATTCCAGACATACCAAAAAAATCCAGAGATGGAGTTTTCTCCATCCCAGCTGAGCTCCAGCTCTCGAATCAATCTCGGCTACTTTTCCCCTCAAGATCGCCCACAACTCATCCAGAAAATTCTAGCTTCTTTCAGCTTTGCCTAACTGAACAGACCACTCAGACCACGATGGGAGGGTTGAGGATGGACCATGTGGGCTTTCGCCTTGGAGCGGCCAATTCGCGAATGAGGGGGCTTCCTAGGCGCGCCTAGCACGGCGAACCGGCTCTTGTCCGGGTTGCTGGCGTCACGGTTAAATGGGGATAAATAGCGAAAAAGTAACCCACCACATGGAACCTGCATCCCCACATGTCATATCATTCGGCTTCATGTTCCGTTCGATTTAACCTGGTGGTGGTGGTGGTGGTGGTGATGGAGAAGACTACCCGAATCCCTGGGTCAAGTCATAATATTTAACGGTTCTTGTTCCTGCAGATTGATCCTGTGGTTCTTTGTCTCTCCTCCAGCCAGCCTTTGCATCATTCATCTCATCCAAACTTCTACCCCAGCGGTTCTCCCCCGCATTTCCTTACCCCACACAGAAGTGGAAGTTACCCCAACTTTTCCCCCGTACCCTCCCCCGCCAAAAACCGTTTGTTTACTCCACCCTCTTACACGGGCGAAGATCACAACCAAAACAAACCAACAAAAGAAAACATGGCGCCCCTAATTACACACATGTACACCGCGGACCCCTCCGCCCACGTCTTTAACGGGCGCGTGTACATCTACCCCTCGCACGACCGCGAGACCGACATCCAGTTCAACGACAATGGCGACCAATACGACATGGCTGACTACCACGTCTTCTCCACCCCCTCCCTGGACCCTCAGGGTCCCGTGACCGACCACGGCGTCGTCCTCAAGACCGAAGACGTTCCCTGGGTGTCCAAGCAGCTCTGGGCTCCCGACGCCGCCTGCAAGAACGGCAAATACTACCTCTACTTCCCTGCTCGTGACAAGCAGGGCATCTTCCGCATCGGCGTCGCCGTTGGTGACAAGCCCGAGGGCCCATTCACTCCCCAGCCGGAGCCGATCAAGGGATCTTACTCGATCGATCCCGCCACGTTTGTTGACAATGATGGCGAGGCTTACCTGTATTTCGGTGGACTGTGGGGTGGACAGCTGCAGTGCTACCAAAAGGGAAACAACGTGTTTGACGCCGAGTGGCAAGGGCCCAAGGAACCCACGGGCAAGGGCGTCAAGTCCTTGGGAGCTCGTGTAGGTAGGTTGACGCAGGACATGCTAGAGTTTGCGGACGAGGGGGGTGTGCGCGAGGTGACCATCCTGGCTCCCGAAACGGGCGAGCCGCTGGACGCGGACGATCATGAGCGTCGCTTCTTTGAGGCCGCGTGGATGCATAAGAGGAACGGCAAGTACTACTTTTCTTACTCGACGGGCGACACGCATTTCCTGTGCTACGCCGTGGGCGACTCGCCTTATGGACCGTTTACCTATGGTGGAAGGATTCTGGAGCCGGTGCTGGGGTGGACGACGCATCACTCGATTGTCGAGTTCCCGGAGAAGAGTGATAGGTGGTGGTTGTTCCATCATGACTGTGAACTGAGCAAAGGAGTGGATCATTTGAGAAGCGTGAAGGTTAAGGAGATCTTCTTTGATGAGGAAGGGAAGATTTGTGGGGAAAAGCAGCCGGCTGGGAAGTAAAGTATAATGGGAATGGGTATGGGTATGGGCGAATTATTAGTAGTCAGACTATCCTTCTGAATCATGGTTTCTCTCTGGACATACCCAGGCTTGTCGATTCATGAGCGCATGCTCGAAGGGTTTCGGGCTGACATGACGATTTCGGCCATTGGAGGCTGATGTCCTGGTTATAAGAGGGTGCAATTGATTGCTTGCCGGTGAAGGTTCCTGAAGACTACCTACCCTTTTCTTCTCCTGGCTGTTTGTGAAGAATGAGCAACTGACATGGAGGTGAACGATTCAGTCCCCGCTCGGCGTCAAGTTTACATGTAGGTACGGCCCCGCAACTGCATATTGAGTGCATACCTAGGTACCTCTAGGTATCTTATCAGGAGACCACAAGGTCTCCCGCCCGCTGCTGAACTCTTTCGTCTCTCTCTACACGACTTCACGTTTACAAACACCATCTGGCGAAACACGTTCCTGGTGTGCGTAACGAGTATCTTCTCGAACCCGGACCCGAACCCGAACCCCAAGGCACCTCACCTGGGATCATGGCCTCATGATGACATCTTGAATCCCTCGGTTTCTCATCTGGAGCAGGCTATTTCTGCAAGAGACTGCACATATCTAGCCGTTTCGCGATACTTTGCGATAGGGCTATGACGACCGGAAGATTGGTTTGCAGAAGCACTGCGGTGCTCAACGTCACCTGGACAGCAAGTCCACGCACCATGCAATCAAAACTCTCCAGTTAACACAGCCCATCGAATGTCAGACGTCGACTCTCAAGTTCAACTTGTGAATTTGACCTCTTCTGTCGGTCACATTAAGCCAAGATCTGTCCAGGCCAGAGCTCCGATAACGAGCCACTCGTTCTCTTCACAGATACAAAGGCTCAAAGTATGGCTAACAGATGCCTGTGTCTTCAGTGCGCCTCCACTCTACACCAACCATGCCTTTGAACAACTCAGCTTCTATCCCATGCTTGAAATCGATACCGAGGCCTCCTTTTATCACGACAAAGTAAAGGGTGCAAGATGTTTACCTCTGCAGCAACCTCGCGTCTACTGCGACGTGCCAACTCCGCGACAGCAATGCATTGTCTTTGGAGTGCCAGGTTTGATGTGCTTGACATTCGATGTCCAAATTGCCTCAGCCACACCACTTGAGTTTCGTGTAGTTTGGATGCTCCCAAACCGAAACTGAACAATGTGCTTTCTTCACGAGGTTGAGAAACTTGCAAGCCGGTAATGCTACAAAAGCTTGACGACGCCAGACATCTCCATTCTGATATGTCCTTTCTTTCCATCTAGGTCTTAACGCTCAATGCCATGTTAGCTACGTCTGCCATCACGTTGCTGCCCGCAGCTTCACCTATACCGCCAGCATCCTTAACGGCAACGGCAACGTCAGCCTTGCCGGGCAACCACTATGAAGCCGCTTTGAAGCCTCGCCAAACAGATTTCTGGCCAGCAGACTTTTGGCCAGAAAAATTCCCCCCTGATCGTTGGCCAGGACGAGGCTGGGGCGCGACATCTAGGCCGTGTCATGTATGTGAATGTCTTCTTCTATGCCGCGGGACAGCCTTCTAACCCCCTCTAGGCTAATCAATTCTATTCTTGCGCCGGTCCCTACATGCGCGGGGATCAAACTTGTCAAAACAACAACGGCGTCAACACCTGGGGAATGACGGCGGGTTGGGGTTGCTTCTGCGAACATGCAAAGAAGTTTTTCAAGTGCATGTCCCAAGCTGAGAATGACGACCCAAATTGTTGGAATGATGGATATGATGGCGACAGTGAGTAGTTTTACATCACTTTGGCCGCGAAATGTGAGCTGATATCACTCGTCCAGATTGGCAACTGAATTGGTATCAAAACTGGTGTGGAGATACTCCTCCTCCGTCCGTGATGGCCGAGATGTCACAGCCGTAAGCTATCCTTCCAATATTCCTGTTTCTCTTATGTGTCTTCTTTCCCTATTCACCTGTTTGTTACACCTTTCTCTCTTTTTCTTCATGTACTTTTTCTTATGCCGTGGGCTTTTTCTTTTGTGCTAACCAGATTATTAGACGGACCGTTGACGTAAGCTTGACGTAAGTTCAAGTGTCCCCCTGAACTAATCAACTAGAACATAGAAGTTACTGATATCGTGTGGAAATAGCAAGCCTGATGTTGTATATGCAGTCAGTGATGAGGATCACGCCCCTCTTACTCGAGTCAATGACCCGATTTATACAGGATCGGGTTCTCTTCTTTCCGGCGAGTGTACATCGACGGATTTCACTCTTGTGGGCGCGAACGAGGGTTACACCATGTACTATGTCGGCCTCCAAGGCTGTAACGACGACCGGCCTCAGTGTTGCCCATGGCCAGTCGCTGCAAATTCTGCAACGAACTCATTTTCTGCCACTGTCAACGTCGAGGTAGAGCCCGAAATTGAGATCGAACACAAGCGTGGCGACAACTATCCCCAACCTGCTCGTGGTTATTCGGCGAAACTGAAACAGTGCCCGGATGACTACTATTCTGTTTCGGGTGGTTGCTGCCCTGCGTAGGTATCCCTTGTCTACCTGCATTCTTCTTCCAATTTCTAACAAGATGAACAGCGGATACTTTTTCTTCACGTCCGCCATCGGTGGCCAAACACCTTGCTGGAGCCCTCTCGGTAGCACAGCCAGCATTCCACCCATAACCCATGTCGCGGCTGCATATAATTCGATTGCCACGAACACCAGCGTTACTGGTAGCGATGGTGATGGTGGTAATGATGACCCTAATGATATCGATTCACTACCTACGTCCGCCGTCAACAACGTAATTTTCTCCCGCCACTACCCCGTCGACAATCCCACAGCCCTTTCCGTCGGTGGTTACATTGGTATTGCCCTTGGTATTAGCATCACAATTAGCACGGCTCTCGCAGCCATCATCTGGTTCTGGCTACGGCGGAGAAAGCGGAAGACAGCGAGATTAAGAAGAGCCGCGCAACAAGCTGACAACGACAATTACCCTGGCATATGGGACGGCCACCACGGCTCAGATGAACAGTTATTCCAATTCCCTCCACAAGAACTCGACACGTTCGGACAAAACGGAAAACCGACAGCATTGGATCGCGTGGCCGCCGCTGGTACCAAAAATGGCGGAGATGCCGCTCAACAAGCTCAGTATCTTCGACAGCTCCAGCAGTCATTCGGCTTCCACAATGTTGGCACGCATGCGCACAGCAACGGTATAAATTCAGACTTCACACCCGGTTTGCCCCTCTCAGTCCATATTCCACCTCGTGTAAGCTCGGCCGCCGCAGCCGCTGGATTATCGACCCTGCCGCCCATTTCATCCACTAGGTCGAAACTTCCTCCCATCAATAACGACGGAAGTCCTTGTGGTGCGCATGCAGTTGAAAGTGGAGATATTGACTCTAAAGGTGGAAAACCTGAAGGTGAGACAAAAGAAGGGGCTTTGCAATATGCCGGTGGTGGGTCGGGTGCAGCAGGGAGTTCTTCTTTTCTCCATGGAGACCAGCGGCAACGGCGATCCCACCCGACTGAACTTGAAGGAAACTCGGTTGCTGTGCCTGGTGGAAGTGGGAGCGGGTATGGGCTTGAGGTGGAGGGAGATCATGAGCCGCCTCCTGAGTATAGGGAGTTCTAAGTGGAGTGCCGGGTTTGGGGTGAGGGAGCGTCAGGGGAGACGTAGGTTGACGTCGCTTTTCACCAAGTTGTTGTTTTGAGATATTCTCCTTGAGAAGTCAACCACATATTTACCACATTTGGTTTCGTTGTTTCTTCCACGGTAGAGAATATGAGGTACCAACGTCCATCAGGATGGCTGGTATTTATAGATAGCCTCATCTTAAACTTTCACGTTTTCAAGTTGGACGCTACGAAACATAACCTATGTACGGTCAATGCGATGTATAACACCAAGTTTGTGAGTCTTTACGGTTGGTTGACGGAGTTTAAGAAACCCCCATGAGACGTCTTAACACCGGAGCCCCATTCATACCTGTACGACTGGATGAAAAAGTAACCCAGCCTTGACCCCAAAACTGTATGTTACATCAAGAAGCAGGCTTCATTCGGTGAGAAAAAGCTGCAATTTCTTTTTACCGGAGTAAGGCGCACAATGGCCCCCCTTCGTCGCACCACCAACAGTTTGAACGTAGTAGTTCTGTTCGCCAAACATAGGTATCACTATCTCAAACCAGGGCATCTTACCCTGTGAAAAACATTTTCTTCTGCGTATAAGACTGGACGGATGCATATTATCTCTTCAAGTTCCAATTGTTTAGCGGTGGCGGATACGGCCCATGGATGCTGCAGCGCGGGATTGTGTGCCATGGCTGGATCATGGTGTAAGGCTTTTTTTTAAGGAGAAAGGGAAGATATCACTGGCCGAGGCGGCCAACGATCTCAGGTTCTTACCTAGTGCCGCTATTCAAGGCTTACACATTAGCGTTGGGCAAATGCTCATGGCTAGGACTTCAGACAATCTGTATCAGTGTACAGACGTTTTCAGTAGGTTATTTCCTGGCTGTTCACTTGTTATGACCGAAGGAGGAGATTTGGCGGTGACTGAACAAGACGTGATAGTGGATGTCTCTCACCAACTACCAAGCGAGGGCTTCAGACTTGAAAGACTACTTTAAAGTTATGTGTTGAGGCTGAGCCACATGTATCATTTGGCTGGCTGGCTGGAGGGTCGTGACCGGCACAGCCCGCTAACCGGGTTACTGGGAACCCGCATGCATCGCCGCACGCCGGGGAGGCCGGGTTCTGAGTACAGTGAGCTTTGGGTACAAAGTATCCGAGGGCTCGAGTGATGAAATAGCGTGGCTGCGTTTCACACGAGTTGTTGGGGTTTTTTTTTTTTTTTTCTTTTTTTTTTTTTTTTTTGGTTTTTTTTTTTTTTTGGTTTTTTCGCCTCAAATCGTGTAGATGTGATAACCGGGGAGGCTTCCTTCAAAGGTTCTCTAGCAACTCAGTTATGAGACGACCGCTCGCCATAATTCGGAAGCGATGGATTGTAATAACTGCCAACAGTGAACTCAGCCCTGACTGATCAAATTCCTCTCGAGAACTGTTTTGTTGTTAGGCTCAGAGAATTGACATGTGAAGAGTATGTATCATACGCAACGGAATCATATTCGTTTGGACGAGTTTGAATATACTGTTTGCACACGCGTTTGCTGGTCAACTTGCAAAACGACTAACCACTAGCCTGGCTGCATTCTTGAGCTGTACTAGGTAATTTTGCCACCACTAGGGCCGGGTGATGGTTTGAACGTTAGGTAAGCGGATGATTTGTGTTGGAGGATGAGGATGATATTGAGAGTTTCAAGAAGTACCGTTACACGAGTTGACGACTAAAAGTACCTTCGTTGTTCTCGGAGGAGGGGTCGATGGCCAATTTCTAGAAGAACTGAAGACAGGATAATTCCCCCGCAGCTTGATTCGCTCTGCAACCCACACGAGCTGTTGGCAGTTACGAGGAAGTCAGTACTGATCAACAGATTCAATCTCAGCGTTTGCGACATCCATAGCGTAGGTACTGGAAGCTGAGTGTTCAATGATGCAAGCTGTGAACAGTTTCGATGAAAATTTCAGCTAGATGTCCGTCAAGTCTACACAATCATCGCGTATGCCAAGCCACATTATCAGCCCGTTCTCTGCAGGCACCTCGTAAATACATACGATAATACCTACGAGGTACTGTGCCTCGTACAGAACCTGCGCCTCCCTCACAAAAAAAAAAAAAAAAAAAAAAAAATCAATAAAAACAAAGAACACCTTGCAAGTCATCCCTCTTTTCTCTAATTGTTTTTAAGTCGTCTTAGCTCCCAAATTTCCTGAAACATTGAAGAACGGAAGATATCTATCTTCATCCATATCATATTCGGGCGCCAAGCTACCCCATCATGGGAGTTTCTTAAGTTCCTAAACAGGACACATCAACTAAGATAGTTGCCTTCGGGACAGATTGTACATGGTTCGTTCCTTCCATCGCTTATATTTCAAGCGCGAGGATGAGGTCGATCTTTGGCACATATCGCCTGAATGCCGAAAATCATCTCGTTCCCAGATTTTGGAATGTCTAGAAACAACTATTACTGCACGGTCTAGAAACCATCCTTGTTATCATTCTCTATTTACGCCTATGCTTCTGTTTGAACACTTTATCTAGATGGACTCTGACAGGTCACCTCATGCAGATATTTATATGGAAACTAAAAGACCTCCAGATCAACCAAGTCTCGAAGGCTTAGAAGAGATGGATATGCCAGCTAGGACCAGCTTACCATCAAGTTTCGACCGGTCAGAGCTAGAAATCACAGCCAGGACCCGTACATCATCAAGTTTCAAAGGTTCCGAGATGTCTGTTTCAAGGACTGCAACAAACATCCCCATGCCGATGTCAGAACCTACGTTGCCCAAAGGTCCTCATTCCCATGAATTTGTTTTCCGCATATGAGGGTTTGCAGCTAACGAGCATATAGAAGAAACAACGAGAGAAGTAGCAGATGTCACGGACAGAACTTCGTCTGAAAAGACATTACTATCAGCGGTGTCGACAACCACAAGCACGACTGCGCCTGGTGATAACAATGTTCCTAAGGAGCCATCATCATGTTGTGTAACACAATCAACTGTTCAGCCCAAGGCAGTCAAACACAAGAAGCCCACCACGGACTATGTCCGCCTAAAGTGGGAGAGAGACTCTAACATCAGGGACTATGTTCATCGAAAAGACCCGATGAATTGTGAACAATGCGGATTGGGCATACACGGCGAGAAAGTCCCTATTGACGGGATAGTGCTTCGATACTCACAGTATCAAAAGAAAGACACCCAGATCGATCCCCCTATGTCCTTAACAGGCGACACCACAAACGACCAGGCAGCAGCGCTTACTATCCCGATACCACGTAAATCATCTTACCCCCTTCTTTATCTTCTAACCCCACCACATACATCATTCCAGTAAGCTGACGCATCTCCATCACCAGAGTACCTCAAAATCGACAAACCCCGAAGATTCTTTACAAAGGGCCGTATCTTCAAGACTGTCTGGTTCGAGCCCTTCGGCGATTACTCCGCCTCCCTTCGCGCCCGACCCGCCGAGCTTGCCTGCCCCGAGAGTTGCCCCAACTATAACAAGGAAAAGCCCTACGAGCATTTCCGGTGGTTCGTGGTAATTCGCAAGCAGCTGCACCACTCGCTGTGCTTTGCCATCGTTAACGGAGGGGCAAAATCCATGGCCAAGAACCGAGCCAGAGGCGAGCACCTGGCCGTGCTGTACTCGACTAGTGTGCCGCCAGCGGAGCCGGACAAGGAGGAGGGCATCATGTTTGGGCCACTCGCGGTTATTTTGGAGGAAGGGAAACAGAATATCAGCCCATTGGCGAGGCTGGATTGTAGTAGGGTGTTTACGGTGGAGGATGATTTGAAGGTCATGAAGATTGGGAGGGTGCATCCGGATTTTCACGGGAAACTGGATGAGTACTACTATGAAGCATGCTTCAAGGAACCGGTGAAGCAAGTGCAGGCTAATGGGACTTGATGTCGAATTTGATTCGTTAATGAATTTTTGGGGTCCTTGGTTGATTTACTTTCTACAAGACTTTATGGTCGCTGTTTCTATCACAACTCCCACTCATCACTTTGTCTTTGCAACTTACGGTTGGGTTTCTCCTTCACCACGACATGGATTTTTAGTTGGATTACTTCGGACATGTGTTCACAACTTGAGAGGGTGGCAGACAGCTAGCACGGCAGTTCTCCTCTTTCTGTTTTCCGTGTCCTTGTTTTGGTTGTCTTTTCTTAACCATGCGTTTTGCTGCTTTCTTCACACATCTCGTCGTGTATCCCATTTCCTCTTTGATATGTCACATGTCTGTTTATCACTACCTTGACATGTCCAATTCTAAGGTTGTCATTTTTCGTTTGCAGATAGATATCTTCCCCCCTTTGACTTCTCATCGCCCAGTGATTACATTCTTTTCCATTCTTCTTCTCAACAATTACTCAACGCGATGTCTGAACTTTCGCGGAGGATGACGAGGCTTCCCATCCCAAAGGGCAACATTTTTCGGTCCACTATCACACCATATGTATGCTTGGAGAAACGTAGCTCCCGAAAGTGTGCCATTCATATGTGGCGATGGCGTGGGAGTGTCGTTAGCGAATTTGCTCAGCCTCAATGCAATGTTCCCTCACCAATGCTTCGGTTAGTTGGACGCGCAAGGAACAATAGGCGTCCTCCAATAAGGAGAGGAGGGTAAGAATGTTGACGAAATCTTCCAGTAATTCAACCGAAACCGAAGAAAACCGATGTGGCTTTCCTGGCGTAGAGGTAGCTAGGAGCACTTGACAACATTGAGGGATGTACCACAACAACCGGACCCTCACCTCATTTGAGACTCATTGCAAGATTGCTAGGTATGCAAGATACGAACGACTTTAACCCAGCTGATGGTTGTTGGCCACTGAAAGCTGATCCGCCTCCTCCATTTCAATTTCAACACTGCTTGTCAGCTCGCCAACATAAGCCATCAGATAGTATCGGCGAAATTGTATCACCAATAGTGCAGTAACCGAACCGGACGTTTTCCCCTTCGTTTCTCCCACTCAAGCGCAATACATTAGACATGGAGACATGAGCAAGGAAAGCGCGGTCCTGTCTTTCGACAAGTGTGGTCATCCATGGTGTAGGGCACTAGAGCTGCAAACCTAATGCAAGAGCTAGCAAGGGCACTTTGTAAGGCTTTCAAGACACTTCCCTCCTAAGCTTTTTCTTGAATAGGCTAAAGAAATCGTCGACCAAGGTAGCTGGTCGTCTGTGCAGCTAGGTCGGCGAACAGCTGTGCTGCTAAACTTTGAAGGCTATTGGATAAAAGAAGGGGGGTCTGAAACGCAACTGTTTCGAGCAACCATCCATTTGGTCAAGATCAGATTCGGCGTTTCGGTTCGCCCGGACGACATATGTCAGGCAAATTGAGAAGACATCTCCTCTGCCAGTCATGGATTCAAATACCATCAATCGAGCTGAATGTCCCATGCAGTGATCTTGAGTGAGGACGGTGAACGTGAATGAGTGGTCTGACGATAAGGTTATTCGCCTTGAGCCTGCTTCGAGCTTAACTGCCCTTCCGCGGTCCTCAACGGCTTGTTTCAGCCGGAGTCAACACATATCATTTTCACATAAATGACTAGTATTGACATCTTTTATCGATGTCGAAAAGTCTGTGAACCGTGGTAACATCAGCGATAGGCCAGTAGTAACCCAATCGAATGTTGGTGACGCCCATCTTCTTCCCCCATCTCACGACGGGACATCACAAAAATTCCCAAGCTCCTTCGCTTAGGACGTCTGAAAGCCAATGGAGATGTGCGTAAGAAAAATGAAGCAGAAAAAAAATGAACGGGAAGCACGTCCTATTCATCCAGAGGGTCCAAACTCCAGTCAACCACCAATACTTGGGCCTCGGGGATACTCAAGACTGGGTATAATCACATCCATCATTGCCCCGATGCCCTCACCGCCAGCCAACCAGCCAGCCCATGGCAGCCCCCAATTCCCCAATAACGTCCCATAGATCCGTGGATCATATCCCATGACCCACTCTCCACATTGACACACGAGAGAAATTGAAGGCCCGCCGCTTAATCGTCGATCCGTGAAATGATAAGCCGTCGCGAAGACCCAACCCAGATGTCCCGCAAAAAGATATCTCATCCTGTATCTCAAGAGGAATCAAAGTCCAATACCAACCATCAGAGTTGAGCCTGAGAGTGCCCAAGACTGGACATACCCCCATCCACAACCGCCCTTCCCTCAAAATCTTCACCATCAGCCAGCCAGCCAGTCCATTACCACACTATCCTTGATCCAATTTCCTTAGTAACCCCCCATCACACCTCCAACTCCACAAGGCTCTCAAAAATCCTGCACCCCTGTCTCTCCCTCCAACACTCTCTCAGCCTTCTCCTCCCCATCACTACCGTCGCTAGCCCAATCAGGTTCCTCCTCATCAAACCACGCCTCTTCTTCTTCTCTTCTCTCCAGGGTATCAAGCTCGTCATCGCAGTCTACAATCCTGTAATCAAAATCCTCATCTTCACCGCGGACGAACCGCTCGCGCAGGAAGGCGGTCCATTGGTCTAGACCTTCTTCGCGGGTCTGGGCGGGGGTGTCGGTGCCTGTTAAGACTGGAAGTGTGCTTGATAGGCCTGTAGTGGTTACCGCCGTCGTTGCCGCTGGAAGAGGAGGAGACTGTGGGGTTTGGTTAATGTTGGTGTAGGCTGTAGATGACGAAGAAGAAGGCTCGCTCAAACCCCCGAAGCGAGGAAGCGGTTGTTGGACTGGTGTGGTGAAAGTGGCGAACATTCCGGATGTGGTGTTTGTAGAGGCTGATGTTGGTTCGTCTAATGTCGGTATTGTCTGACTTGGAGGCTGTGTGACGGTTCTCGTCGTCTGGCTTTGCCGGTCCATTTGCCCCTCGATTACCGTAGGCGTCAGTGACTCCTCACCGCCTTCAGTGCCAGAACTACCATCCGTTGCCGTCGCCACCGCCAGCCTTGCGAGCTTCTCCTCCCCCCGTAGCAAAGAGCCTTCCAATACGCGAGCATATCCCTTCTCCTTACCCTCTGCTTCTCGCTCGGCAGGCGTTTGGAACCGTCGAATGAGAGAGTCGTATAAAATTGGATCTAAGCACGGTAACAGTGTCAGTTAGTCATCAGTGATGCTATCAGATTGTATCCTAGAGCTTGAAATGGCTCAGAATTTGCCATCAGAAGGACATCAGAGATGCAGCCTCTGAGTCAGCGGCATATGGGAATCGCCTTTTTCCGTGGGCGTTTCCCAAGCCGGGAGAAAACGCCGAAAAAATCGTACCAGCGAGTTCATGTTCCGTAGACTTGAAGTAGCCTGGATGCCGTTCTAGGTACTCCCCCCGCCGGTTTCGCGTTCGTATCTCCAGAGTTTGCGCCGAAGACCTGGCCGGCCGTGGGCGGGGTTGTGCGAAGAGAGAATCATTATCAGTGGTGTCTGGACGTCCTATCGAGCCGGCCGGCGGCGGGGAGTCGAAGCTAGGTGACATAGTTGACTTGATAGGTCAACAATGAAGGTTTGCTGAGATGGGAAATTTATTGTGTAGTTGATGAAGATTATGTTATGTTGACCAATTGATTTTTGCGAAGCTTGAGGATGGGTTATTTCAGATGTGAAGAGCAATTATGGTACGCTTGCAACTTGCCTTTTCAGTGACGTCGCCCGGGAGGGGCCCGTCGCTGTGGGGCCGAACGGCGGTGGAGTCGGGTCCTGTTTATCACCAAAGAGTGCGTGCACTACAAGAAGTCAGCAGATAGAAAATAGCGATTGTGTCTCGTTTTGCATAGAGGAGCAACTCTTGTACCGTGGTGGTCATTGAATATTTAATTGCGGCGGGACCATAAAGGAGTTTGATTTAGATGACTACTGTGCAGTGGGTTGAAATCTCTATCACTAGGTCATTGACCAAATCATGCCGGTCCTCACGCGCTTTCATATCCCTAATACCATTCACAGATCCAGACATGATAAACCATTTCCATGGCACAATGTGCATGGCCTTCACCGTCTTGAAAACTTCCCGGCCACTGCTATTTTTAGCCCTTTTATGTTTAGCTCGCTCGCGGTCACGGCTCCTTCACCTCTCTCGCTCAGTAAGCCCCAGTGCACGCAGGCTCCGTTCCACCACACCCCGAGAAAACATTCGCAGGATCATACGCTTCTCAAACAGAAATTCATCCCTCTTAATGGTCCTTCGCCTCCCATTCCACTGTTTTCCTTTAAAGCACTACTACGCACACCACCAGAAACGAAATCACCTCCATCAAGTTAACCTGGAAGCGGAAGCACAGGGCAATCCCTTCAAGTTCAGCGGCCGAAAAAGAGGTCGTGCTAAGAGTTCAAGTCCACCAAGTCAAGGCTTAGCCATCTTGTTCTCGTTCCATCCGACATCTCGAATTCCACCATCAAGTCCAAACAACGCTGTGATCGAACAACGCTGCGGGGTATCATCATGCATAAGTGCGGAACATAGAATGCCCACAAACGCTGATATGCTAGCCGTAAACTCATGATCATAAAACATGAAAACAACGACAAGGTCCATTAAAGGCATGCCGAGGGTGAAAACGGTACTTCCTAAAGTGTCATTGCCCTGATACCATAGGGCCATCTGTGATTCGGGGGTGGATAACCAGCCTCCGTGAACCCGATTCAACGCTTGTGTGTTCAGCTAACCACGAGGGCCACTTACTCATACAAAGCTTATTTCATGCGCTCGAAGGTCAGTTGACAACTGAGGCCAACTTACTGCTCGCAGGACGCTATTTCATGCCCAGGAGGTTCGCCTGGCCGCTGGGCCAGTTTACCCATCCCAAACTGCTTTTTGTCAAGGGAGGTTCGACCTATCGATCTACTATTCCAAGACCTGTTTTCAGCCCACTTTAGGGCTGATGTTTCCCACGAATAGAAAAAATCAACCCCTAGAGAGCTATGAATTTCTCAGGAGAAATTGTACCAACACCACGGATGCAGACAACATCATATGGAACCAGCAATTGATTCAAGCACAGCCCAAAAATGAACAAAACAAAAGGCTTGAAAGGGAAGAAAAAAAGAAAAAAAAGAAAAAAAGAAAAAAAAGAAAAAAAGAAAAAAAAAGAAAAAAAGAAAAAAAGAAAAAAAAGAAACAGAGAAAGGAGAACGGACTAACCAGCTCAAGGAAAGTGAAACGAACACTGGCAATGCTCGACACAGACAGACAGCGACATCTAACAATCCCCCAAAGACTAGGCAGCCATAATGCTCCGGCCTCCATCGGCGGTAGTCCTATTACGGATACGCACTTTGAGCACGCCGTGGGCCAGCCGCTTGACCGTCGCAGGTGACGCCGCCGGAGTGGGAGAGGCGAGTTTCTCGGTTCCACTCGAGGTAGCGATGACAGAGGTTACGGTCTTCTGGTGTTGCTTATCGCTAGCGGATTGCTGGCCTGATTTGACTGACCCGGGCTGGACTTGCAAACCGTCATCATCTGTCGTGTCAGTGGTAGGCCGCTCGACGGCGTTGATGGGTTGGTTTTGTGCATGAGAAATAGGGCCAGATCCAGCGACAGGCTTGGGTGCAGGTGTCGAGGTAGACGGAGGTCGAGGAATGGCCTTCTGCACTCCTATAATTGCACTCGGTGCAAATATCAATGCTTCACCAACTCGCAAAGCTACAATTCTGGAGAAAAGCTCCATGGCAGGATCGCTATAGTCCAGAGCCAACGAGTTAACGCCAGCATTCTCGATACACACATCATCAGCCATGTTTTGGTTTATCGCCAAAGCCTTTTCCAACATCCTCCCGCCCTTGCTCACACCCGCCAAGTGTTTAGACAGGGCCCTCAACCAGTCGGGACTGGTAAACCGATGCACGATTGTGACGCTGCATAGATCGAGGAGTTTTGGTGAGATGGTGGGCTCCTGGGTAGAGATGATGACTCGAGCTCCAAGATGACGCTGGAGGCGGATGGTCTCAAGCAAACGGTCTGTTAAGGTACGACACTCAGCCGAACCAGTGTCCGAGCTCATGTATTTGTGAGCCTCATCAAGCGCAATAACACGCCCGATGCTGTTGCAGTCCTGTTCAAGAAAGAGAGACAAGCAAATGTTGAACAATGAACAGGCCATCTCTGCGGTTACGCAGGGACAGGAAAGATCGACAATAGTAAGCATACCAGGACGAGGGGTCCAGTCGTTGCCTCTGCTTGCCCTGGTCGATTTGTTGGATTTTGGTTCACGGCCATGTTCGTATGCCTTAGCATGTTGCTCAACCATAAAGCTTTCCAGAGTGTCAAGCCGCTGTTTTAGCGGAGCGAGCTGTTGATCCGTAAGCTCTTGACGAAACATGTTGTGCTTAAAGGCGGTATAGTCGAAGGCGCCGTCCCTTTCTTGCTGCTCAATGCGCAAATCACGTAGCACACGGTTGAGCACATGGAGGTACAACGGCATGGAGGTACCGGAGCTGACTGCCATCAGGTCAAGCATACGCCTGGTGTCCAGATCCGACTGGTTGAGGCGAAGCTCCTCGATCATGATGTTGGGGAATCTGCTGTATAGCTTGCGCATTGTCCGGATATTTGTCGGTGGGCATAGCACGCGCACTTGGATCTTTGGATTAGAAGACAACCAGGCCACTTCGCAGGGGGATCCACCGGTGTCGGATATGAAAGTGTCATAATGGAAGACAATTCCAGTCAGTGGATGCGGAAGAACATTTGCTTCGCATGGCGTCATCGCGTTCTCTAGCAGACAGGAGAGCGTGTGGCTCTTGCCGGAGCCTTGACTGCCACAAATGAAGAAGCTGGAAGGCGCTGCGATATTCCAGAACACGCGCGGATCCCGGTTGGCTGGCTCCTCTGATTCAAGGGAGCCAATATCTCCACCAAGCAGGCCGTATTGAGTAAACGGTTTCCGACCACCGGCAGTTTTGGCGATTGCCTTGGCGTACTTGCGGACTGGCTCTGTGAAAAGCGGGGTGGTCGAAATCTCATTGAGTTCATCCAAGTCCAAGCGATGCTCAAGGAGACGCAAATGTGCCTTTGGGATAAGGTTTTCGTACTCACTTGCCGATTCGTAATCGCTGGTGGCATCGCTTCCCTCCTTACTACTACTTTCCTGGTCCGTACTGGCGCTCTTGGATTCCGATCCGGTCGCCGATGTTGAACGGCGGTCTCTGTTAGGTGTCATGGTACTGGAGAGCATGGCCGAGACAGGATGAGAAGTAGGTTGTTGCTTGGTTGAGGCGGTACCGGGGCTCGAAAACGTATGAGAAGCGCTCTGTTGGGTAGAGGTAGTCACCACGGGCAGACTCAATGTGCCAAAGAAAGACTGATTCGTGGTAGGAGTAGAAGTATTTGCAGAAGGTGTAGGCGTGAAGGGCTGCGAAGACAACTTGATCTGAGCAGTATTACCTCCAAAGATGCCACCGGTAGTGTTGTTAGCTTTGAAGATGCTAGTTGCACCACTGTTAACGACACCGTTGTTGCCAAAGAGACTGACGGGAGCTTTGGTTCCAAATAAGCTTCCACCTCCAGTGCTATTGCTCCCAAAGGTGATGCTAGGTGTATCGCTTATCTGGACACTCCTAGTTGCGTTAGAGTTGACGCCACTATTGTTGCCGAAGAGACTGATGGGAGCTTTGGCTCCAAATAAACTTCCGCCACCAGTGCTATTACTCCCAAAGGTGATGCTAGGTGTATCGCTGATCTTGACACTCCCAATTGCACCAGGGTTAACGCCACTATTGTTGCCGAAGAGACTGGCGGGAGCTTTGGCTCCAAATAAACTCCCACCACCAGTGCTGCTGGTTCCGAATAGGCTTCCAGTGGTCTCCTTCGGCGTTGAGACAGCTGCCGTACCGTTGACGGCCCCAATTGTGCTTGATCCCAAAGTAGATGGATTGGAAACTTTCGTACCACTCAGAGACCCAGTATATCTTCTGTTTGCCTGATAATCCGCCAGTCTGAGTTCGTCTGCAGAGTACTTCTGGTAAGGTGGTGAAACTGAAATGTGCTGGAAAGATATGATCGAGTTCACAGGTTGGCCACTAAACGAAACTTCCTGATGAGCAGAGGGAGCGTAAGGAATAGAGCCTGTGCCTGGCGGAGATGTCGAGTTGGAGGGTTGCGCCTGAGCTGGAGGCGGTTTGGAAACCATCTTGACGATCGACGACCGCGATCCCGGTTCTTATAGCCGAAAAATTTTCAAATGACGCCTGAATTGAAGAAAGTGAGGCCGCGGGTGAGTGAAAGACAACTTGAACGAACAGCGCATGAGAAGGACGGTCGAAATGTACGCAGCCAGAGAAGAAGGGAACCCACATCAACAAACAGAATTGGATTTTGGTGTTGCGAGGACGCTGTGGGGTAAGTGGGAGCAATTGTGGGATGGTGAAGCGCGGCAGAATTTGCAAACCCAACGTTGGGTTTCCCAGGCAGCAATGAGTACACCTTCCTAGGTACCTATGTACTGTGTAATGTCATTGAATGGTGCAGATTAATCAAACCGCGTATGGCTCTTTGAAGGCATTCAGAAGAAAGAATGGAACCCGAGTACATTTCAACTCAGCAAGCTGCTGTGGTCAAGTTTTGGCACATTTTTCTGTGTTCTACAAACCATCCATCCCATGTAGCGGGACGTTGTCGTCTGGTTCCTTGTACACTGCAAACAGGGCTGAATCGGGCGCGCGAGCGGTACGGGTCGTTGCTCACAGATCTCCATGCCGGACATGCAAGTTTCTTGTTGCCCCTTTTTTCTCTTTCATGCTGATCACCGTCTCAGGTCTACCGGCTTTGTTGGAGAAAGAACAGCAAACGAGACGTTGTTTTTCTGAAAGAACGAACATCACAAAAAGCAAATCCTGGACTGGGATCTCGTCGGTATCCGTACTATCAATTACCTGTCTGCCCAAACCTGCGGTGTGGCCCCAGGGCCCGAGGCTAATTTTGCTCACTACACTATACAGGCAGTCTATCGAAATCTGCAACGCTAGTCCCCGGCCGCTCCGTGCCAAAGTGTCGTCACCGGTTGAGGCCGTCTTGGCCCTAGGCCGGACGCGCATGAGAGGCCCGGTGGGGGGGAAATGAGACATTTGAGCCATCAGTCATTTGTGGTGAAATCGGGCAACAAACAACCCGACAGGAGACCTCCGGCTGGCCGCATCTCTGAGGAGGACCATCGAAGAATGGGCGAAAGAAAGCCAATAGCCACGGAAATCAACGCGCGGTACATTCTTCGCATTCTCATTACCTATCAGCGGTATGACAGACAGCGACGTCGTGACGGCAAGGCTGGGGCTTTGTAGTACCCCAGGTCGAGTCTGCCGTGACTACCTGAGCAGCTGAGGGGGTCGTTCGGGACATGATCATAGGCGGAGTTACTATATTTCATGCTCCACTGCGATTATCCGCTGCTGTTCAGGTTTTCTGCCAGATCACGACCATGGGTTTTAGGCTTCCAGCGAATGAAAGGCAAACGGCGGGCAACGGATGGCATGGCAATTGGGATGCTGCCATATGCTGCGGGGATGCACATCTTGCCTGTAGCTAGCCCGGACCGCGCTAGTACGTGCATTTCCCAATGCATCCTCCATTTCCGCTGTCATTTCATGGCATTTCGTTGGCGCGTCAGACAACTGACTGAGGACAAGATATGATGAGATATGCTACCAGCCACTACCGGCCTATGGAAACGGCTTACACACTGCTAACCAGTCGTACCAACAACGGAACACACACACCAATTTCACTGACCTTGTCTGTTGCAAGTCGTAAGCTAACGAACCGCAACTTCCACCCTGTGCGGATTGCAAACATGTCAATCCTGGCCAGCATGGGTCCCGACAATTAATGTTATTGATTTAGAAACCCCCCGCCGTGAGAAAAATGCACGCAGCCCAGACGGGCTGGACAGCAGTTGCAGACTGTTCTGGATCTGGGGATTCCACGACGATCGAACTGTTGCCAAGCATTTCCACTCCTTATCGATTTGCACGAGAGGGGACGGGACGTCGGGAACCAACAGCACCCCCCCCCCCCCCCCCCCCCCCCCCTCCCCTCAGGGATGCCGACTGCGACCTTGCGACCTTGCGAGCGATCCGTATAGAATTGAATTCCAAGTTTCTATCCTATCTATTCGCGCCCCGTAGCTACTTGGCTGGTAACTACTACGTCCCTACAGCCGCACCTACCTCTAGCTACATACTTGCATCCTCTCCGCACATGCTTCACACCTTGCAGCTTAGTCTTGCTTAGCAGCTTGTTGAATCAGACGACGGAAGTTGGGCACAAGGGCACCTCATCCGCCAGGTTTGGACAGAAGCATATTATACACAGCCGTCTGTTCATTCCTCCCGTTTCCGCCTCTCTCCTTCCCCTTTCTCTCTGTTGTTCCCTCGCTCCAGTCTTACCGACTTTTGCGTGCGGAGCTGTGCTGTGCTGTCCAGTTGGAACAGCCCTCCTCGAAACCACGGCCTCACCACAAACCCACTGCGTTGCTGCGGCTCGGCGGCCTCGACGGACTGCAGCAGTGCGTTGGGTCCTTGCGCTTTCACACACGCGTCTGCACGGCGGAATGGTCGATCTCAAATCCAAGCTACGAGCCAGGCTCTCCAGGAGGAATTCCGGCATATCCTTGCTCACGTCCAGCAAGAGCTACAGCGGCACCGGCAACCATGGCAGCATCCACAGCCCCAACGACGACGCCAGGAGCGACAAAAACCTTGACTTGGAGAGCGTGCGACCAACATCGTCAGTATCCGCTGATGCCATCACCGACGCAGGCGGAAGAGGAGGCCGGGAGCAAAAGCGGGTAGGAGGCGGAGAAGAAGCAGCTGGCGGTGCGGGAACGGGAGCGGGAGCTGGAGCCGCAAACGTTGCCTCCGGAGAACACAAGGAAAAGGCATCAGGGTTCCTTGCTCTCTTGATCGGGGCGAGCCACAGCGCAAGGACAGGATCGCGACAAGCCACCTCTCCGAAACAAGCTGCGCAAAGCATTCGGAGCGTTGACGACGCCCAGCACACAAGCGAGACCCCAGGTGCTATAACCGGCCAGCCGGGAGAGGACGGCAGACTGAAACAGTACGGGTCGAACACCGACGACACTAATGGTGACTGTCTTAGCAGAGGCGGCAGCGGCGACAAAGACGAAAATGCGGATCTCCAACTCGTTCCCCCTGCGGTTGCGGATCCTGCCGGTGCTGGTGCTGGGTCTGGGCACGTTGCCAGCAGCAGCAGCGCTCGTGCTGGCACTGACAATTACAGCAAGTGCGACACGGGAAGCCCCAATTCGAAAAGTGCCCAGCAGCATGGCGTCAATGCTGCGCCTGCCGCGGCAGGAGGTGCTGCAACCAATGCAACCAGCGCTAGATCTGCCAGCAGCCAGCCACCTGCAAGCTCCGTAACGAATCGCGCTGCCCCTGGTGCTGGCTCCGACTGGACACCCGCTAGCGATCTGCGGCGGGTCTCAATCAGCAGCGCAAGAGTTTCCAGCCTTGCCAGCATCCACGAGGATGATGACCTTGCGCATACCGCTGCCGGTGACGAACCTCTACCGCCTCCAACAACATCCACACTTGCCACAACAATTGATGCTGCCACCCTTGATGCCACCACCCCAACCAACCCCAATCCAAATCCCTTTGAAAATTCCCATCATCGACAGCTCGCTGACGCCGCTGCTCAATCTGCCACCCCTACCACCGCCGCTCCCGATATCGTGCGCAGGGTTCGTCTGATTGATTCGGCTGTAAATTTGTCGTCCTCCCAGCCTCCGACGCCTGCACCACTCGCTACATCTGCCGCTGCGTCGCCGTCCATTGTCTCGTTCAATTCCGTCGCGCCTCTTTCGCCGACTGGTACCGTACCCCTTAGCCCAAGTGCAGAAACTCCTTCAATCGCGCCCTTGCCCTTTTCGACCTCGACTCCTGCCAATCTTAATCTCAATCCGCCGTCTACAGATCCCACAGCCACCCCGGGTAGTCCTACCACCACCGCGCTCTCCACGTCGACCGCTCTCACGCGGCCCTCGGTTCCACCGAGACGTCAGAGTCTTTTGCCCAGTCGCCAGACGACTCTCATTCGAACGCTCCTCGACGCGAACCAGACCGATGAACTCGACACCGGCGCTAACACCAACGACCACCTCCTTCCTATAAGCGCCACCATGGTGACGCGCAAGATCTGGGTCAAGCGGCCGGGTGGCTCCGCGACCCTGGTCACGATCAATGAAGAGGACTTGGTCGATGACGTGCGGGATATGATCCTCAGAAAATACGCCAACTCCCTAGGTCGCCAATTCGACTCCCCCGATTTGATCCTGCGGATAGCCCCCAGGGAGTCGCAAAGACAGGAGCGGGTCTTGGGCCCAGAGGAGCCAATGGCCCGGACCTTGGATGCATATTTCCCCGGAGGCCAGACAGTGGACGAAGCCCTTGTCATCGACATCCCGCCCCGTCGCACACCAAAGGAATCACCCAGGACCGGCCCCCCGCATGTTCCTCACGGCTTGCCGACGTATTACGAAGAGACACATAGACCGTCGGAAGGAGGTACCGATTATTTTGGCCCTGGCGCTCTCGCCCATCTAGCCCCCGGCATCGGTGGTGGCCCTGTCATGACTGCCCCTGTTAATGGCCCGCCGCAGTCACATCCTCATACCATATCCGGTTTGGGACCAGGACACATCCCCCAGCTACCCTCCCCGGGAGGAACACGGCCCCGTCAGTACCGCGAACGGCCAGATCGTCCTCGCCTGGGTAGGCAACATACATCATCGCCCACGATTCTCAACGTAGTTGGAGCCGGAGGTCACGCCGCTACGATCGCAGTGTCTTCGGCAAATCATGGTATGCAGCAATCCTCCGTTTCCAAGGTTCAACGATCAAGGACTCATTCCATTGCCTCGTCAGAACAATCCACGACCGGTGCCGTTCCCGGTCCCCCGGCGTCAGCTCCGCATGCCCCTCATGTCCCTTCGGCACCGCCCTTGCCTACTCCGCCACCTGCTGCGCAAGAGCCTGTCCCGGCTATCCCAACACAGCATCCGGTCACTACTCCCCCAGCAAGAGTGGCCTCCCCTCGGCCTCCGACAGCAATGGCAACAAGAACCAAGAAAAAGAAAGCCACGCCAGACCACACACCTCTGCCAGCGGTAATGCTCAATAGTGCCGTTCCACCAATTAATGTCTTGATTGTGGAAGACAATATCATCAATCTCAAACTCCTTGAGGCTTTCGTCAAGCGACTAAAGGTCCGGTGGCAGACCGCTATGAACGGCCGAGAAGCTGTCAACAAGTGGCGCAAGGGAGGCTTTCACTTGGTGTTGATGGATATTCAGCTGCCCATCATGAGTGGCCTGGAAGCGACTAGGGAGATTCGAAGGCTCGAACGCATGAACTCGATTGGTGTGTTTTCCAACAGCAACAGCAATGGAGGAACCAATGGCGGCGAATCTGGCGGCGATCCTGACGTGATGCCCGAGGAAGACAAACTTGAAAATATTGAGCTGTTCAAGAGTCCCGTCATCATCGTAGCTCTCACGGCCAGCTCGCTGCAGAGTGACAGGCACGAGGCCCTGGCAGCGGGTTGCAATGATTTCTTGACCAAGGTAAGTCTTCCCTTGAACACGTGGGCTATCTATCTATCCTGGTACAGAGAGTGTTAAATAGTTGCTGACTGATGGCGTGATGTAGCCCATTACCTACATTTGGCTGGAACGCAAAGTCATGGAATGGGGCTGCATGCAAGCCCTTATCGACTTTGACGGTTGGCGGAAATGGAAAGATTTTGGGTCGAGCAATGGCGAGGACAAGAAGGACAATGCGTCTGCGGTCAAGGACAGCAGCGGGATGGCCTCCAAGAAAGCCGTCACCAGACCCAAGAGGAAACCGACTATGCAAAAGGAGGTCACAAGCCCACATCACCCAGCACAAGCGGCGCCGCCTTCAGAGGTGTCACATACCACCCAGACGAGTCAGACTTCGAGCGACGATAAGTGAGATGTTCGGCGCTGACTTTGACTGGCGTTCATCACTCTGCATTTTAGCTTTGGTTGGCCGTATCATATACCCTGCACCTGGCGGTCTCTTCTCTTCTCTTCTGTATTATCGTTCCGTTCTACAAGATGGAATTTTTGGTGGGAAACGACTTCGATCTCAACATGGACGATGATAAGCGTCCGGGCTTTATCAGTGGCTGGTACACAACGATGCGACATGACGATAATACTCGTTCTTGATCGGTCATCCTGAACAAGGGACTGGTGGCCAGATCATTCGGACCATCGGTTCTTGGTTGAGATGCAAGAAGGGATCAAGTAAAGAACCAGTGAGGACATGGAAGTTCCAGCTCAGCAATCGCACAGATTTAGGACCGTACCGTGGTTCACATCTCCTGATCTTTACCTGTCCTGTTTACTTTTGTTATCAAAATTAGGGGGTTAGCGTGAAGTACACGAGGCATGCATACGAGGCGTCACAGCGGATTAGGTTCGCGAAGTTACCTACCTTAGTGTTGGCTTTTTTGCAATATTTCTTTTCTCCTCTTCTACACTGGGACCATCCTGTTGGTCACCAACCACCATCAGTTCTTTTTGTTAGCGATATGAACAAAAGAAGAAGTAATGTACACAGACTCACAAGCTACATATATCAGCTGCCTATTAAGTGAGCGGACGTTTGTCTGCGTAGCTCAGGATTGGAGCAGAAACAACATGGTCGAAAATGGAAGATAACAATTGAGAGTAAAGACATAAACTTGAGTTGCAACAAAAAGTACTCTGTGTGAGTAAGTCGCCGATACCAGATCTAATATTGCCTCCGTTCTTTCTGTAAGGATGCGCAATCTTCAAGGCTTACATGATAGTATGTTCTCGTGGCAAGTATTGATGAAGCCGTAAGTATCTGACGTTGATTCCCAAGACAACTGACGAAGGGACATCCGAGGCGATGACCCTAACCCTAGCAGAGCCCATGGTGAGAGCAGTATGTATAAGCGTGAATCGCGCAAGACCCGCAAAGCATCGGATGGAACCAGGAATTCCGCCGGCCCATTGGCTGGTCAAGCTCAGAGGGGGGATGGGGTGGGCCAGGCTCTGCCGGAGCTTGCCATCGACCGAATGGGATGAGTCCAGCGCAATTGAATCCACCTTTGCCGAAAAATTTCCCGCTTTCCCTCACTGGGGACAACAAACCTCTTGTTTCCTCCCACCCAACCCTCCTCACCTCCCACACATATTCTCCAATATGCCACCGCGGATACCCAACGCTCCCTCCTCTCTCCTCCTCCAGAGCAGTGCCTGCAGCGGTAGCAGCAGCAGGTGTACAGCTTCCAGGTTGCCGACATGGGCCTCCTCGTGCTCATCTAGCTCCCCTCAGTCCTCCCAACCAACAACACATCAGCAGCAATGCTCGTCGTTCTCCACGACCGCGCCGGCGCACGTCCAGTCTGTCCGTCGCCAGAAGATGTTCGCTTGGTTGGATAAGAAGGGAAGCGCATATAAGGAGCATACCAGGCAGGGACCAAACCTCCTTGGCGGCCAAGGCAAAGACGGTCTTGCCGTGCCCTTTCCGAACAACCCTTACTTCAAGAGTCAGCCCGTCCTTTCCGAGGGCTCACGCGAGATCATCTACCAGGATGTCATGGAGAAAGGTCTGCCTATCAAGGCCGTGTCGGCTAAGTACAACGTCGACGTGCGCAGGGTCGCGGCTGTGATTAGGTTGAAGGAGATCGAGAAGCGCTGGATCAAGGAGGTAAGCTCATCATCATTTTCCTCTCATTGCTACGATATTACACCCCGTCCTGTCTCCGTCCCCCCCCCCCCCCCCCCCCCGATTGCCCAACCGGCCGGCGGCGGCGGCGACCTTGCTTCATATGATGAACTACAAGAAAATTCGATTAGTCTTGAAGACATACCTCATGGTTACAAAGCCTTTTTTCAACTGAGCGAAGCAACCCCTCTCACCTCAATTTCAACAAATCAATCGTTTGGTTAAAAAATATATGTGGCTAATCCGGTCCGTGTTTTTCATTCAAATAGTATAAGCCCCTGGCTCGTCCGTATGCCCGCGCCGTGATGAAGATGCTACCCCAAACCGTCCTCGGCGGCCCGGACCAGAAGCCCCACGAGTCTATCAACGACGTGCACGTGCACAGCTACACAACTCAGCAGCTGTTCGTGCCCGTTTCGGAATCGCGCGAGTTCACGCGCGAGGACGCCGCCAAGGCCTTTGGAGACCACATCCTGCCCGTGGACAAGAAGCTGCGCGTTCCCGAGCTCATCGAGTTCCAGAAGGACTTGCTGAAGGAGGTGCCCCTGCAAGAGGCGAACCGCAAGTTCCTCAACGCGACGGCGGCGAGCGAGGCCAAGATCGCCGAGCGCGAAGCTAAGCGTCGCCAGGCGGTCGAGGATGCAATCACGCGTGTCAAGACGGATAGGTTCGAGTTCCGCTTTCAGGAGTTCAACGCAGAGAATGTCGGCCACGACGGCAGGGACCGTAACGCTGTTGGTTGGAGGTACGGTGTTCCCTTCCCCGACCGCAAGCGGTCCCAAATCAAGATCCCTACCAAGGTGGAGTAAGATCTCTTGGTTTATGTGGATGTTGGCTCGAGTTGTGGGACGAATGAGTGATGGTGATGAGGGGTTTTCCGTTGCCCGTTCATTCACAACAGGCCCTTTGATGGCTCAACATTGGAACTCTTCACCGAGTATGGTTTGATGTGTGATGAAACGGGGCGGGGTTGGTGCGCGGGCGTTGAGAAACCGAATGAATGATGGGAAGTCGATGAGGGTTGATCGACATCCACGCACACACAAAGACAGAGACATTTTGAAGTGGAGAAACACAGCGTCCACTGGTCGTCATGTCTGTGCCATGTTTCGTTCCCATGTAAACTTATTGCTGTCACAAGGCCACCGACGTCTTTAGCAGTGTGGACCTATTTATTGTATTATTATACCAAGCCAGCCAGTCGCTTTATGCTTTACGCTTTTTCATTTTCCTTCAAAAATAATCAGTCATGTGGGAAACGAACTAGGCGGCGAGAATATGATCCCAAAAAAAACTAGAACCCATCTTGCCGTGCTGTCTCGAGTGGTTACTGGTCTTCTGCTCTTCTCGCCTGGATCCGAGATCACTAATATATATAGGTTGTCCGCCAGACTGAGAGTTTGAAAAACCAAGGAAGGGTTGGCCGCGCGAGTTCCAAACGCCGTTGATCCAATGAACACCAACTACATCATGAAGGATAGCTACCTACCTACTGTAACGTGTGAGCGAAGGGAAATAACTGATTTGAGAGATATTCTTGTCCGGGAACTAAACCTCTCTGTATAGAACCTCCTTGGAAGCCATTTGTCTATATATGTGCGTTGTTTTTATCCGACATACTCCTCCATCTCCATTGAGTAACCGCTGGTCCCAGGCTCCCAGCCCAGCCAGACCAGACGAGGGCAACGTTCAATGCGTTTATGTGGGATGTAAGTATATGCCGCTCCTACGTCTCTTATAGCGCGCATAATATCCGCCGCACATTCCAACCCCGGATGTTTTTTTTTTTTTTGGTGTAAACACTTGATGAGTGATGTACGAAGCAATACGAAAATTCGAAGAACAATTTCAAGTGCTGTATACAAGTCCTCCCGTACCCCGTTCAATCCTCTTGCAAATTGTAAATTCGGATACAAATACTCAGAACAAAGAAATGAAAAAAGAAGAAAAACTCAACACCAGGTTCGAATCCTATCCTTTCTCAAATGAATTACTCCCTTTTGTCCTGTGGAGCTCAAAGTCCTCCTCTATAAGATTCGCCAGTTTCCCCAAGTGTGTGCATGCGCTTTTAATTCGGAAAAAAAATTGAACGGGTATCAATAACAAATGCCCTCCAACCGACAAGAGGGAGGGATGATGCAGCCTATAGCCAGTAGCCTGAGCCTTCTTTCCATGCCATGTTCATGCACCATTTGAGTAAAGTGGATGATGGAAACAAAAGGAAACCAATATCTTCACCACAATCGCTTCACTGCCCCTGAGTGCATCCACCCTAACGATTCCACGACTGATAACCCAACTAAGCCCATCACCAGCCACGGTCCACCTTAGAATGATGACTTCATGTCCCAGCCAGGCGACTGGGCCTCAATTCGTTGTCTCTCCTCCACTCTGATGACCCTGGCGATGTCCGCGTTCTGTGATGCGGCATCCAACCCCACAGCGGCTCGTCCTCTGCTCAAGTAGCCGTCTCCGTTGCCGTCCAACTCCATCGGCGTAACAGGTCCAGGGCTTCCCAGTGGCACAAGCCTGGGAGACAGGGGCTTGTGAGTCTTGAGCATCGTAGCCCCTAGTTGGATGTTCTTCAACGCCGCGTTGTCAGATATCCTATTCGACGGTGACATACTGGAGGCGTTGGAGAAAAGCGCCATTGATGCCTGAGCCACCATATCTCTCTGATACTGTTCAACTAGGCGCTTAGCCTCGGAACCTGTGCGTAGGCGGCTGTTCTCTCGGCGGTATTTCAGCTGGGGTTCGGAGTGAGCAACTCCTGCGGCATCCGCTCTTGCTGAGGGCCTCTTGTACTGGTTCGAGTTGCTGGCCATCCGGTTCTCGTAGTTCGTCGGGTAGTACTTTCCCATCGGAAGCGCAATGTTGTCGTGAACACCAGACGGCATATAGGAAGACACCGGCGTATGCAGGCCAGTTGACGAGGAGCCCAAGTGAGAGTGAGACAGATCGTTTGCCATTGTCCGTACGTGAGAGTCAGTGAGGGGAACGGAAAAGTGTGTAGTTTCGGCCGCCTTGTGTAAGGCTTGATGGCGTGCCTTGCTTGGATCAAGAGTGAAGAATGGGTGAGGTCGATGAACTCGGGTAGCTGGGTCCTCGTGGTGAGGGAAGTATCCCCTGCAGTGGTGTTAGCACGTATTTGCTGTGTGCGAAGTGCAGCGGAAAGAAAACAGAGGCGTCTTGACAAGACAGACATACCCTTGGATGTCCCCTCGAGCAGA